AAAACTGACCAGCGAGGCCCTTGCCCTGGTCTCAACACTTTGGCCAATCATGGATGTAAGCTGAAGAATCGAAAGACTAGCGAATAGGCAGCTGACAATTAATAGATATTCCCCGAAACGGTATCGCTACGATCGGCCAGATCCAAGCTGGCACTGCAAAACTATTCAACATGGGCGCAGATCTTTCCGCTCTCCTTGCTGTCGGTGGTGCTGTCGACGGTGGCGATATTCTGTCTCAGAAGATGAGCATCGGAGGTCCTGATAACCGTGTCGGGCTTCTGAATGGTGCTCTGAACAAGATCTTTGGCAAGCCATCTGGTATCGCTGGACATGGTAAGTGATCAATCTCAAGACCATACACTATGACAGTCACTAATAAGCTGGGCAGGAAAGTTCAACGAAGGCGACGCGTCTGCTACACGTGAAGATTTCTACCTCAACGGAGACAACATTTCATTCAAGTCAGAACTTTTCAAGCAGATGCACCAGCAGGCCCTTGCCAAGGGTGACGGCACTTACAACGTCGATGCGATCAAAGAACATTTCAAGAACAGATACAGAGATTCTAAGGCCGCCAATAAGCAGTTTTACTTCAATCTTCCTAGCGCCGCAGTTGTCATGGGCGCGTACTATTTCGTTCCTGGCTTCTTCTCCAATGGAACCATTGGAGCTGGCGGTATTGCCAATGAAGCTTCCATCACCTCTTTCTACGGCGCCAAGCCAAAGCGCAAGAACGCTTGGAAGGATGAGGACCTTGAATACACCCATGTTCCTGAGTGCATTCCTGAGCAAGGCTGGTATCGACGCGCTACACCTATGACTATCCCTGAGGCTGTTGGTGGGATTCTTGACGTCTACCTTTACGCTCAGCCAGCACTGGGAGGATCTGGCGCTGATGGTAGTTGGGTTGTTGGTCCACTTGACTTGCCCAAGGATCCTCAAGGTTTGAGCTGCTTCCTGTACAATGCAATTTTCGCCAACTTTCCTGCCGAGCTGTTCAACTCTGTCAGGCTCTTTCAGTCTATTCTCAATGGTGTTTCGGATGCACTTGTTCCCGGATACAAGGCTTTGGGCTGTAAGGTCGACTTCCCCGATGCCAAGGGATCTTCGGCGAGTAAAAAGTTCGCCGCGTACGAGAAGAAGTACGTTGGCCCTGCCAAGACAAAGGCTGTAGGCAGTGGATGGTATCAAAAGTGAAGAATTTGGAAACAAGTAATTAGGTATTAATAAGTAGCCGTTTTGTGTATCTACAACACTGCTCGAAAATCGCTTGGGGAGTATACAACTGGCTGACATACGTATCCATAACTTACCCCGGCTCTTCTGTTTAACTAGAATTTACATTGTATACTATCAGCATACGCACATTCCATTCCTGCCAACTTTACCCATACACGGAGACCCCAGAAACGGTGCAGCTTCCGGCTTATCACGTTCCTTCCGTGGTAATACGTCCTCGAGTGCTTGTCGACTCTGGATGATTGCCCAGGAAGTTCTGGGTGTTTACAACTTTGCTAAGGTACTAATTTCGGAACGTGTCCCGCTGTCATTTGCTGAAGTAAAGTATCAGAAATTGTTGTTATGGGTTGACGGCCTTGACGATGGCATGAAGAGAATAGAGGACTGCCCATACGAGAGTATCATCTTCCAGCAAGTCATGCAGTAGAAAATCCAGAAGAACTTATCTCATCATCTGGCAGTACCAATTTTCACGTCGTTGTGACGATAATATTTCGCCCATTCATCACCCTGCCACGGTCAAGGGGATTGATGACACTGACATCTCCAGACAGTCACCCCAAAGCATTATACGCTGCTTCAGTGAATCAACTGAAAGAATTGGTGTTCTGCTTCTGTGCGAAGTATCCTCAATCTGCTTACACGACATTCTTCAATGCCGCACCACCCACGCTCAGCCTCGCGATGCTAGAAGATCTGCAGGACCCATTATGGCGACACTATTTCTACCTGTGTGCGCTGCTGGCAAGACCTGTACTTTTCCTATCCCATGTTCCGCGATTTTGCGAGAGCTTTTCTATCCATGGCCATGCAAAAAGATGCCATTGTGGCGGGGGAAGCTCAGAACCTGTTGCGAGGAATTGATCAGACTGGGGAGCATCATACTACTCCTGAGGAGGCTTTCACGAGCTTCATATTAAATTCCGTGTCTGAGAGACTCGCCGAAGCGCAGATCCATTCAATGGCTGATAGGTTTGAAGAGATGGCCATATTTGACGAGTTGATTTATGAGAACACAGCCTTGTCTAGCTAGTAGAGAAGCTCGCAACTTTGTACAAAAACGGTCTTTCAGACGGGGCAAACGTCATTGAACCTGCGATAAGATCTCAATTTAGCTAGATAAAAGACCTGGATTATGCTTATTGGGTGTTAAATGCTGACTCACGTCATCTTGCACATCCAAGTTTTGTTGGCCCGACGGAAACTCCGCAGCCCGAAAGCTATCGGAATCTTACAGGCACCAGGAACTCCATAATCTCGCCAGCCTAATACTAGTGATCAACGACAAGATATTGAGTATACGACAATACGAAATGTCGACTAGTACCTCTTCAAAAGCTTCTGGTGTGAGAAGAAGAGCTTGTGTCAATTGCACCTCTGTCAAGTCGAAATGCCTGCCATTCTCATCTGACGAATGCCAGCGGTGTAATCGGCTTGGTAAGCGATGCACCTATCTCAATGTTGTGGAGAAGCGGAAGAGTCCTTCCAGCTCCTCGTAAGTCTACGAAAACAAGTGCTTTACTTCAGTTATTAACGGGGTTCAGCCGCACGCGACTCCTCGAGCAAAGACTGAGTCGAGTTTTGGCTCTGCTGGTCGACCAAGCCCAGGGCACGCCCATGGGTGGTTTTGTCGCGCAACTAGCTGCTGAAGACGTCGATATGAACGTACTAAGTGGCAGCCGGCTTGGCCAATTGCCGTTACCTCGTGGCTTGAGACTGCATGGGACAGTGGATGTCGTTGATCGCGGCTTTCTCAGCTTAACTGAAGCGCAGATATTGCTTGACAACTATCGTACCAAAGCGGTTCAACACTTTCCTTTTGTTCCCATCTCTTCTGGAACTACCGTCGCTTCTCTTAGGGCTGATAAGTCATTCTTGTTCATGTGCATCATGGCAACCATGAAATCTGATAATTGCACCATCCAACGACAGATTGGTGAAGAAATCCGCAATCAAGCGCATCAGCGAGTTTTAATGCAGTCAGAAAGCACTCTTGAAATTCTGCAAGGTCTCTTGATTTACCTCGCATGGTACCAGTACTTCTTCATCAGCTACGAGAAGCAGCAAATTGTTCCAATTGCACAATTGTGTGTCTCACTGGTTCAGAACCTCGGGCTCGATCAGAATCCTGACAATATGAGACGAAAAGTCGATCTTGGGCCAGATGAAACAGCCCCTGGACGCAAGGCCGCACGGTCTGCAGAGCAACTTCGGGCTTTGCTTGGAACATATTGCACAGCATCGTGGTATGTATAGAAAGGTCGAGGGCCATTAACGGGAAGCAGACTGATGGTCCAGGGTTTCTATCAAGTTTAGGACTCGCGGCGCTTTGCCATACACAGGATACATCAAGCAAAGCTGGGAACTCCTCCTAGCCAACGCAGAATATCCGATTGACCTTATGATCCCCCATTTCGTTCGTATAAGCGAATTATGCCGTCGTATATGCGATACTTTTGGGTATGACGACCTAGAAAACTCAGGGATGAGGGGAGAGTTTGTCAGTGCCATGGCTTTGCAGACCCTCAATAACGAATCTGCATTGTTGAAAGCCTCCATTCCTCCAGATCTCCAGAACAACCGTAAGTCAACTTTCAAGAACTATCGACTCATGGCTTAACTAAAATTCATCGACAGTTGCTATAAGAATGGAGGTTTACTTGCTTGATACTTTGCTCGGTGAAGTTTCACTGCATGATGACTTTTGGGATAGCAAATCGACTTCTAACTTCTTCATAACTAATAATCCGTCTTCCTCGACCAGTACCAGGGTTTCCATCTTGTTTAACCTTATCCGAAGCTGCAAGTCGCTAAACGATGCCGTCATAGCCTATCCAGACGAAGAGCTCTGGTACATCACGTTTTATACAACGGCCAAGATTTGCAGAAGTCTCTTGTGTCTCTCAAATGCTAGCAAGATATCATCCGAAATCTTTATAGAGACTGGGCTTGCTCCCTGCAATGCCCCTTTTATGGCCATTAGTTCTCCTGTTCACGACGCCATGACAGTTGAGAGGGTGGCTGACTTGAAGGACGAGGCAAAGCGGCTGCAAGGAAAGTTCAAGAATCTCTCTTCTCAAGTACAGAGAATCGGCAATGAGGAAGACATCATGCTTGGATTCTCGAGTATGATATGGGCAGTGGCAGCTGCGTATGAGGAAACTAAAAGGCTGGAACCAGGTCTTTTGAACTTTTCTATAGGATGTGATGGACAGAACTCCTCTTCTGAACTGGGTAGCTCGGAAGGTTACCTCTCGAGCACTGGGTCTGGAAACCTGAAGCCAGAAGCCGTGTTAGACTTTGGCATGATGGAAGATGAAACTTGGGAAGAGTTGTTGGCTGGGATTGCCACCGTAACGGAGCCTGCATCATCGCTGCAAGTATGAGTAGCTGTAATTAGCAAGCAGATAGTATGCCCCTTAATTAACTTTATCGAGAACCTTAGCAAGAGAATTCTGTAAACTCCGAATTACTGCACCATCGTCTTTATATCCGTAATGACATATGCTGACAGGACCAAAAACCTTGGCTGAGGATTTTCGCTTGCAAGCGATTGGCCAGGGAGTGCTTCAGTGGCTGACCGGAAATTCCGCCTGCGGCGAAGTCCTCCAAAGCTTGGTAATCGCTGCATAGACCCTGTTGAGACGAATGGATATAAGATGCCTCATCATCTTGGGCATGAGAAGTCAGAGCAAATTACTCTTCTATCTCAATTTCAAGACAGAAATAATTAACAAAAATTTATACCACGCGTATTAATTATGCCTCCTCCCAAAGGAACTCCCAACCCTCTTGAAGGGCCTGGTAAGCAAGTCCTCTTTGTGTGGCTTCTTTTTATGCATGTACTAACCTCCATGAAGGTGACTATGACGTTACCTCAGTGGTACACTCCGATACCTATCCTGCCATTGACCCAAAGAACTTTAATTTGAAGGACAAGGTAGTTCTCGTCACTGGAGCATCTCGAGGCTATGGCCGAGCCATGTGTGCAGCTTTTGCACGAGCTGGTACTTCTCGTATCGTTGTCGCTTCTAGATCCGACATGTCGGCAACCGCCGAAGCTATCAAAGCTGCGGCAAAAGAAGCAGGCCATCCGGAGCCAGAGGTCTTAACCATCAAGGCTGATGTTGGTGTTCCAGAAAGTGTTGATGCTTTGGCGCAGAAGATTGATGAAGCATTCGGTTATGTTGATGTCGTGATTAACAATGCAGCATTCATGAAAATGGTGTCCATCCCTGAGTCTGAGCCTGCAGACTGGTTGCAGACCCTCACCGCGAATGTCTATGGACCCTATCTCATTGCACGAGCCTTGGCCCCTTTGCTTGTCAAGTCGGAACTCAAGACTATCATCAACATCAGCAGCGTCGGAGCTCATCTCGTATCGCCGACTCTAAGCTCATATCAGATCTCTAAGCTAGCGCTTATCAGATTGACCGAGTTCATCTCGGTCGAGTACGCGGACAAAGGGATCGTGTCGTACAGCGTCCATCCTGGAAACTCTCCTTCAGAGATGTTGGGCGGGATCGAGGGAGTTCCAGAGGAGTTGCGAGCAGGTCAGTCTGTCGATTTGAATCATCAGAATCAGCTGCTAACAGGAACAAGCTTTTGTTGACACTCCTGCGCTTTGTGCCAACTCTTTGGTTTATTTGGCATCGGAAAGGCGACCTTGGCTGGCAGGGCGTTACGTCAACCTCACTTGGGATCTTCCTGAACTCATGACGAAGGAAGAGGAGATTGTCAAGGGCGACAAGCTTAAAGTTCGTCTTGTGACTTAGTTAGATACTCGCTTGGCAAATGTACAATGTTCAACTACGGAATTCATCATGCACTTGAGATATTCGAAACAAATGCGACTGTCTAAATTGTGTGGAATAATCATTATGTATGTAGTCTATCGAGGGGTATGTTCAAAAATCTATGTCATCCAATCCGTACAAATACACTTTTAGTAAAAGTCCTCTCACTCAGCCAAGTGATTCCTTTATTGTTGCTTGCCCTCTGCAGTGTTAAGATTCTCCAATTGATCCAAGCATCTCTTTCGGATACCGAAGAACGCTGTCACATGTCCAACAACCCACCAAGCAAAGAGAATAGGAAGTCCAATGTGAAGGGAGTTGCCACATCCAGACCAGACCTGGATGAGAACAATCCATAATGAGTGAGCGGGGAAAATGTAACCAATGCGGTAGAATCCAGCTGTAAGCTCAAAGGGGAACACGACAGAGCCGACATTCATCATGAACCAAGTGAGGAGAAAGAAAGGCGTGAGAGCCATGGGGATGTAGCTTCCAATGAGAGTTTCTAGTACCTGGAAGTTGACATCCATGAAAAGCCAAAAGGTCAACCAGGATAGGGCAAACTGTCCGCCAGAAACATCCCAGTCTTCGCGGAAGGCCCAGATATAGCCCGTGACGATCAAGGCATAGAGTGCAGAGAATATCATGCCGTTGATGAAACGCATAATGAAGAGATCGCGGATGCGCATGTTCTTGTGAAGGCCGAACTTGTCGTATATGCCGTTCATGGCGAGGACGTAGAAGAACTGGCCAAGGATTGCCATTACAATGTTGATGGTGTTGTAGAGGTTTCGACTTCCTTGGTTGGTGGGCTGGATGATGTCGGCGGTACCTTGGATGGGGTTGAGATATGCTTCGACGGCAGCTGGGTCACTACTGTTGACACTTCGCAGGGCGGAACGACCCTGTTGGGACTGGTAGTAGCTACCTCGAGCAGCCCCAATGACCTTTTGCAAGTTGGGAACCAAGTATCCAGAAGCGACAGTAGGATATCGGGCGCTGTTGTAGATGTAGGTGATGCTATCGGCAGGGTTGTAGTTCTCGGCAGCAGAGCCACCTTCATAAGCAGCAGCAAGCTTATCAGAAGAGCCCTTGTTGATGTAGATAGCACCCCAATAATCGGCGTTGCAGACGCCATGCTTGACATCCTTCGTCTCGGGGTAGTCATCGGCGGATCGAAACTCGAGTGTAGGGAAAGTCTTGCCCTGGAAGTTCTTGTATGCGTTGGCGACAGATTCTCCAACAGCACCACCATCATAATCAACGACTAGAATCTTCAGGCCTGATACTCGGTTACCGACTTCGAATGTGGAGCCGAAGACGTATGAAAGGTCGGCGAGGAATATCACGAGAATGGCGACCATGATTCCTGTGAGGATCTTAACGACAAGACCTCTTCGGCCCTGCCATATTGTTGAGTTGATACCATGTCGCTGTGTGTCCTCCATGACGGCCGGCTCGTCGTGTAACGTAGGAGCAGGGGAGGACGTTTGTTGTTCTAGATCGACTGTCATGTTGAAGATTGAACTGGACGAAAGGGGTATGTGATGATGAGATGCAGGGGCTGAAGGGTTTTGAAGAGTCAGGCCACGATTAATGGAGACCGGTAGTTGTTTGTTTATTTGTCTAAGCAATTAATAGATCCGAAATTAAAATCAATCGTGCGACTCTTGCATATCTAAATAGCCAGATCCATCTGATCGATGGTGCCATGTTATTACTATGGCCGCATATTCTGGACTCTTGAGTTCCCCCGTCGTAGGTCGGAAATCTAGACAAGTCCGAGCAGCGAGGCCCTGAGTCAATCATGCGCTAAACCCTATAGGGGCCTCGCGTAAGGGTCAGGGCGATCATTAGCTGCTAAAAACCGGCGCCAGCTCGCGTCGCGACGTGGCCGACACGCCGACATGGCGCTAAGATAACTGTGATTACAAAAGATGCCCACTTCCTCCTAAAAATGTGACTGGACGGATTCGCTCCTTCGTGGATCTGCGGATAACCTAGATAAGCCGGTCGGCGTTGCGCACATTTTTTCCACCGAGGTGTTGGTTCATCAAGCTGTGATTACGTGAGATTCTCGCTGCATTCATTTACGTCATTTTCTTCGCGAAGCAGATGACTGCCATCGCCTTTGATCATCACCAGCAGACCTATCTCAGCTGCTCAATTATTGGTATGCCACTACCAATAGCCTGTCAATATTGCTCATAACCTGATAAAATCATGCTGAATATTGCCTCGCATTCATCGCACAAGGCATGCCTCTGACATAATTCCGTGTTGCACAAGTTCCAACGGACAACAACCCTTAACTCCGTGCAACATCTCATTAAGCCCCGTACGTGGTTTGTGCAGCACTGCACTATTGCCATGCAATACCTGTATTGCTCTTGACGTTGTAAGGAACATAGGACCCGTAATGGGGTAGCGCAACAACCATTTGATGTGCATGTTTTCTCGGGATATATGCGCCGGCATTGATGAGCTGGCTTATCAAGATTGGATATTAGTATTGCGCAGCATATGGAGTACGAGTATTTGAGTTCGTGAGACGTGTGCAGGCTTTTCCATACGCGGATCCGCGCCATGGTTCATTCACCCTGGTCCCAAGAAGCAAATCTTCGATAGCTTCCCAGCGGCACTTATTACTAGCCTGTCATTGGCAGCCGGGAGCAGCTCTAAAGTGGCTGATGGACAATGCACGGCTGCAGGGTAGTCATTCTAAAATCGTTTCCTCTGGGGTTGAGCTTCAGACTGCCTGCAGGTATTTCATGGTTGAGATATCCTTGGAATGGTATTCGTATTATCTATATTGTTGCAACCTTGATATAATTCGTGTTCAATGGTTCTACAAGGCCTGTTGCGCACGGAACCCAGTTTTCCTTCTGCTCAGTTCGTGGCAGCAAGCGAGATTCAGCTCGGTCTTGTAACTCTGAGCGGAACCATCGAATGGAACACCAGATACCTTCAGCATCTCTTCCGTATTACTGTGGCATTGATTCGCCACCCAATGTCTAGGGACGGGACGCTCAATTAACTAACGGGTAGATAGGCAGAACTGTCTGTTGAGCCTGATCTGTCTTCTCACCACGAGGTTGGGTGCAAGGTTCAACTTCCAATTCGCGATGGCACGCCACCGACCCCATCGCTGTACAGTGGGGGGCAATAAGTATGAATACCCTTTGATGTACTGACACACACCTCTTAGCCTAAAACGAGCTATGTTAACTCCTAATCCTGGTTAGAGGTTTTCCCTAACCAATTAGTATAAAAGATAGCTATGTGTGAGGTTAATATGCACACTCTAAATGTTAAAATGGGCTAGCGGCAGAAAAAACAATACACTCCCACTGTATCTGCTTTGAAGCTGATCGGCGATGCCCAAGAAGCAGTAGCTCCGATTTCAACAACCCCAAATTAGTTTGAATAATTTCGTTGAGTACTGCAAGCGCTTGCTTACATCAAGCCGAAGTGACAGGCTATTCCTAACTGTAAGACTTTGATCAGCTGGCCCAGCCCTAACATGGCACGGGCGCGTGTGCATCATCCAAGATCATCGAGATGAATACATCTTCAAGCGATTGTTTGACTAATTGCAATCTGTCATGAGCTTATTATGAGCTCCAATTTCCCTTGCTTCGTTTCTGAATTGAAACGATAGATCGACAATGAATGTGGACGATCGATGGAGAGTTCCGGACGCCTATCGTGAATACCCACATCTCCATCCGACGACGCTCACTCCGTCGGAAGTTTTTCAGAGTTAAGGTTAAGGCTAGCCGTTTCGCTGCCACTTGTCAGCCGTCACATTCTTCGACCATGCAGCATGTTCAAACTACCAATCAACTCATGCAGAGACATTGGCGGGTATGACGGCAAAGGTTTTCCTGTCATAGTCACCGTGCCGTGACATAACAGCAGAGACACTGATGGGGCATCATGCTGCTTCATCAAATGACCGGAACAGAGAGAAGAGCTATTGGCTGGCATCATGAGATGGTAGCTGGAGCTGAAAATATGTCTCCACTGCGCCCAAGTCCAGACCTGCTGGTCTGAGGCATATTACATGAGAAGTCTCATAAAATCCAGTAATTTTATGGAACATAAGTACTCAATTGAGAATTTGGCTAAAAATTCAAGGTGCTATTCGTGCACAATGCACTTTTTGCCAGCCGGGACTAACTTTGCCACCAGCCCCTAATATTAGCTTCTGAAGTAAACTCCCGCTCGCAACGGGCCGCTCTATCTAGATCCCGATAAGTTATGTAACTGACAGCCCGCCTAACGCACTTGATCAGTGCCAAGCTGACATTCGGATTACCGCTGAGGGAACTCCGCCTGACCGACATCCGCACCACTGATATTCGCAGCTCCGAGACATTGGGGGTCCAAACGCTGCTCCATTCCGGTTTCGTGAGCCAAGAGACGGCACAAGCTGCCATGGCAGCTCCCGCCTCTTCTTATTTGGACGACTTGCAGATTTCGATGCGGAGATGTCAAGATTGGCAGTCCACTGACGTGACTCGGATGTCTCCCCCGGTCGATCTTGGTTGTGATGAGGTCGTAGGTTGCATTTGGCTTCACGAGACTAAAGCAGTCAAGGGAGAGATGTCGCGCCCTGTTACAATGAAGGGATGATGGGTGCCCCGCAGGAGGATTTTCGTATTCCCCCAGTCACGTATGCAAGTCGATAGAGATCAGCAGTCAGTCGATCCTCTTATTTAGGGAATAAGTAACGGTTTGCAGATCACTTTTACTGTGCCACTCATATCGCAGAAGCTGTCACCATGGAACGTTCGACGTTGAGACAGGACGTTGGCCCTTGATGTCGATCAGACTGATGCAAGGATGGCCAAGAATGGAACGGTACTTGCCGCTTGACGTGAGGCTGAAGAAAGGGGAGCGTCCTGTTGTCTTACAACTAGAATGTTTTGCGGGGGTTGAAGATCCACGACCAAGTTATTGAGTGAAGTTCTGTTTTCAAAAGACAGTTTTTCTCTCAGGGCACTGCCGCAGCAGCAGCAGCAGTTCGAAGACATACAATACTTGGTCAAGATCCAAGCAACTAAGGAAGTGGTATGTGATTGTAGATGCAGCTGTAAACCTTTACAGATGCAAATCTGAGTCAAAACCAAGTTTATCGAAACTTCACTTCCTGGCTTCATCTCGGGTCCTTCTCACCGCCTCGACGATCTTCAAGTCAAGGGCCAAACAGTGAATATTCCGGTCCGCTCAGAACGGCTCTTCACCCCAATCGCCAGTAAATCAACCGTTGTCGCTGCCTTGACAGACGCCTCTGACATAGATGGCAGCGGCAGGTCTCAGAATAGCAAGAATTATCACGAAAGTTGCCAAGTTGAGATATCACATACCAGACAATTATGCTTCCGGCCCAACGCGGTAAGACAAACTTAGTCGCCAGGACGTTGAACCTGTGCAACCCCACGCGTCTTCGCACGGCTATGGGACGATTTTGACATGTTGGGACTACCAATATCCTATGGCAAGTGCTGTACCTATCGTGAGTTTCAACTCTGCAGCATGACGACTGTCTGAGGAATTCGGGCAGCCTCTAATGACTTGTGGTTTTCAGTCATTCACAAAGGATGTGGTCGTTGAGAAGGGAGGAGAGATGACCTGAAGGACTTACTTTCTTGATTTTGTAAGAGTCTGGATATCTATAAAAACCCTCCTTCGTCCCTCCTCATCAGTCCATCTTCAGCACTCACAATTACATTCTTCCATCACAACAATCAAACAATCCCTCAACTCAAGATCTTTCAGATCCCCCAAACCAAACCATCAACATGAAGGCCTCACTCATCCTCGCTCTTCCCGCCCTTGCCGTTGCGGCTGCTACCCCTCATCAGGTTGAGGAGCGACAGCTCCCAACCCTCTTCGATCCTGCCTGTCTTCTCCAGATCACTGGCATCACCCAATGCCTCCCCAACCTCAGCCTCGACAGCATTATTGGAATTGTCGACGTCATCGGCTGGTAATTCAACCGCTACCTGCTTGATTTGAAATCAAAATACTAACTACTCCATAGCCCTCTTCGACTTGCTGGCCAGATCGCTGCCTGCCTCGACGTTCCCGGTACCAAGTAAACGGACTCACAAACAATCATTCACTTCTTGGAGGATGGGTTGACTATTATGTCATGGATAGGAAAAAAAGGCCTCGCCCAGAATCAGATTCTTGAATTGACAATACCTATTGAGGCACAATCTTCTGGTCTTGACACCTGTGAGCTATAATTTTAACTCTACGTGAACGAGACGTAAAACAACCAAAGGATTGACACTTGGACTCTTAACTGCGATTGACTTGTCCTTGAGTTCAGCTGTATGTAAGTATTTGAATACTTATCAATACTGACTCTTGACTTGGAGTTTCTAGATGTAAATATTCATAGTGCACCAAAGGCTTCCACAACTTGGTGGATATAGCATCAGCTTTGGGCGAGGTAGACTCAAGCTTATTGGTTGGAATGAATTTAATTTCGAGCCCCATCACCATGTGGATGGACCTCCTCTCGATTTCATTTCTTACATGACGCCATCGACTGATCAAGAATGGCTAACAGGATAGTGTTTCTGACTCTCAAAACACTTGCAGAAATTCATCCAAGATGCTGAATCAGGCACTGTATACATGAACCTGGGAATAATGGGTGCCCACGATGAGGATGGAGAAAGGCAGTTAAGCACGAGGAGTTGATCAGCCTTCTCACCAAGGCCTTTACAGCGCTTGCAAAGGGCGCCGGAAATCCATTGGGCATCGTCGCTTTGAGGATCAACGCTGAAGGACGTCCCAAACATCAAATCCAGATCAGAAGTGAACTCGAAGAGCGCTCCACGATGATAAGTACCTGGCAGTGCAGCAACGACAAATTCTTCGTTGCGATGTAATCATTGGCTGCTGCTAAGCTTCAAATTCAATGTCTCAATTTATTTCACGATGCCGACATGAAGCTCTTTGACTTGGCTGGCGATCAATTCAACCTGATTGACTGGGACAGTCCTGATATCGCGCATGTGCTGGCAACCATGACATCTCTCAACAGTAACATCTCAACGCGGGTCTTTGCCTCCAGAGAACGTGGTGATGATTGGCGCGAGGTTGGCTACACGGATTGGCTTGAAAGAGTCACAGACTGGACAGCGCCGCAAATTCGTGCTGAAGTAGAAAACGAAAGCAATTTCACTGGCCTTGCGAGACTTGTCCAAAAGTGTCCTCGACTTCAAGACTTTGCATACCAAGCCCTTGGCATTCCCCTTCCCGGACTTCCTGAACTGAAAGGCTTTCAATTTCTCAACTGGAAGATTCTGCAATACGTCTCAGAGCTCCCCAGCCTTCCAAAACTCAATCGGTAGGCTTTACCGTTCCAACTCACGAAGGAGTCGATCGTTCTCAACCTTCTCAAGCGGACTCGGCCTGGAGGATTGTTCATAGGAACTATGTGGCTAGACCCTGGAAAGTTTAAGCCTATCTTCGAATTCTGCAGCAGCCTAGAGTCGAACATGCAAAAGCTTGAGGTCAGAGGACCTATTTACCAGATGGGTCTAGAGGAGCGAGGCCAAGTTCACTTTCAGCGCCAGCTGTACGATGAGGATGCTGAGTGCTGTGCGCACTTGAGAAGACAGGGTGGAGGCGTCCGGCGTCCTATTCACTTTCACTTAGATCCGCAGGGATTTGTCGATTTGTTGCTCGTCAACTCTGAGTTTGATAGCAGTCAGGCTCATACATTCTAGTGCGCTCTATTTTATCGGAAAAATATTTCGATTTGTTTCTATGTACTCGACTTCAGTAGAGATCTCAGTGACCTCATACAATTCAGGATCTGGTGGTACAAAATTCGATTTCATAAGCTAACAGGATATCTTAATTCCAAAGTGCTGCATTCTGCCCCAAAAGACTTGAGCATCAACCTAAGCTGCTCTCTTCCTGCCTTCCTCGGCAGCTAACTCAACTCCCTTGACTGTTTCATCGACCTTCGACAGGAAGACGGAGTGCGATGCTTTCGAGTGAAATTGCACGGCATTCGGACCCAGCATACTTGCCATTTGCGCTTGCACTACGGGGAACAGAGCTTTGTCCTCGTCGCAGAAGAAGTACATGGTCTCGATATCATGCCACGGTTCATATGTCACAGTATCTGTGAAAACACGGCCTGATTGATGCTTGAGCGTCTTCATGGCGCTGTCAAGGGCCTCACCACTTAGGTCATGGTAGAAGATTTCCTCTGGTGTGTCTGCGTACACATAATCTCCCTGCTGATGGTTAAAATGGTCTCCGCTCTCGCGAGAATGCTTGAGCTTGCTTACCTTGGGGTTCATCCAGGGCAGGAATTGGCCGCCGAGCATTTGCTTGATGCTCAGGCCGAGAGGCGTCACGAACGCAGCTAGGTACACAAACATGATGACACCACCGGGAAGACCTTGTTCCTTGCGCTGGCGGTATCCGAGCCCCTTCACGGCATTGGCACCAACCAAACCACCATACGAGTGAACGACAAGGACAATCTGTTCTCCTTTATCGGCTAGACGCTGTAGGACCGTTCGGACAGCATCGGCATCATCATCAAGACCCTTGGTGGGAGGTTCAGCTCCTACAGATGGATACTCAACAGCTTCGGTTGTCCATCCTCGGCTGTGAAGGGCCTCGCGAATGGGGTCAAAGCAAGAAGCCAAGTGCCAGGCGCCTGGGGCAAATACAATGGTAGGATTGGAAGACATCTTGGAAAGAAAGTTCAGATAATGTAGTAGAATCTGGGGTAAGCCAGGTTGTTATTGGGACTGCTTTTATACACATGGGCTATCGAACTAATGCATCTTCGGGGTATAGCCAAACCCTTTCCTCCCCCGTGGGGTACGCGTCTCTCGAATGCCGGATCTAGATGTTGGAGATCTGCTGCAACCTACCATTTCTGTATTAGATATGTTCTTTGCAGCTATTTTCTGCGCCTTCAAAGCTTGTTGTTGGCTGTAAATGGAGCTTAGTTGGCTTCCATTCTTTAGCTTCGACTTTGGCGCCTTTAAAACATGACAATACCCTCCTCTGATAGGTCGAACACGCCAAATATCTCAACAACCCTTCATGAAACCCAGCATCCGAAGCTGATAGTGGCCACGTGCCGTTTCCCCAGCTTGAAACTCAGTCGGCATCTAAAGACTATGCGGCTTATTTTGATCTAGAAGATCGACTCAGAAACTACCGAGTCAGTCTCCGCGGAAGCAACGTGGAGATCTTCCCCGCAAAGGAGGCCCCGAGCTCAGACTCCAAATGCGTCGGAAAGCAGCGAGTGGGGATCGGAAGCCGGGTGTTCCCCAACTTCTTGGCTGTTTCTTGGTTTTTTGGTCTGGAAGAGTCGGATGCGTCTATGACGGCAGAATGGGGACTAGCTAGCTTTACGGAGTGAGCAAAAGCATCTTCACTCCTTATTATTAAAGACCAAGAACTACTCGCGGCCAATTGCTTCAATCAGATTTCTTTCTTTAATCATCATTTACTAATCAACATGGCTATCTCGTCAAACACTACGAAGCCATTCGACATAGCCATTGTCGGCGGTGGTATTGCTGGTCTGACTCTGGCTATCGCCCTTCACCATCGCAACGTCCCCGTTATGCTCTATGAGCGAGCCGACAACTTCCACGAGATCGGCGCAGGTGTCTCATTCACTCCTAATGCCGTGCAAGCGATGAAGATGTGCCATCCTGGTGTACACGATGCTTTTCTCAAAGTCTGCACCTGGAATGGCTGGGAGTCTAAGCGCAAGACCTGGTTTGACTTCCTAGACGGCACCACCGAAGATGATAAGGTGGCTTTCAGCATCAAGACTCCTCTCGGCCAGAACGGTGTTCACAGAGCTCAATTCCTCAACGAGCTTATTCACCTTCTACCTTCAGACAAGGTGCAATTTAACAAGCACATTGATAACGCAGTGGAAGAGCCCAGTGGTAAGGTTCGCATGAGCTTTTCCGATGGCACAACGGCATATGCCGATGCTTTGATTGGTTGTGATGGTATCGGATCTCGCGTCCGAAGAATCCTTTTTGGAGAGAATCACCCATGTGCCAGGCCTCGGTACTCTCACAAGTATGCCTATCGTGGTCTCATTCCCATGGACAAGGCCATTAAGGCTGTTGGTGAGGAGAGAGCGCGAAATGCATGCATGCACGTAAGTTGATGGCCCGTTTACTTGGCTGGACATGATATTGACAAGCCTCAGATGGGGCAAGATGGCCATGTCTTGACCTTCCAAGTCAACCACGGCGAGAAGCTCAACGTCGTTGCGTTCCGCACAGATCCGAACGAGTGGAGTGATCCTACAAAGCTCACCAAGACAGCGCATCGCCAGGATGCTTTGGACGACTTCAAGGGTTACAACAGCACCGTGACAAACCTTTTGAAGCTAACAGAAGAAACTCTCAGTGTGGTATGTCCAACACTATGCATCTGTAACGACCGAATACTAATATTCGCAGTGGGCCATCTTCGACCTTGGTGACAACCCCGTCCCATCGTTTTATAAAGGCAGAATAGCTATCCTCGGCGACGCCGCCCACGCCACAAGTCCCCACCACGGTGCCGGAGCTGGTTTCTGTATAGAAGATAGCGCAGTCATGGCAGAGATTCTCGCCGATGAGCGTGTGCAGAGTCTGCCAGATATCGAGGCTGCATTTGCCGCTTATGATGAGTCGCGGAGAGAGAGGGGCCAATGGCTTGTCGATAGCAGTAGGTTTGTTGGAAATGCGTATGAGTGGAGGGCGAAAGGTGTTGGAAAGGATACTCCCAAGATTGAGCAGGAGATCAACGAGCGAATTGGCGTGATTTCTAACATTGATCTTGCGAAATCATGTGAGATGGCGAGGGAGTTGTTGAACAAGAAGCGAGCTTAGACGTATACCTCTCAAATTCAAATAATTTTACACAAGGGACAATATTTCTTCCAGTCTGATACACTATATATCCACCAACAAAAATCGCATACTTCTTCGTATTCAAGGTCCTCTGTTGATAGGCCTCATCTTTATTGGAATCAGACAGATCATTGAATCCTAGCTCTACGATGCCATCTACGAGCAAAGATGTTAATGAGTGAGCGGAGCCTTCATCGTGGGGGATTTACTTATCTTCATGCCGCCATCTTTCAATCTCGGTCATCGTAGTAATATCAAAGTCATGTCCTCCGAGCTTGTCAGATCCCTTCTCATCCTTGTAGTCTCTGAGCTTAAAACCTGTCAACTCTTCCTTCTGAAAGTAACAGCAAGAGTACTTACCCGGCTTTGCCAGTCGACATTCTCCCATTTATCCATCCACCCAGCCGGACTACCTCGAATGCTTTTGATCTGTCTATAATCTTTCTCAAAGTCATGAGAACTGTAAATTTGACGTTGGATTCTTCAGCAAGGTCAGCAACCTTGCATATCCAAGGCAAACTCTCGTCGTAGATACTGAAAAAGGAGACGCCGCCACAGAACACGTCGAGCCTCCATCGGATAAATGTGACAAGCACGGAACCGAGGTTGCGGATCTCTGAGTTGGGCTTGAATACATCCTGCTTTTTTCAGAGCATCAATGGTAGCGAGGACTAGGCTGCCTACGATCTCGTCCCTCGCTCGCTTTGATTCTTAATGCTTGACGACTGGGACTGTCAGAAAGAACAACATATTCTTGGCACAGCATCATGACTTACTATTGAAGTCGAGCTGACCACGCTGGAGAATCATAGCAACCCTTCAACTTCGGGCCAGAAATCACGATAACTGGAAGTAGGCTGGAAGACAGAGTCAAACTGGGCAACCTGCGAGCTAGTTAGTCAGGTCTGAAGGGCTGTATGATATAAAGAGTACCTACAATGTTCTCAAATGCCTCAAATACATCGTAACCGCCAATGTAGTTGCGGTGGAGGGGGGGAAGTGGTCCTGGATGCGCTTGCAACATTCCTGCTACCACCACTTAGAGCGATCTACACCACGCATGGTGAAGACACAAGGCCAGTTCGGGTGAAGTGATGTAAGCTTATTAAAAAGGCTTTTCATCATTTTCCTTCCCAGCATTGTTCGCAGTCTCGCCATCTCCCTCTTCCTCATCGTCATCCTCAAACTTGCCACAAAATTTACCGTCTTCATCCGCAGGAATAGGCAGACACATAAAGTCCCAGTCATCAGCACCTTCATCATTAGGAACACTATCATCCTGCTTCATAGCCTCATCTGTCATCTTCCAGCCTTCGTCAGAGATCTTGAGGCCTCCTTGTAGGCATCGAGCCAAGGGTCATGATCCTCCCACCACCGACGACTCCTAAAGGTTATTTCATAATCAGGGGTTCCGTCGAGGCTGATCAATGGGTCAAATTCGGAAAGAAAATGAAGAGGGTTTCTTCCGTGGGCGCACTTCAGTTTCGCCCAGAAGCACTCCTTGGGCAGGTCTTCAGGGATCATCACCTCCCCTTTAGGGCCCCGAAGAATGCGACGCTTACGAGAGCCTTTGCGAACTTGAGAACTTTCCGCTTGTTGCTCTCGGGGAGCTTCATTGGTTCGGGCGCTTTTCGACGCCGGCTGGTCGTCGTGAGCCCATCGTGAGGGCGTTTAATCTGACCTTCTCTTGAGCTTCTGGGTGGCATCTTTAATTGGGTGATGATGATAACGCTAACATACGTCACTAGCTTTTCTGCGCTGTTTCTTATAACTGTGGCCAGGTGGATTTTCAGATTTAGGCTTACCCCATATAGGGCGCGAAATTGTTTGAAGACCGCGACGACAAGAAGAGGATGGCTGTTGTGGGCAGTAGGGGTTGAAAACATTAAATTTAGTATGCTCTTAATTGCTTGAAAGTATTTAATGCATTTGCGGTGTCCTCTGGATGGTAACTTCGCGCGATTGAAATGAGTTGTTCCTAGATTTAGATTGCACTTAATGGAGGCGGCCATGTCCAAGTAATCTCTCATTGTCTGGTTGCTTGGACTTCTCGAACATCAAACATCAAAGTTCCAAAAGGATACCATATAAATTTAGAGTCATTAGCTTGTAAGTTGTTGTCTCAATTAATTCGCTTAAACCAGCAACTGTCCTTTAAATCCTCTGCGACAAGCCATTTATGGGACGACCTGTCACGACAGCGTCACCTCGTTAATTTCAGCATTACACTCAGTGTCTCCATTGCTCGACTATGTCAGGTTCAACATTAATGCTTGAATTCATAGCTTGGATTTGGGGTTCTTACCCTTAACACCAAGTGCCTCGGCCTCCTGAATTACTGTGGTTGGGATATGCTCTTCCAAGCTTTCATATTCTGGTTCCCAGCCGAGAACCTTCCGAGCCCGATCAGCTCCGGCGCGCGCGTTTGTTCCCAACAGGACAGACCCGTGGGGAATGATGCTATCTATTTCCTTTCCATCGAGATTGTCGACTTCTGTGGTCGGAATGAGATTAAAGTCATTCGCAGCGACAGCGATGCGACGTGAGATCTCGGCAAACGACTGTAGTCAATCTGTTAGCACCAAAATGTCGCTCAGTTGACAATGCAAAACCCACCAATTCTCCAGCACCAGTGAAAAAGAGGCCATTTGCTCCCCAAATATTCTCATCTTTATTGCCCTCAACCGCCTTCTCAACCAGGCTGAGGAAGATGCGGCTCAAATCTGCGATGTGAATGTTCCCCCATCGACTTTCACCAGAGCCAACTTGCAGACCCTTCTTGCGCACCAATGTCGCTTTGGCGAGCCCAGGAATTTGCATGCTGCGCTGATTGCCTGGACCACGACCTTGGCCGTAAATGATGGGAGGAACAACAAGCGCAGTCTTGACATGCGAGTTTTGCTCCGAAACGGAAAAGATGTAATTGTCCACTGCACGGCTTGGGTATTGCTTGATGAGCGACTTGATTGAGTCAACACCAGTGAGATCATTGTAGATGACATCACTGCCTGTGCCAAAGACTCGCGACTTGTCGGCGAGCTCACCAGCCGCCAATGCGCTGGCGCCCGAGATCTGGATGTAGTACGGAGGTTTCGCGCCCTTGGCCTTTTTGGAGAGAGCTTCGTAGATGTTCTGAACACTCTTCAAGTGGCCGGTGGCCGCAAGATCTGTAGATTGAGAGTCAGCACATTCCCTTGACATTTGAGACAAGGATGTAACATACGGAGCACGACGTCAGCATCCTGGGCTTCCTGTGCGATAACATCTGCGTCGTCAAGTCCGCCAGTAACGAGCTGCACCTGACTATAGCTCTTGGTTATGGCCGCTCCCTTCGAAACATCACGAACCAAGGCCCGGACTTTGTATTCAGGGTGCGACTTCAACAGGGTGTGAAGGACATCACCGCCAATGTAGCCAGTAGCGCCGGTACTGTTTTGATTCCAGCGGGTCAGCTAAAGTTACAGTGGGTACGGGGCTGAACTGACAGGAAGATCTTGGTCATGGTTAATGTTTGTCGAGGTAGAAACTTGTGATGAATGTTTGGTGTTTGTCACTTTTGAAGAGGGGAAGTTTGCATATTTAACTGCCTGCGACGATGTTGAACATGTGAAATTAGAAGTCTTATCGCAATTGGATTTGCTTCATAAGCAGCTCTTGCAACAAACGGCTATTCTCGCGCCATGTTGAAGGTGCAGTTTAGCGGGGCACGCCCTGTATTCCAGGGTCGCCCATACTGGAAAGTGTCCCCGGCGCCCTGAAAGATATCGGATTACAAAGACGCGCTGCGGCTATTATCGTACTTCGTATCTTCACGGCTATTGTCGCAAACACAAATGACGACATCGGCTTGCCTAAATCAGGTAAAGTCTACAACACCAGGGTATTCCGCGGACCGGCAATAGCCAATCTGTCAATGTTAATGGCTGGAGAAATTATAGGCAAATCTTTGTCGGCTGTTGCGCATGATCAGAGCGCAGCATGCCCATCTCAAACAGTCAAGCTATTGGGTGCAAAGGAAGAGAGGAAAGCATCAAATCAGGAAATATTGCTACAAAAACACGGTTAAACAAGTCTTTGCGCCTGTTATTCTGTGGCTTGAAGGGCTCATCAGCTTTCACATAGCAACTATCTCACGAACGGCAAGCTGGAGAAGGTAATGAGATGGCAATGCAGTATGAAGAGTTCTAACGTTCAACCATTCTACAGATCTAGATAACAGCTCTCTCCATCAGAGGCTCATTGCGAGCAATCCGACCATAACCCAAAGCCGACAAGTCCAGAGTGCGAAACTCTCCGTACGTGATGAGCTCTGCGACACCTCGTCCACAAGCGGGAGCCTGTTGACTTCCATGTCCAGAAAAGCCCACGCAGAATGACAGGTTGGAAACTTCATTATGTGATCCAACGATGGCATTGTGGTCGAAAGTGTTGAACTCATAATGGCCCATCCACGAGTGCGTGACCTTCGCAGTGGAAAACTGAGGAACTCGCTTCTTGAGAACAGGCAGCATCTTCAAGGTCCATACATCCTCCGCGTAGCTGAAGTCATCGGGATTGACAGCAACATCGGGGCCGATTGGAGGGCAGCCGACGAGGTAATCCTTCTCTCCATATGATCGCATGTGAACACCAGTAGGATCAATGGTGAGCGGGAGATCCTGAGACAGAGGTTCATCGACGGAGAAGATGTACGTGTATCTGCGGCGAGCCTCGATCGGGAGATCTATACCAGCAAGCCGCGAGACCTCGGCAGCTCTGGTTCCTGCGGCATTGACAACATTGCCAACGCTGATGCTCTCCCCAGTCTTGAGAGTAACGGAAGTGACTTTGTTGCCGACGCGAGTCATTCCAACAACTTCATTGTTGATGTAATCGACCCCAAGCTGTTGAGCTTTCTTGCGCAGGCTATGGACCATGCCGAGGGCGTCAAAGGCACCCTCGTCAACAATGTTGAGGCTGCCCGTCTTGATGTCATCCAGAGCGAAGAAAGGATACTTGGATGCTATTTCATCAACCGACAGCATCTTAGTCCCAGCATCGCAGCTAGCCTGAAGCTTTTGATCTTCCTCAAGAACGGCAGCAAACTCAGAAGTATCCGCGAGATACAGATAGCCGAAGTTGCGGATAGGGATATCCGGGATGCCGTCGTCATCCTCACACTTGAGGTTCTTGCGAAAGTCTTTGACAAATTCGGCAGCATACTGAGCAATCTTGACATTGATCTCAGTCGCAAATTGCTGACGCATGCAGTTATTGCTGGCCTGAGTTGCAGAGTAGGCAAGAGATGGGTCTTTCTCGACAACGAGAACTTTGCCCTTGAAGTCAGGGTTCGACACGAGAAACCAAGCAATTGCTGAGCCGCTTGTTGCGCCGCCTATGATGACAACATCGTAGGAGGCTGAAGAAGGACGTTGAGGGAACGAAGAAGTAGCCATGACTACAAGGTGTAAAGTTGTGCTAGTTGACTGTAGCCGGAAGTAGTGACGATTTTGTGAAGCCTGATAGTGAGAAGCAACAACGGTCGCTTCTTCGGATTATATATCATCTCGGGAAGCGCTTCTTGCCATGGTCTTGATTACAGCATAACGCTTAACCACGGAGGTTGGCGTTGTAAGGACGCTTCACATTGAAGAGGCTTTAGAGTAGGCGTTGCTGTCCATCTGTAAAGGTTTGCCCGAGTAAGTATCCGCGAAGCAGCACAATTGTTCTGATGGGGAGAGCTACTTGCCTTAATTTGTCAGCCTATGATTACTTTGGTGAACCGCATGATGGAAGACCGATGATCCCCAGACCAAGCCTGGATTGCATGAAATGGTCTGCAAAGTATTGAGAAGCGACGGTAGGCGCGCGGTAGATGGCGGCTCATCAATATCTCGGCCGCGGAGTTCCGTGGGTAACAGACGCTAACTGTTTTTGATAGTGCCGACTCGATGCGCTGTGGCGAAATGTCTCAACAAGAGACACGGCAGTTGATTGACTAATGCTGAAAGCGTTGCCCCTTGCTGCACATTCCCATCCATTAACTCAATTGTGTGACGATTGGTGATAGACCCGTTCTGCTTTCGTCGGAGTTTGTCACATAGATACAGTCACCGTGCTGGAAGAGGAACAGTTGGTGTGATTACTAACAGCACTCGTTAGTGGCGTATCAACCCAAACCCAATTTCCGTCTTCACACTACTTGCACCTCTTCAATCATCCGTCATCAATCATGAAGGTTGCAAGCCATGCGCGGAGGCGCAAGGGTACGGAACATAACGAGAGACATCGTTCGAGTAGCTCAAAGCTGATAAGTCCTAGCCTGCGATCTTTGCGTGTCGAGAAAGATCAAATGTGACTTGGCCAAGCCAACCTGTTCAAACTGCAAGCTGTACGGTGTCGATTGTGGCATCACCGAAGTCACAAGTCCGGCTACTACAAGTAGAAGAAAAGTGCCTGCCACTGAAACAAGTCCAACCAACTCTTCTTCGACTCCCTCAAGGTATGCGGACGCTCTTTGAGCTCAAGGTATAACCATACTGACACTCACGAGGGACGACACAATTGAGTCACGCTTGGCTCACATCGAAGCAAGACTGGACCAAATCGCCGCCGAGAAACCATCCGGAAGTTCACCTCACGATGCAACCGCCTTGAACTTCCAGAACTTCCCAGAGATCCGCGTGTACAAAGCCTCAGACATGTGGAACGAAGCCACGACATTGCCTTGCCTTGGCATTTCACCACAGTTTCCAACAGGAGCCATGTTGGCTCAAACAGGAAAGCTTGAGCTGCCACCACTTCAAGAAGTCATGGGCGTACTGGAGAGATACTTCGACAGCTATGGCCGCTACATGCCTCTGTTTGACAATAGATCTTTCATGAAAATGACGGTTGACTGGTACTCTGAGAATGGAAGAAAGGAGTTGATCCCTTGGGCTGCTATCAACCTTGTCCTCGCTATGACTTCCCGCATCATGGATGATGTACCGATCGAGGAGCCAAAACTGGCTCAGTGTATAAGCAACGTGCAGTCTGCCACGACCGAGTTGATGGCCTGGAGTGGTGATATTCTGGGTTTACAGGTTCTACTTGGCATGGTCATACTATTTCAGGGAACAACGAATCCGCAGCTCGCAATAGTACTCATTGGAAGTGCCATCCGTCTAGCGCAAAGCATGGGACTTCCTTCAACAAGAGCCTCCGACGATCCCGATGAATCAGCACAACGTCGCCGAGTTTTCTGGATAGCCTACATCCTGGACAAGGTATGACCTTGAAACTTGTCTGTCTACAGCAACTAACCCACGAGGACAGGACCTTGCCCTTCGCGCCAAAGCGCCCTACACCCAATTCGACGCCGAAACTGATCTCGAACTTCCAGAACAGTGTGGAGACAACGACATGGGAATATTAGAGTCATGCACAGGGACGATTAGGTTCAACTACTTACGTGCTCGGTCTGAGTTGGCAATAATTCAAGGCAAAGTCCACAACTTCCTTTACAGCAGAACAGCTCAACGACTGTCACAAGAACAACGGGCAGAGACCAAGGTTCGTATCGAACAATTGCTCTCCAAGTGGCGCAGCGCATTACCACAGGAGCTCCTACGATCAGACAAACTCTTCCAAGATTTCTCGACAATCTCAGTTCATCTTGTGATGAACATGTATAACCGATACCTCGAATGCCTCTACAGGATCCATGGCACCTTTGCTTTTGATGAGACGTGGATCAACAGGGTACGGTGCTACCTTTCTCCAGCTGTAATTCCGACTGGGGATGCTGGCATCGATGGTAGGATCAACCAGACAGAGATCAGTTCATTGCCTAGTGCATGGTCCGATTGCGTCGAGCATTCAAGGCTTGGCCTAGAATTGTCGGCGTTTGGGAGAGAGACAGAGTATTCAACCTGGTGAGTTGAACCTCGATTGTCACGACCGTACGTACTGACAAGGTAACCAGGCTTCATGCTTGCTGCAATCTTTCGGGACTGATCGTTTTGCTGGTCAACATCATCGAGTTCCCCGATCAGCCGTCCGTCATGTCGGATTGGAGCTTGATCGTAAGAATCCGTAACAAATTTGACCAGATGAATGCCAAAGCATCGAAAGAGCCATTCTTTCTGCTCCAGGTAGCTCATGAACTGGATCGCAAAGCTTCTGGACAGGTCAAGCGGCTCGCCCATATGTCGTCACTCAATCATCAGGAAGCCGCATTCTCTGAGCCTTGGGCAAATCCGGACCTTATGTTCCTATAGTCAACTGACATGTTCTCCCACGAGTTAGAGGGACTGTCTAGTCTATCAGAACTATGCGATATTGGGCCATCCTTCAAATATCATCACCGTCACTTGATGATGACCCCCGCAAATAGCCCCACAATTCGGGGGAAGAGACCCCGAGTAATGTTCCCCCTCCCCCAAACTGAACATGTCATCCAATCGTGACCATTCTTAATAAATACCGCGCGTGCCTCTTCTCGTCACTTTGGGGGTCTCGGATTCACTGCACCTCAATATCAGACCAACATGGCGGAAACTCAAGCAACACGAAAGCGATATGCCGTCGTTGGCACCGGCGGCCGCTCAAGCTTCTTCTACTCAGCCATCGCAACAGAATATAGCAAAACATCATGTATCGTAGCCCTTTGCGACACAAACCAAACTCGCATGAACTATGCAAACTCGAAGTTAAAGTCACTCGGTCATGGCGAGGTTCCGACGTATCTCGCCAGCAACTTCGATCAGATGATCAAAGAGTCCAGGCCCGACGAAGTCATTATCACAACTATGGATCGAACACATAATATCTATATCGTTCGGGCACTTGAACTAGGATGCAACGTCATTACTGAGAAGCCGATGACCATTGACGCCCCTAGATGCAAGGAGATCTTTTCAGCAGTCGAGAGAACAGGCCAGAAAGTTCGCGTCACCTTCAACTACAGATATGCGCCTCACAACACGAAAGTCTTCGAGTTGCTGAGATCCGGAGCTATTGGGAAAGTCACAAGCGTCCACTTTGGTAAGTCAATGGTTAGAGCATAGCGAAGAAGATAGAAGCTGACATGACTATAGAATGGATGCTGAACACCAGCCACGGAGCCGACTACTTCCGCCGCTGGCACAGGGACAAGCGTAATAGCGGCGGTCTGCTGGTACACAAGTCGACCCATCACTTCGATCTTGTCAACTTCTGGCTCCAAACCAGGCCTCAAAACGTGTTTGCTACAGGCGACCTTGCCTTTTATGGCCGAGAGAACGCAGAGAAGCGTGGCGAGACCAAGTTCTACACCCGCGCCCATGGCAGCGAAGTCGCCAAAGCCGACCCATTCGCCCTTCATCTCGACCAGAATCCTCAATTGAAGGCTATGTATCTGGATGCCGAGCACGAGGACGCTTACTACCGCGACCAGAGCGTCTTTGGTGATGGTATCAGCATCGAAGACACCATGAATGTTCTCGTCAAGTACCGCAACGGAGCTAGTCTTTCATACTCTCTCACAGCATATGCACCCTGGGAGGGCTTCCGTGTGAGCTTTAACGGAACCGGCGGACGTCTTGAGGTCGAAGTCGTGGAGAACAGCTACGTCAACTCAGGTGGTGATCAGGCCCACGAAGGGTCTCTGGAGAGTCGGAAGATACTGCTCCGACCTCTTTTCGAGAAACCAAGAGAGATCAAGGTCGAAGATGGGGTTGGTGCTCACGGGGGTGGAGATACTGTTTTGCTGAATGATTTGTTTGGAACGCCGGTATCGGATGAGTACATGCGAGCAGCGAGCCATATTGATGGTGCTGCTTCGATACTTACAGGTATTGCAGCTAATAGGTCTATTGCGACGGGACAGGCGGTTAACGTGGACGATATTTTGGTGGTTCCCAGCTCATGAGGCAGATACCTGTATTCATTTACATGAATGAAGAAGAGTTAAAGACGCTTTTAACAGCCATGAATGATGAGAAGCACGGTTATGATGATGTAGGAAGTCCCCAATCGTAATGTAATGAAGGCCGATGAGATGTCATCAGGAGAACTACACCTCAGTACTCTAGCCTTTTCATGGATAGGGGCGGTTAAATGAGGCAACTGGATTTCTGGCCAAGTCTTGTGTTTCGATGCTAGATTCACTCGACTAAGGTGATGCAAGGTCCCATTGAAGAGCCTTTAATCCTGCTACAAGACAAGATATCCCTAGCATGAAATATGTGCAGTGATGATTACATAGGTGCAGTAACTAATCCAGCTGTGTTGGTCGATTGCGAGGTCCAACAGGGACATCATGGCCCTGTGGTGAACGTAGCAACTCAAGCATAATCTTCACCAGGACCTTATGGAAATTGCTATAGCTGGCATGATCAAAACTAACAACATCTACGCAATATTGCTTGCTTCTGACTCCTCACCCATGCGTATCTTTTCTTGAATGATAAACGCCTCTTGTTCCCGTGCACTCTTCTCAAGATCGAGAAATGACCAGATTCCAATAGCACTGACCAAGCTCAAAGCAAACAAGAAGTAGAAGGGAGCACTGTTGTTAGTGCCACCGGGGGTAGCATCAATGATAGCACTGCTGATGAAAGGTCCGATGAAGCTGGACGATTTGCCGATGATGTTGAACAGGGAGAAGAAAAGAAATTCGTGTCCTCGGGGGGTGACGGAGCTGATCATGATCTGCGAGTAACTGTACCAGGGACACACAAATAGTCCATAGAAAGCCTGATACAGCCAGATCTCCCAGACGTTTTTGAAGCCAAACTTATCAGTCCAGTTGCCAATCATACCCCAGCCATCGAGAAGGACGATAAAGACCATGACGGCGTTGAACATGGCTTTGACACTGAGGTTGAAATGCTTCTGAATGAGCCAAAAAGCACCAATACCGACAGCTTGAGCGACGATACCAACGATGAGGAGGTAAGTCAAAGTGAGAGTCTCGTAGCTGACAACCTGGTTCTGAAGGGTGCCGATAACAGTGACGGTGGTGTTAAGAGAATCGCCCAGAAGGAAATATCCAACAAGATAGATCAAGCTCTGCTTCAGGTGCCAGATTTGAGTCAAGGCCTCCCAAAGCTGCCAGAACCCGACAGTAATCATGTTCAAGTGATCCGGGACCTTCATTCCTGGACGCTTCTTCTCCAACAAGAACCAGGGGATCGAGAGGACAAGCCAGCAAGCAGTAGCGAAAGCGATCAGGACCGAAAGTCCCCAGTTGTTGTTTTCGGCACTCTTGTCGACTTTGACGCCAAACATGATGCCCACGATGATGGCTAGGATTACCACTTCGCCAACAGATTGGATATAGAAGGCAACGTTGCTGAGCCTGCTCCTCTCCATCTCATCTTTGCGATCCATCTCGCTTTGGGTGATTTCTCCAACCTCGAACTGAAGGGCAGCTTCTTTCAGCTGCGGAGTGTTTCTGGCAAGAGAGGGAAATGCCGCGGTCCAATACGTCAACGTCATTTGGTATGCGATTAGGCCGACGATGTAAAGACCTGTAGCGGTTTGCCACTTGCTGGGATCATGGACGCCTAGCCAGCCAAAGCCGATACCATATGCGATAATTGACCAGACCAAAAGAATCCATCGTCGTCCAGTTCCGAAATCTGCGTAAGCTCCAATGATGAGGAAGAGAACAGCCTGAATAGCGAAAGATATGCCATTGGCAAGAAGGACAATGCTGTTGACGTCTCGTGGGCGACCCGCAAACGGTAGAAGCCCCGTATCTTTGGGCGCCGCCTGGGAGAGCAGATTCTGGAAAGCTGTCGGTCCAAAATTGAACAAGGCGAGTCCATTTGAACCAATGTAATACGCGTACCACGACCAGATCTCCTTCTTGGTTGTCTCCGGCATGTCGCCCTCTGCCAGCGTAGGCACTATGATACCTGCGCTGACATCTTGCTTAGCAGGCTCATCATGCAGGTCTTTAGACACCCTGGTCTCTGCTGTCGCGCGATCTGCTTGCGATGCCATCTTTTGAGATTATTTGTTAAAGGAAAAAAGGATGCTGGAGTCAGAATTCGATTGAGTTTTCCACGAGGCATTTAACTTAATCATGTCGCAACGTGGATGCCGTGTAACCGTTCTTATGGTGGACATGATAGGCAGATTGTTGATCAAACGTTGCTAGTGTCTCATGCAGACCATTATCGCCCCATTTAGTGGGTGCGGCTCGCTCCATGGGGTTAGTCTGGGGAGATCGAGGGACTTTTGCTATCGCTATTTTCCGTGGTTCAAGATAAGCTCAGAAAAGATCGATCACTAATCATATCCATGAGATTGGTCCAGACAGATCAAGGTGAAGAGGAAATGATATTTTGTCTGAAACAAAGGGGCCTTTATTTGATAATATCCATGATTCCGCCCCTCAATTTAATGGACTCTAATATTTGGATTCGCAGAACCAAGAACATTATCTCTCCATCAAGAACAGTCAAGTATCGAGGTAGACAAGTATATCGCCGTGACGATGCATCGGTGCTCAGAGTCCAATAAACTTGAGATACCTACTAATATACACGCATGAAAAGAAAGCTTACTTCATGAAGGATATGATGCATTCGAGCTCAAGCACAGGTAGGTGAAAAGAACAGAATACTTCGGTAGCCAGAGCTTTAGGTTTTGGCCGCATATCAAATTGATACCCATCCGCTAATATCTTTCTACCTCATATTTCTACTTTGGCTTGAAAGCCATCAATAACATTGATTCCAGAACTAACTTGATCCGACGGAAAGGCCCATCGGTGAAAGCATCTTGGACTTTGGACAAACTTCCGGCCACGCCGCGCCAGTTCTAAGGTACTTCCGAAAAGATGACACATCCCTCCACAATGAAGTCGGTCGAAAGAGAAGTTGATATCATTTGTGAATTAAATTGATACGCGGGTCAATATCCAAACGCCGACCTTGTAGGTCGTCCTGCTCCGAACTTGAAGCCACCTACGAGATTGGCTCAAGAACCAACTTGATGCGTCTGTATGGCTGGTTTGGAAAGGCAGCCTGCAGTGCAGACAGACTACCAGTCATACCGATCCAGTTGGAAGTTTCAGGGATAAAGAGGGTAGTAGGAGGAGCGGCTAAAGAGGGCAACGTCAGCATATAAATATTCTCACTCTTCCAACACAAATTTTGACTTACATCCGTCGGTATTTATCCAAGAAGCAGTGACCTCTAGAGTGTCAGGGTTAACGATCCACTGAGAGATAGTATTAGCATTGGACAGCTTTCTTTTTCAGTGTTGACTCACAATAGCTGATTCAGCTGCCAACGTATATCGATGAAGTTCAGCCCAGTTAGTCCAAGCGTGGTAAAAATAGGCTGGTGGGCTACCGGGAGGACCTTTTACTGTTAGCGATCCGGCTAGAGTATGAAGAGCGATGTCCATTAGATTTCCAGATTTCACTTACTAGGAGTACATGTAGAAAGGTAGTTGTAGCTATTTTTATGTTCTGGTGAGTTTTTGCGTAGCAGGCTCGACATATCTCTTCACTTACAAAGACGAGTCTGGCCCCAAGTCGGCATTTGCGTTATGGGTACTCTGAACGGCACATAAGCGTGTGAGGCCACCGAAGGTCTCAGCATGGACGAAATCCAATTGAGAAGTGGCACCTGGCTCAGGTGCAGATATCCGAATCTCCAATGCTTCCTCTTTGGGGCCAGATAAACGATTGTGGCCTGGGGCAGTGGACACATAACCAAAGGTAGACTCGTCTGGATTCACCAGACGGATGATATAGACAGTAGGTGTACTTGAAGTGGCAGTGGTAGATTCGCCTGCAGCTATGGTTGTTGCATCTCCCGTAGTGGTTGTTTCGGTATTTGAGCTGAGCGTGATTGCTGTTGAGGTAATATCGCTGGACACCGAAGTACTCGCGCTCTCTGGATCTGTTGTGAGGTCAGTTTTTGTCGTGGAGATCGTCCCACTGGAGGCTGAAATAGATGCAGAGGCTAATTCTGTGCTGATTTCTGTAACAAAGGTAGCTGTTGTCGACGAGGGCAGCGGGTTTGAAGTTGCAGTGACCTCTGTACCCGATGTGGACAACTCGGTAGTAACGCTGTCGGTGGTTTCGGGCAGAGTTTCAGTGCTTGAAGTCATGGGCGTAGAGCAGTCAATATCGTAATAGGTAAATGGAGATGCTGAGTCTTGTTGGAATCCTTCAGCAACAGGGGAAGAGAACAGAAGACATCTGGCGCTGCTCTGTGCGTAGCTCTGACAGCCAGCAATGGCAGAGCAAAGCTCCTGACAATCAACCAAACGACATTTCAGACTTCTTGTAAGAATCGGGTCTGGCTTGTACCCAACCACGCCACAGGAGGCCTGCTCAATGCTGGTGACAAGACGAGGGGATAGATCAGAGCGAAGGATGTCAACTGGCGATCCCGAAATGAGCGGCAGGCAAACGCCAACAAAAACGAGAGACCGCATTTTGAGAGAGGAATATCACCGCTAGTGTGTTAAAAAGTGCTTTCGGCAATAACAACATTTTGAAGGACCCGGATAATTTAAAAGAGAGCTGTCAGGAGCGTTCAGCTGATCGCTTAACTTAAGGCTATCGTTTTATTACTCTAGCACGTCGATAGTTTCAATCGCTGATGAATGAGATGGAAGCTTGGCGGCTTGGCCTAATTTCCACGTTGCCAGCTGGCAGCAGTAAGTTATGCATACATTTAGACTTTTAAGTCTAGACCACGTCAAACGAGGCGCCTAGTATGTTCATGACTCTTGTCCCTGGTATCTCGGTAAGATGCGGCGACAATGTAGACCTCAGACTCTCAACCACTACCAGTCTCACCGTCGTGTTGAACTGTTCTCAGGCTCTTTCTTAATTCTGGAACCTGATGGAGAAAACCTCATACACAAGTCAAGGACAGACTCGGAAGGCTACTTGATCACTGTGGCAGTTTTTTCCTGCTGATGTTTGGCATGGTATCGAATTAGGCCTCAGGTAATGACTGATGCATCTTTGAGAGCAGGAACTAATACCAGCGCATTCTGAAGATGTCCATTTTTGCGATATTCAATTTATCCCAGATTTGCCAGTCATGCAAACTTAGGATCAAAGCAACTTCTTTGCGTTAAGTCTCTTATCGCCTTTGTTCTCCGTTTCACAAGGTGCAGACTTTGCTATCGCTCGCCCTGTGATTGCACCACTTGTCTCCACTCGCACATGATGGGGATTATGGATCAACATTGACAATTTTATTGTCAAACAAGCCGCATGACAAAGTCAAGAAAAGTGTCAATTTTGCGAATGATCAGAAGAATTGGACAACGACGACATCATGGTATTGCATCCCGCAGAGGTTGCCCAGCACAATAACGCCAACTCCTGTTGGCTCATCATTCATGCAGGTAAATCGCTCAATCGGCACTGCACCCACTAATGAAGCTACAGAACAAGGTCTACGATCTTACTGACTTTCTTCCAAGTATATATGACTCTCATCACCCGCATCTCTGCACTCATACTGACCCCTTCGATAGATCATCCTGGAGGAAAGAAGGTGATCCTGAAAAATGCGGTATGTGTTGCTTGCTCTTCAAAAAGCTCCCGTACGAACTATTTTAGGGCAAAGACTCTACTGCAGACTTCGATCTGATTCACTCGAATGACGTTCTCGATAAGTGGCTGGAGCCATCCAAGCACCTGGGCGATATCGATACCAGCGTCGCAGGCATGTCTGCGAATGGAACCACCCAGTCCAAAGAACCGGAACAGAGCAAGCCAAAGCTATCACAATGCGTGAATATATCAGACTTTGAGTCTGTAGCACAACAGACAATGAAGAAATCCTCTTGGAACTACTATTCCACTGGGGCCGAGGACGAGTTTGTAAGTTGAAACTTTGATCGAGTCATTCTTAGCATGAGACTTATAAGCAACAGACCATCAAGGAGAACAACGCAGCTTTCCAACGCATACGGTTTCGGCCGAAGGTTCTTATCAACGTTGAGCATGTGGATATTTCTACCACTATGCTTGGAGCCCATACATCCGCTCCAATCTACATAACAGCTACCGCACACGCCAAGCTTGGAGACCCAGACGGCGAAGTGACATTGGCGAGAGCAAGCAACAAGCATGATATCATCCAAATGATACCATTGTACTCATCATGTCCCCTCTACGACATCACGAATGCTAGGGAGCCTAATCGGACTCAATGGTATCAGATATATGTCAAGAAGGATCGAAATGTGACACGGAAGGCTGTTGAAGCCGCCGAAGCACGAGGCTGTAAAGCCTTGTGCATCACTGTCGATAATCCGCACCTCGGAAGTCGCGAAAAGGTCCTGCGTTCGCAACAGAGTGAGTCTGAAGAAGACGAATTCGAGGATGCACCAGCAACAGAGCTGGATCCGTCTCTCATAATGAACTCAACCCTGTCCTGGGACGACATCCCGTGGTTTCAAGAAATCACCAACATGTCGATTGTCCTCAAAGGCGTGCAACGAGTCGAAGACGTCATTAAGGCAGTAGAATACGGCGTCCAGGCTGTGATTATCTCCAATCATGGCGGACGACAACTCGATTACTCAGAGGCTCCAATTGAGGTCCTTGCGGAGGTTATGCCTATCTTGAGAGAACGAGGCCTTCAGGGCAAAATTGAAGTGTATATTGATGGCGGGGTTCGTCGTGGCTCAGATGTGTTAAAGGCTTTGTGTCTTGGTGCTCGTGGCGTGGGCATCGGTCGCCCATTTCTCTACGCGATGGCTGCCTATGGACAGAAAGGACTTGAGAAAGCGATTCGCATCTACAAAGATGAACTTGAAAGGAATATGCGACTGCTTGGGTGCACATCAATTGGCCAACTTCACCCAGGGCTGGTAAAGGTGCTCGGTGAGGTTCGGGAAAGGCTATAAAAAAGAGGCATTGATTGGAGTCATGTTCTAAATGCAGGTATTATAGACTGACATGAGCATATGAGGCGCTTTCGAAGTGATAATTGGAGTGATCCATGAATAACAACGAAGGCTTTGATGTGCGCTTCAGCTCATGTTCATGCAAGTCGGTAAGATATCGATGATGAAAGAGCAAGTGAAAAGGGAACTTCGGAAGATGGATTGATTGCCCGAAAGCCATCGATTATAGTATGTGCATTATCTAATAATATACAGAGACAAACTTTCTGAACCGAAGCAAATGCATCCCGTTGCTACAGAACTACCATCACAGCTTTACCAGCCGCCACCAGCCTTCTTGAAACCAGGGTACATCTTCTTGTTGTAGTCGAGCCAATTTGTTCCGTTGACACTCAAGTCCTTGTACACGGGGCAGTCCATGGCTCCCATGATAGGCTCAAGAGCAGCGAAGAGAACATCAGTTACAGAAGACAAGGTGGCGAAGAGAGATGACAAAGCGTTGGGGGAGACGGTCTTGATAGCGTTGAGAGCAAAGCAGACAAGGTTGTTGCCCTGAAGAAGGTTCTTTCCGTTGAGCACTCCACCAGCAAGGTCGCTGAAGTTGATTCCGACAAAGGTGTTGACACCGTTGGTGTTACCGCCAATGCTGAAATATGTTAGTTGGAATCCATACGGGACGAATCATGAGATGACTTACCTGAGGACCTCGGGGTGACTGTGAGTAACAATGTCAAGGGCGTTAGCAGCAATGCCATAGTCGGTATAGCGGCGGCGGTAGAAGTTCTCGGGAATACGCTCATGGCCAACGACGTAGGTCATGTTCTCCTCAGGTCCGTAAACAGAGAAAAAGGCCTTAAGCATCTCCTTGTCGAGGATACCATCGTCGGGATGCTCAGCAGAGCGGTTGGCAGCAAGACGAGCAGTGAAAGAGTAAGGGCTAGCGCGAACGAGCCAGCCGCTAGCAGGGCCAAACCAAGCGTAAGGGTTGGTAGCAATGGTCTGGTGCCAGCGGTTCTTGTTGTGCTCGTACAGAACCTCAATGCTGTAGTTGGGGTTCTCGGCGTCCTTTTGCAGGTTGTAGAGCTCCATGAAGTAGGTCATGTTCATGTCGTTGTTGTCGCCAATGGGGTCGTAGAGATCACCGCGAGTAGGGCTGCCGTCAACCTCGAAAAAGGGGTGAGAACCACTGAGACCACGAGGAGTTCCGAAGAGTCCAAGGAGATTGTTGTTCATGTACTTGGACCAGCCACCTTGAGAGACAGCGACGAGGTTGCCGCCGAGAACAACACCCAAAGTGGTGAGGAGAGCGGACATGTCAGGCGCCATTCCCCAGACCTTACCAACAGCGGTGACATACTGGGTGAATGTAGCAACACCCTATCGAAAGATCAGTAACTTGCTATTATTAGACAGATATGGAAGCGTACGTTGTGAGGGAGGTAACCATGGTTGGCAAGAGTGTTCAATCCTGGGCAAAGTCCTCGAACATCTCCAGCCTCAAAGTCGGGTGGGTTGAACTCGTGCTTGCCGTGAACTATTGACTTATTAGCTGGAATCTCGGCATTTGGGACTTTCTCATCCGGAGACTAACCATCAACGAGCTGCTCCTTGGGGTCAAAGTCGATAACCCTCTTGCCCAGGTTGGGAGGGGCCTGAGAGGCAAACTTGCGAATCAGCTCAGGATCAACACCAAGGTGAGGATTCTTGGCATCACGAGCACCGAACTTGAAAGCATTCAGAGGAATAGGCGTGTCGGCATTAAGCTTAGGCAGAGCGGTCGCTTGGTTGGAAAGCAAGGCCGTGGCCAGAGTCGCAAGAGTGAAAGGTTTCATATTATCAACTTCAGCAAATACAATTAGGGTAAAACGAGCGAATGATCTTCAAAAGGAATGAACGAAGTCGGGATTAAAGAGAGAATGCGAATGAGAGTTGACTCATTTGTCATAGCCTAGAAGGTTGAAGTTATGTTTATATACCAGATGCATTGAGAGATTTGATCTTCGCACTATTGTAGAGGCCGTCCTTCCGGAGTGCTAAGGGGCGTTGCATTGCTCATCACAATAGGATGCTACCGAGCTGAGAAAGCTTCTCCTGAGTTGATCGTCCAATGGAGCGAGATGAGTTCGAAATACCATCAGCTGTGGCTGGCTAACTTGACAGACAGGGGGTAAGCAATCCCTAAGTTATTTACCAACTCGTACATCACCTTGGTTGAACTTGGCGTTTCGAGGTACAGATCGGCAGAAACCAGGTCATAGCTTTGGAAGTTCCTGCAAATTTGATGACGCGGATACGTTTGTCAAAGTTCCGGTGGACCGAAGCCTTCTAATCACCTTGAATGGCAGGGCATTACGAGTCTTGGAATCTGTCTGTCGAGAAATTCATCCCTAGACCGCAAAAGATCGTCGCGAATCTCTCTCTCTTGAGTGGGTATATCCAGAGTTGGGATTACCCAAGGCTCTATTGAGTTGCATTTCTGCGTAAGGTTGCGCACAATTGAGCACGACAGGCAATCCCCGGCCAAAGAAGGATAACCTGCAGACGCTTGAGTTAGGTTCAGGGGGGTTGACCCTTACAGGGCTCACAAATCCTTCGCGAACTCTAGCCAAGGTTTCGTCTCCACGGCAGTGACTGACAAACGGGCGGGGAAGCAATTCCTGAGCTAAGCGGCAGTTGGTGATGACCATAGCCTTTGCTAATCATTCAAGGATGATGCACCCAGCGCCTAACAAGGGTTTTGCGTTGCATTCTCAACCGTTGGTTATCTGACGTAGTAGTAGGAGCGGAAAACGACAGGGATCACAAACTCAGGGAACAAGCATCCAGCGCCTGTCATCTAATCATTTCATCCCTATCTCTGAACCAGAAAAGAGGAAACAAGGCGAAAACAAGGATGCATAAACTATCAGAGATGTTGATCTTCAGCCGTTGGTTCTTGGATGCTACGGTACCATAGTGTCGGGATATTGGGTCGTCTATGCCGGAGGTTTCAAACGCCTGTTAGCCTCTCATTTCTCGTTTTTCGGAAGGGTTGACATCTTCCAGAGTGAGCTGCGTAACACTCTGTGGTTATGTATGTTGGTTGTTATGAACTTTTGAATAACAAAAGAATTGGAATATTTGCCGGGATGCAACATTCAACGGCGAAGCTTTTCAGTGGCAATTCAAGTGATCCACTCGACCCCTCGACACCAGATATTGGGGTTTTACTAGTATTATCGGTAGTTGAAAATCTTCAGGGGCTTGGCCGTCGTAATATTCCAGTGTAGTAAGATATAGATAGAGACATAAAAGACGTCTTACCTATTGTTGTTTATGTCTTTTTACGTTGATTTCTGAGCTGGCTCTGATACTACACTGTGATTCCGTTCAACACAGACTCTACAGCCATGCGTCTCCTGTCGTTTTCTTTCTTCGTAGCGGCCCTGGTCGGGCTCGTTAATGCGGCCAGCTTTACTGAGCTAGCTGCTCAGCTCCCTGACTGCGATGTCAGTGACAGCCTATCACCCACTATCCGGCTTTGACTAACAGCTAGACCAGATACAATGTGTCCAGCAAGCGATACCACAGTCACCATGTTCAATGACAAACACAACATGTCTCTGTACCGACCAGACATTTGCAGGCTTGACGCAGGCTTGCGTATTGAAGAACTGCACGGTCAAGGACTCTCTGAGTAGGATACCTATCATGATAGCAATGAATGAGCACTGACCAATCCCTTTCTGTAGCATTAATGAGAGTTCAGAACCTGGCCTGCGGTGTTCCTGTCAAGAGTCAGCAGATGAAGTTCAGACTCAACGCACTTGTTGCGTGTATCCTCGCCGAGATTTGTGTGATCTTGAGAATATACTCCAAATTAAAGATCTTTGGAAAGCTTGGGCCTGATGACTATGCGATTCTCATTGCAGGAGTATGTTCCAGCCCAATCCCCGGTTACTTTTGCTAACAAAGTGGTATAGTTTGCTACAGTGCCTTACATCTGGCTCGCGTGCAGACTTGCAGATCTTGGCTTCGGGCTTAACATCTGGGACATCACTCCGTTCGAGCGCCTGTACGAACTGCTAAAGCTCTTCTGGATAGATCAGATCATGTACAGTGTTCACTTGTATAGCACAAAGATCTCGATTCTTTTTTTTCTCCGTGGTATTTTCACTACTTCCGAGTTCAAGAAGTTGACTGTGTCGATCGGCATCTTTGTCTGCTTGTGTGGTGCTGCTACGATGATCACCACTGCGCTCCAATGTCTTCCAGCTTCTTTCAATTGGACAAATTGGGATGGCGAGCACAAAGGCCACTGCAACGACCTCAACTCACAGACTTATGCTTTTGGTGGAATCAACATGGCTTGCGATATCGTCATCCTGGTCTTGCCGATCAATCACCTTTGGAAGCTGCAGGTCAAGGGCCGACAGAAGATTCAGCTCTTCGTTATGTTCAGTCTAGGCATTGTGTAGGTTTCTATGACCCCGAATTATTGAACGCAAGCTAACAGTCCACAGTGTCACGGTGTTTAGTATCATCCGTCTACCATTCCTGATCACTTTGGGAAAGACGACTAACCCAACCTGTAAGTGACCAGGATCGAGATTCAGCGCAAACACGCTAACACAAATGTCAGGGGAATATGTCGAAGTCACTATCTGGTCTATCTGGGAAACGGAACTCGGCATGGTATGCGCAAGCCTCCCAGCCATCCGCCACCTCTTCAAGCATCTCTGGCCCAACGCCATGGCTACCATTGCCTCCAAGATGAGCTTCTCCAGCACAAACAAGGACTCCACACTGGACAAGAGTGCCGGAAGCTGGGGTGGCAGCCGTGGAGCTCGCTCCAAAACAGATAACAAGGAGTACTATGAGCTTGATGAGCGGAGCCTCATTGGCAAGGGGCCGGATCCTGCCACTAATGTGAGCTCCACCAACGTTCATTCGATGGCGTAGACGCCCGTGCGGCTTTTTGAAGCGTTCAGATAGTATTTTACACTTTCGATGTTGTTTTATTACATTAACTTCATTGTGCCAGCTCGGTGCGGTATTTGGGTTCACATTTAGATAGGCACGTTCATTCGTATAACAAAATTACTTCCCACGCGACTTTCGAGTAACTTTACCGGGATTTAACTTCAAATACTGTACCTTGGAGTAGATCCTTTCCTACTGCCACGTGTCATTCACAAGTCGTGAGTGACAGGATCTCTATTATACTGCCCACAGCCCTTGACAGTGCCGTATAATCCTCTTGGCATAGAAAGGACTCACTGTGAGAAGTCTTTTGTCAATCAAAGGCACATGGATATTCTGCTCTTATTCCTGCTGATCTGCGGTTTCTCACAGTTTCGATGCCATCCCCTAACCCTGTCCTGTATTGAACCCCTGGGATTAATACCCTGTCAATGATGTCTCACCAAGGCCCGGTCCTTAAGCCCACAGTGATCGGCATAGAATGAGCCACTAATGCCCGGGGACCGTTGAGAGTCTTCCATCCTTGCGGGCCGTTTAGAATCAAAACCCAATCTCAATGTTGCATTCCTAGACAGGCATTATCTTGGATGCTCCCTCAACGGCGAGACCGAAAATGGCTAGCCAGGATCCAGCGAGAGAGGCACTACGAAAGTCAAAGTCAGTTCATCGTTTTCATTGAGAAAAGCGGGTCAAGATTGTTTTAACCTCCTGGATCCAGTCTACCAGATATTTGGACTTACGGGGATTAGACTGACGTGTTTTAGGGGCTCGATTCGTTTCTTTAATTTATTCAGTGTCAATGTTTCCAGGAGTTGGGTAACCTGGGCTCACAGTGCTTGATAATACTACCGTAAGTACCTGGTTTGCTCTGATGCAACCTCGGATTCGCCTAATCCAACGTCCCCCCGCGACCAATACTACTCCGTTAGTCAGTGTCTCCTATCCGCGTTTGCAAGTGTGCACTATTCATCCTGTCTCTTTGGTCTGCATACGCTATGTAACAATAGTTATTCATATTTTTTTCACTGCGTGTAGCACTTGTCCTATGTTCAGGTCCACAGTCGCCTAGTGTCTGATGGTCTGATGGACTTCTGCTGGCAAGTCATCACCATTAGGAGTACAATTGTGTGACTTGAATTGACTCAATGACTCTACTAATACCAGGAAACATGGCAGTGAGTAGGGTAAACAAATTCTGGGGCATAATCTATACGGTATCCATGTTCCCATGTTTTGTTCTATGCACAGCTCGCAAAACCCCCATGTTTCAATCCGCCAGCCATCCATCGCAAGGTTCCATGCCCCAATACGGCTTTTCACTAACCAGGGCCTGTTTCATTTGGAGGACTAGTTATCTTATTATGGGATTCACTACCTTCAGCAATCTAGGCAATGTCCGTATCAGTGCAGCTCAACTAATGTAACGATATCTTTCAGTAGAGCCCCATATCCCAAGCCATCCATATTTCCGAATGGATTCCTTCCCTGTGCCTTCGTATGTCAAAGAAGATCCAAATCTTCCACGTTTCTTACGCCGCAGGGGGGACTGTCCCGGTCTCCCGGAGAACTCTGGCAGCGGGGATCTCCTCAACCCACGTGCTAGACTGGCGTCAACAGTCAGGCAGTTTCTTCCGTTCCTGGGCTGATCTCCCAGCTCAGGTGAACGGGCTGATAATGCACAGCACTATCTCGGTTGTGCTTGGAGAGTTTGCACATAGGAGAATCATACACTATTACGTGCTGGTGGGCTGATGGCTAATCACTCGGGCTCCTCGAGTAAATCGTCCGATACTCCGAGAGTCCCATTCACAGCCGGTATATGACTCTGATAAGGCTGCATTTGACAGCATACCAGTGTGTCATCTTAATTGGACTTGCATTTTGCTTTCCATATGCCCTTGAACTTTCATTCATTTCCGACCCCAAGTTATTGCCATGGTTGCTTCCGAGAAGAAGACCTTTGAAAGGTCTGCTGGTCTGTCACTCACTCGCTTCCTGAGATTTATTTCCTCAGAATACCGAATTCTGTTCACGCTCGTTTTTACCCTCAACCTTATTGGCGTTATTATCTTCTTATGGCTATGGTTCCTTGATGGCCACGCAAACCCAAACACCTGCGGCCTCGCAACGGCAATAAATCTCGCTGTCAGTATTGTTATTCGAGAAGAGCATGTCGTCAACGGCCTATACTATGTCTTCACAGCGTTTCCAAAAACATCACCACTCTGGCTAAGGTCACGGATGGGCAAGATCTACCATCTTGGAGGTCTGCATAGCGGCTGTGGAGTGGCAGCTACCTTCTGGTTTATCATGATGTCCATCGAGAAAACCAGCTTTTTCAATAACACCAAGGACCGAGATGCCGCCATGTGTGTTTATATTGTTATCATCTACATGCTGGACTGCCTTCTCATTGCAATGCTGGTCATGTCTTACCCCTCAGTACGAGCGAAGATCCACAATGCTTTTGAAGTTGTTCACCGACTGGCTGGCTGGTCTTCTCTCGCTCTTCTCTGGTGCCTTACGGTTCTCGATGCAACAATCAATACCAAGCCGGGTGATTCACCCGCCGCGGCCGTTTTCTCCAGTGCACCAGTTTGGCTCGTCTTTGTCTCGACCTGTTGTGTCATATCAACTTGGCTGAACTGTCGAAAAGTTCAAGTTGTCTCTGAGCGACTATCTTCACACGCTCTTCGGATGTACTTCGACTATACCAATCCTCAACCTGGAACAACCATTCGACTCTCATCTCGACCTTTGCTGGAATGGCACGCCTTTGCAACTGTCAACAACCCAAAGGAAAATGGTTTCTCAGTAGTTATTTCAAATGCAGGGGACTGGACGAAGAAGGTCGTCACCGAACCGCCTCGTGAGGTTTGGGTCCGCCGTACACCAACTTGCGGTGTCTTGCGTATCGCCCCGATGTTCAACAGTATTGTTCTGGTAGCTACTGGTTCTGGAATCGCACCATGCCTTCCAGTCATTCTTGCACAGCAAACACGGATAACTCTATTCTGGTCAACTCGAGACCCACTAGAGACCTACGGTCCAAATATTGCTTCTATTATCCTGGGAATGGGGGATAATGCACATATTCACAACACTTCAACTATGGGTCGACCCAATACACTTCCTACAGTCCTGGACCTGTACAAGAAGACAGAAAGCGAGGCTGTAGTAGTAATCTCTAATCCAAAACTGACGATCGACTTGGTCCTAGACTTGCAGGCTTTGGGAGTACCAGCTTTTGGTCCAATCTGGGATTCATAGAAATTCTCAGGTCACGTAAACTAGGATTGAATAGAGTTACATCATCAGGTAGAATATTAGATAATACGCCGCTGCTTCCATCTGTTGCTTCACGGCTTCTATGACAGCATTGCAAATCAAACAATTGATATTTTCATCTCAATTCAGTTTCCTACGAAGAACCAAGTGCCGAGTCCCAACACTAAATTTGAGAAAGTCTATCATAAGATACCGTTGATTAAGGGAAACTCTCAGGACTACGTGCCGGCACTGCCTCTTTTCAGACTGTCCTTCTCTTGTACATCAACGGCAACCTCATGAAAGCAAGGATAAAAGACGGTTAAACGTCTTCTTCCAAGTTTCTACAGCCTTCTAATACGACGTTACTTCTCACCGCCTTTGGTGTCCTTAGCCAGTATGATTCATCCCATCCTTCGTGATGCAATTCCATATTGCAGATCCCCCCTTCTTACTACTACCTGGCTCCAACGTGCTGGACCCCGGAACCCACAGCCTCAAAAAAGCTTGGGTCAGGCTAATCCGGCAGATGTGACATCGACCAGGTGGGTAAGCTTTGCCGGGTGGCCCTCACCTCCATCCTTGCCTAGCTTAACACTTCATCACAGTTCTCGTACCAAAAGTCACTTGGCCGATCATTATTAGTTTGCTGCCTGAAACTCGTAGCTTCGGTGAATTTGAATTTTTCAGGGCTTGTACGCGTTCTCTACTAAACCTTGGAGCGGTGGCGGGCGTAGCTATGACGAAAATACGGTTGAAGCCATTGAATAAGTAGTCGAAGGTTCTCACTTAACTGTCACTGCCTTAGATCGCACCGCTTTCATCTCATCTCAGTTCTTAACAAATCTACTCTTATTCTCTGTAACGATCTTCTCCCTTATCGTCTTCAAAATGACTAGCAGATCTGTCACCGTTACCAAGCGCTATAATGAGCCCATTTCAATGCGACAGAGTTCATTGCAATGCATGCAGGAGAAGCAAGCGACCCATCAGTCTGGTAACGACCCCTGAACCAACAGCACCCACTACAACATGTGACTGACTTGAGGTAGCATACAATGCAGAGACAGAAAGGTCAAGCCGCATGAAGAAGCTCGCTTACCATTTTGTCACATTATGCCTCTTCACCAAAAGTGATATGCCCACTTCTACCGGCATCAATACCACGTTCGCCATCGCAGGGATCCTAGCTGGTCCTGGTACCATCAGCAATGCCGACATTGAATGGAATGATATGGGCAAGGGCATTCTCGTTGCTCTCTACTTCACTTGGCACTTGACCCTCTGCTTCAATCTCGGAAATCAGCGTCAGCCGCAATCCGTCATTGAGGATGGCGTCAACAAGCCGTGGCGGCCCATTCCGGCTGGCCGCATCTCCCCTGAGCTGACACACAAATGGCAGCTAGTCTCAATTGTCTCCCTCCTTGCTCTGTGCTATACTACTCTGGGGGCTTGGCAGGAAACTGCCTTTTACCTCTTCTGCACCTGGCTGTACAATGAGCGTGCTTGGGGTGACAAGAGCTGGTGGCAGCGCGCCCTAATGAACGCCTGCGGTATCACTACCAACCGTGTAGCAACCCTTCGGGTGGCTGTCACCGCCATCCAAGCCAATTCTCATGAGAACTTCGAGTTCACTAACAAGGGTTTGGGCTGGTTCCTCATGTGCGCATCCCTTGTCTTCACTACCATCCAGGTTCAAGACTTGCGTGATCAGGAGGGTGACAAGTTGATCGACCGCCAGACCTTTCCTCTTATTCTTGGCGATGCACCAACACGCTGGATCACAGCTGTAGCTGTTATGATCTGGTCATTGGTCTGTCCACTTTACTGGGGACTTGGGGTTGTCGGCTGTGCCGTACCCATCTTGAATGGAGCTATAGTCTCAGCTCATATGCTCATCTGCCGCTCTCGTGAGCAGGATCAAACAAGCTTTCGCCTGGTGGCAGCTTGGTGGGTATCATTGTACTTCCTCCCCATGATGAGTGCGCGTGGACTATAGGCTTGGCATTTCATGCCACTAGGAGTAAGACTTGTGGATGAATTGGGTATTTACCCACGATTTGTGATGGCTGGACACACTCTTTAGTTGATTGTTAGACTTGGTGTCTTGAGGATGAAAACTAGTCGAAGCGGATTGGCTTCTAAAAGGGAGGCCATGGCTTGGGTACATGTAGATCGAACTTGCAGTGAAAAGGCTATAGAAGTAAAATTGAAACGAGTGTTGCCGAGGCCCATGAAATTTTCAAGCGTTCCAGATCCATTCCTTGGTCAGCACGCATTCTTCGGTTCAGGGTAGAGAGATAAAGTGAGGATGGTGAGTTTCGGTTGAGTAACCATGGATATTGATAGAATGATTGGTTGGATGAGTGTCTAGGCTCATTGGTCACTCAAAGTGGGGGTCGTCGCGACTCTTGGCTCAAGTCTGATCACGACAGGAAGAACTCTATTTAACCCGCTCAACCTCTTGCAACTTACTTATCAGAATGGGCTTCGCCTGCGACCCTTGTTCCATCAGAAAAATAAAATGTAGTGGAGACACGCCGTGCAAGCAATGCAAGGCGACGTCTTTATCCTGCTCATACGATAGGAAGCGCAAGAAGTCGGGACCGAAAGGGCCCAGAAAGCGTACCAAGGAGGCGATCCTGCAGGCTCAGAGATCTGCAAAGCATACAAGAACCGATATTGATGGTGAAATTCGGGCCCAAGACTTGGCTGAAGCTCCTTCATCAACGCGGCACAATGGATCACCAAATAGTTCGCCAAGTGGCGGCTCCCAGAGTCCCCAAGGCGCGCAGGATATGACGATTGTTAGCTATGATGCTCGGATATCGAGGTCATCCTTCAGCTACTATTTGAACATATATCACGACTGCTTATATGTTGTATGGCCCGTCATAGACCATGAAGTACTTCTCACCCGTCTCCGCAACCCCGATAACAAGATTGCATATGCCCTTGCCGCATCAATATGCTCAGCAACACGAGCCCAGCTTCGCCTTTCGAATGATGATGCGGGCCCTTCAACGTATAAAATGGCATACGAAGCTGAACAATCTCGTCTGATGCTCGATTACTCGAAGCATCAAATCATCGACGGCCTGTTGACATGTTTCTTCCTCCATGTCTTCTACTCCAACACGGGACGAATCACAAAGTCTACACTGCTTCTTCGAGAAGCCATCGCATATGCACATATTCTTGGACTTCATCAAGACTTGTTCTATACTGATTTGGACCATGATACGATCCAGTATCATCTTCGCATCGCGTGGATCTTGTTCATCACGGATAGGTGAGTCCTGAGTCTCTCTCTCTCTCTCTCTCTCTCGCTCTCTCGAAACTCGTTAACACGCCTCCAGGGCTCACTCCCTTCAACACGATCTACCTCCTACGTTTAAGCTCAGTCCGACGCTCCCGGAGCTCCATCCACAACAGGACGCGGGGCTTGGTTCAGCATTCTGCAGTTTATGCAGACTGTTTCAAGCTTTTGACGACGCCTGCCCTCCAGATGTCAGATCCAACCAGGTTGGCTTCTTGGGTGCCATTAGCTCACAGTTGAGGGCACGGTATCCTCTTCCTCTTTGCGACAATGAGATTCAGCGAGCTGACATCGTTGTAACTGACTCTTGGCTGCGCGTCGTGCTATGGAAAGCGGCCATCCCATATGTTGACGCAAATACTGACCCAAACGACCAAGGTCTAAGTGTCTCGTTTCCCACGTCTGTGGCGAGAGATTTACTGGCGAAACTGACCACTCTATCCTCCTGCGCTCTCGAGACCCATGGCCCTGGAATGGTAAGAATCCATCGCATCTTACTCTCGCCAAAATGCTGATCCAGAACAGATGTCGAAATTGTTTGAAGTCGCAAATTCAGTGGCAGACGTCATCATCTGCGCCCCTGACCTTGCAGATGTAGATTCGGCTCATGTTGGTCCCCGAGATATTCTTTGCGCCCTGAGCAGCTTGATCGCCTCGCTGCGAACGACAGCCAACCCTGCGCTTCTAACCCTGTTGCGAGAGAAGATGATGGCATGTGCATTGGGCCAAGCAGGGCCAGGAAGGCTGTTGCAGATCACGGATGTTCCGGATGGTGATCTACAATCTGAAGAGATGAATCTAGTAGACTAGAATGCTACGTCAACGGCCATAGTTCACAACTAGTAGTTATTAACGTGTGATGAGTCGTCAATAAGCTTTTAAGTGTAAAGCATAAGAAATCCTTTGATTCCGGTACTGCCTGTATCTCAACTATTCTGAATTATGAATATATCCAAACGCACAACAATTCACAATGCTTTTCATACAAAGCTTCAAACTTTTGGCGTAGTCCCTTGCAAGCTACCCTCCAAATTATGTCTCCATTAGACGCCTCAGACATGTTCTGCTCCAGCCGTCATGCTTTCGGCCTCAACTGATTTGCGCAGAACTCCCCTGGACGTTTCTGAGTGAACAGGGTCCGCAGCAATGCCATCAAAGACAACCGCAATTTCCTCCAAAGTTCTGCCCTTTGTTTCAGGGAACAGGAACCATATAGTTGGCAGCATAGCCGCCAGTGTTGCGATGTAGACGAAGTAGAACTTCCACTGGATAGCTTCAAGAGCGATGGGGTTGACATATTCTGGTAGTAAATATTAGCGGCAATATTCCAATGTTTGTGGAGATAACCTACGGTTGAAGAAGCCAGCAGCGAACACAACAGTCAAGTTGATGCTTAGTCCCTTGGACCTCAGGTCGAACGGCAGGATCTCGACAGGGTAAGCGATGGATAAAGGCGTAAAGGCAATGTCGTAGAAGCCAAAGAAAACAAAGAGGAACGCAACCACGCAATATCCTGCGACTTTGGTGCCGTGCTCGGCGAAAACAGCTGAGAGAGCTGTGACTACGATGAAGCTGGCCAGCATGCCGCTGGTTGACAGAAGCCACAGCGGTCGACGACCATATCGTTCGGCAGCCATAGCTCCCAAGGCAGCTAGAATGGCGTTCCAAATTTGGAGGCCGAGGTTGATACCAGCTTGTGAGACTGCGTCTGTGACTCCGACGCTCGTCAGGATAGGTGCAAGGTAATAGGAGACAATGCCTAGCTCGAGTCAGTAAACAGACTTCAGTCATTCCGTTGGGTCATCTACCGTTTCCAGCCCACTGAATCATGAAGCCGACCAATACACAGATCAAAAGTCTGTGGCGGTTGCCCTTGGTCTTAAAGAATGACATGAATCCGATATTCTTCTCCGCTTCGCGCTCTTGATCGATAACCGTGCAGATCTCCTTGAATTCAAAGAGAACAAGTTCATCCTCAGTATCACCATTGGCGTGATACTTGACGAGCATTGCGAGAGCTTCGTCACGTCTGTTCTTGGAGATCAACCATCTAGGGGACTCAGGGATAAAAGTCAGACCGATGAGTTGAAGGGCTGGAAAGAACGCCTGGAACAAGACGGGAAGTCTCCAGCTCCAGCTGCCACTCATGTGTAGTGTTCCAATAGTAACGACGGCCGAAAGAATGGCGCCCCAGAACCAGATGGCTTGGAACATGTTGGTGACGTTGGCGCGGTGTCTTGGGTGAGCGATCTCGGTGGTCAAAGGTGGTGCCGATGTTTGTGCGAAGCCAAGGCCTATACCAAGCATGATCTTGGTGCCCAGGAATGCCCATGGTCCATTCGTAGAAGCTTGGATGATAGCTGCTGCGATCATGATGGAAGAGCCCAAGGCGATGGTGAAGCGGCGGCCCATCCAATCACTGACATATGCAGCTGGGATGAAGGCTGGCAAACCACCCAAGCTGATACCAGCTATGATCAGGCCAAGGATACTTGTGCTGACGTCTCCGATGTTGTCATGCCCTAAATGATGTCAGCCGATGTTTGGGGAGAAGCACAAGAACTTACATTGTTTGATGGTCAAGAGTCCATTCATAAGACTTCCGTCGAATCTGTCAATGACTCAGTACATCTTCCAACTGATAGTGGCAAGGAAGAACACACCCGTTGGCAGCAGCCGATGCGAACATGAACCCAATGCCGATGTTGAGCTTTCTCAAGCCAGCATCGTGCATCCAGTTCTCGTTCGTGTTGTTCTTATATCGATTATAGACAGCATTGCCTGGATTGGTATCTTGGGAGGATATGACAGCCATGATGGCGCCCGGTAGCGGTCGATTTAGTGTTCTTGGCGAATATGTAAGGGGTCAAAGAGATTTGGTGGTAATTTGGGGTCGGGATTGCTGATTGTCTTGGTGCCTGAAGTATAAAATGATCGCCTTCTGGCTTGTTTGTTCAAGACTTTCTTTGTGAGCGAAGTTGATTCTGATGGAGAGTTTGGACACTTACTGGGAGCAATGCTGAGCTTATATATGTGTTTTCTGAGTTGAAGCATCGCCAGAGACCAAGTCACTTAACTGTCAGCCCATACGTGACTGGTGACCCTCGGCTTTCGGATCATGAGAAAATCTTTAAGGTCTAGAATAAACTAACATGGAAGATCACCCCATGGAGGTCAGATGCTGTTCCCCAGCTTTCCTCCACAAAACCCGATGAATTCTCTGGTTCTCAACCTGGGGTTGAGCATCGGCTGAGCTAATTGGTGGAAAGAATTTCGGCAAGATTACTGGCTCGATTTGCTGCCCTCATTAAGTGGGTCTGTGCTGTCGGAAAAATTCTCGGTAGGATTTCAGGGAGGATTCTCGGGAGAAATAAGATGGGACAGCGCATGTTGGACGCATCATGTGTTCCTCTGCGGGCAGATTCTCGGTGATGACAGCGGAACCTCCATCATGGCTTGCTTCATCCATGTTCAAATAGTCTCTATCATTCCATCATGGACTCTCCTTCATCTTCATTCACGCAAGCACAATCATCAGTCATGCCCTCTGCAACGCAAGAGATCTCTACCCCCGTCAGCGAGGCTTGGTGGAAGGAGGCATCTGTCTACCAGATCTACCCTTCATCCTTCAAGGACTCAAATGGAGATGGCATTGGTGACATTCCTGGTGTGATTGAGAAGCTAGACTACTTCAAGAACCTTGGTGTTGACATCGTTTGGCTATGTCCGGTTTACCCATCGCCTCAGGTTGACATGGGTTACGACGTAGCCAACTACTGTGATATTGACCCGCAGTACGGGACCATGGCCGACGTCGAGCGACTCATAGAGGGTCTGCATTCAAGAGGTTTGAAGCTACTGATGGATCTTGTGGTCAATCACACCTCAGACCAGGTTAGACAACACTCACCGTGGAATCAGTACTTGCTAACACCTTTCACAGCACAAATGGTTCCGAGAGTCTAAGTCATCTAAAGATAGCCCTTACCGAGACTGGTATATCTGGCGAAAGCCTCGATACGATGAGAATGGAGAGCGACAGCCACCGAACAACTGGTCCTCCTATTTCGGAGGTATGTATTATCAAACAGTCTCGGGCTTTCTCGTCGCTAACATGAGACTCTCCATAGGCAGTGCATGGGAATACGACTCTGCATTTGATGAGTATTATCTCCATCTCTTCGCAAAAGAGCAGCCGGACCTCAACTGGGAGCATGCTCCCGTGCGCGACGCCGTGCATGATATCATCCGCTTCTGGCTGGACAAAGGCGTCGATGGATTTCGGTATGTCGCTCGCGTCCAATATTTTGAACCACACAACTAACTTGGCAGAATGGACGTGATCAACTTCATCAGCAAGCAAGACGGCCTCCCCGACGCCACCGTCAAGATTCCTGGAGCCAAGTTCCAGTGGGGTGACGAGCATTACGCCTGCGGTCCTCGACTACATGAGTACCTTCAGGATATCGGCAAGATCCTCAAAGAGTATAACGCCTTCTCCGTTGGCGAAATGCCGGCAGTTCAAGATCCCAAGGAAGTCATCAAGAGTGTTGGCGAAAGCCGTCGTGAGCTCAACATGATCTTTAACTTCGAGATGTAAGTCAAGATCAACCCTGAAAAGCCGCTATTTCTGACGCCCCTAGCGTGGATATGGATCATGGCGACGGAGGAAAGTTCTCCCCACATAAATGGGAGATGCAAAACCTGAAGAAGATTGTCAACAAGTGGCAGACGTTCATGTACAAGAACAAGGGCTGGAACGCCTTGTACCTCGAGAATCACGATCAGGCAAGGACAGTATCGAGGTGGGCCTCCGATAAGCCCGCCTACCGAGCGCTGTCAGCCAAGATGCTGTCCACGTTCCTATGCTTCCAGAGCGGTACAGTGTTTGTATACCAGGGACAGGAACTGGGCATGGCCAACATGCCGGCGGACTGGGAGATGACTGAGCATCGAGACCTGGAAACATTAAACCACTGGGAGGAGTAAGGGTTCTCTTTTCCCGTGGTGGTTCGACAAGTGGCTAACTTGTGATCAGGTTGAAACAGACAACGGGTTCTGATGCGGCAGTCCTTGAGATCGCGCGCAAGGAATACCAACTCAAATCTCGCGATCATGCGCGAACCCCAGTACAGGTAAGCACAAACGCTTTGTAGAATCATGAGACCGTCTGACAAGATGTGAGTGGGACTCCTCAACGAATGCGGGCTTCTCGGCAGCAACACCATGGATCCGAGTAAACGACGACTATAAGGAGTGGAATGCCGCAGCTCAGGTCGCCAAGCCAGATAGTGTGTTTGAGCACTGGAAATCTGCGCTTGCGCTGCGAAAAGAACTGAAGGACATCATCGTCTACGGAGACTTCGAGCTTCTTGACGAAGAGAACGATGATGTTTTTGCGTATGCGCGGTCGAATGGAGCGCAGAAGGTTGTTGTTGTTTGTAATTTCCGAGACCGAGAGATTCCTTGGTCCCCTCCGGTCGATTTACATTCAGGCAAGGTTTTGCTTGCAAACAATCCGGAAGTTAATCTGTCGCAGAAGACGGTTAATCTTCGTCCCTTTGAGGCTTTTGTTTGTCAATTGCATTAGAATAGATATCTTAACCTAGACTCAATCAGTGTTTCAAAAAAAGAATTGGTGCCTAATCGATACAAGACCTCAGTAAATAAAGCCGCAGAAAATGAAGCTTACCACCTGGCTTGGGCAATTTGGAAGTCGTTTATGACAGATCGGTTGCTTCAAGTGAAGGCTCAATGGTGCATCCAATTTGATAGCGATATGAATAATGATTTGCAACACAGCTGGCACCAATAGCTATTCCTCCGCTTCGGAGATCTCCCCGAATAGCTCAGCTGGAAGAGCGTTCGGCTGTAACTGTTAACTGACACCGAAAGGTCACTTGTTCGATCCAGGTTTCGGGGAAACAATTTTTTGACATTGTTGACAACAGTAACAACTTAAGAATGATATATACCGTCAATCAATTCTGTCAAAGCCTGTTATCAATCATCACTAATTGTGTGTTGTTTTTTATACGAACTTGATTGAGTGACAGAGTTTAAAATCCGCGAGAGCAGAGCTGGACCGATGTTTCCCCGAATATTCGTGAATCCCCTCCTCACGTAACGCGTTGTGCGCCTCACGATAGCATACATGGTGCCCGTGTGAACGCCTCAATGAGCACAGCGAAGATGCAATGCGCTACTGCAGCAATCGAACGCTATAAACCCCTTGCGGTCACACGAAGGTCTCGCCCTGCGCGTGTGAAGCTTTGTTACTGACGTCATCGTTTCCGCGCTGCGCCAGATCATTTTGCTACCCTCAAACTCCAAAGCAGAGTCGCTCTACCTATTTATCGGGATTTCCTTCGCAAAGGTTACTATTTGCTATTCGCCTCTTGGCATCAATTTATTTTGCGTACTTGGCAACGCGACAAGGACTGCTGTTGTTGCTTGCCGGGTGTTGGCACTGCCGCGAAGATGCTCACGACGCCCTCGGCACTGGGGAACATCTCGTGCCTCTACCGAATACTGCACAGCGGCTTGAGCAATCAATCGCCTGAACAAGTGTTTGGCGCCTCAGAAATATGTAACCTTTAAACGAGCAGACACCAGAGGTACGGGTGACCGCCGTGTTGCTTTGGCCTGCCCGCATCGCTTTTGCGTTTGCACTCGCACTTACTTTGGCAATAGCGTTTGTTCCATGGCCCTTCAATATCTAGGTTTCCAATCCTTCCGCTCTTCTCTCGCCGCGTGTGAAGCATAGAACGTCCGTTTTTAGGTCCCCACGCATCCAACCGATGTTGCCTCGTGCTCAACCCTTCGAAGCGACGAAAGATCACGGCGAAAACTTGACATCGGCTGTTCAGGGATGCAGCGATGCCTAAGTCTCAAGCGAAGAAGAAGCCTCCTGCGAAGGGCCTTGACACTTCGAAGTCAAACGCAAAGGCAGGAACATCAGCCCCATACGAGTTCAGTGGGCATGACTCGATCAACATCAGCTCGTTCGACCTTGCGCAAGTTCAGGAATCACTAGAGCACTCCGATGTGCCTTCAATGCGACCGCAACTCAAGTCGCCCAGACAATACCCTCGTGAATTGAACCACCCCATGCACTGGCAGCTCCTACAGCATGAATTCTTGATCTCGCGCCACAAGGCTTTAAGGTCATCAGGTAAGACCTCCTGGAACTCTTCGCAACAATCACTAACAACCCCAGTGCCTTCTCATCCGTCCACGTTACCTGCCCTCGAACCAACTTCAAAGACTCCTGAAACTCTCCCGCTCGATGAATCAGCCAGCAATCTACGTCCCCCGTCGCCCGGCGAAAGCTCGACAGCCTCTACAAAACCTCCGGTCCCAGAAATCCGCTTATCCCCTCCCGAAGAAACATCCAAAACCCCTCGTCAACCGCGCCCTCCGATCGAGAACCCAGCCTACCCTTGGGAGGAAGAGGAGCTTCAAGCTCTGGAGGATCTGCGAAATGAACAACGCCGCTTGCATGAAGAAACTCTCGATGCGATGGGGCAAATGGCCTACTGGTCTTTCAGAGCGCAATGTGCTGCGAATCGAGTCAAGAAAACAATGTGTGAACTTAGGAGCTACATGGATGAGGTTCTGGCTGAGCAGGAGGAAGTTCAAGGTCATAATGAGAACGAATGCAATGTCGTGCCTCCATCTTTGACGAAGTGAGTTCGTCGAAAGATGATCATGGTAATGAAAGGGTTCGCCCAAGAGAGTCACGGCAGGTTTTGCTACATAAGTAGATCAGTCTAATCACAATTAATCGTAATCAGTCCTCGTGCGACTGGAATTCCACTTGGTAAAGTTTTACTTGTCTGCAAGACTGTGAACATGGCGCTTTGTGACTACCTTCGCTTCGGTGCACAAAGCTTCAAGAAAGCTTCAAACTCTCGTGTCAGACAAAGCCGATAGCTGGGAGCAAGTTTACACAACAATTGAATGATCTCCATGACGCCGTTGATTTTTACCTTATCTGTATATCAATTTAAATTAAACAAAACTTGATATGATTCACAGCTAGCTCGCTTCTGTAGCATCACGATGTCGCCTTTTGAGATTGCTATAGGGTGGGATACAGCTGCCCGCGGGTTGGATCTAACACATCCGATAACGGACTCTCATACAAGCTTGCAAATGTCTTTTTGGCTATGCAACCGCGTCATATCAATTATCATTCAACCACAGTGTACAGAGCAGCTTTTGCCTTGTTTTTGGTTTATGTTTGCGCGTTGATGGGCACCTCTTGTACTGTAGCCTGTCGCGCCTCTAAGTACGCGATTTATCCAGCATTGACACCAACACAAGCCTAGAGCAAACAGCCAGGACAGCCTCCGTGTGACCGAAATAATCAGACGACAGATAGCGAAATGCAAGATACGCATCTGCAAGTTGGTGACACCGAGATCATCTTCATGTGATGTCAGCCCCGCAATGCCGGCTGAGATACCCGGAATGATCAAACGCTGGCAATCGGACATCATACCTTTTGCAGAACGCGCTGCTCTACACAGCAAACAAGAGTGTTGGTTGGGCATACGCGGCTAACATACAATTCTTCTGCATTTGCCTCTATCCAAAAATGCCTTTGCGCAGCCTGATGTGACGCGTTAGCAGCTCATTTGTCGCGATATCTTGGTTGTGCGACATGCAGCATCTACTCCATTTCCAACCACCTGCAGTGAGCAAACGCGCAGCGCGCATGCCCAATCGATGTCGCTATCGATGGTCCGACAAACCGACATGCACAAGCAATGGCTTCTAGCTGTCGCGATGTTTTTGTGAATGTGGAAAGGGAACTTTTCGTCGTGGGGTGCGCAAGACAAGACGCGACTGTCTTCACGTTTAATCCAGGTGACCTTGTTCTCACGGAGTACCATACGATATCCGGCAGCTTGTCCTATGTTTGTTGCTTTAACACCCAGACCGGACCTTGGTCCGGCCCGCGTGTGTAAGTTGTGTCCCAGGCCAGCTCAATACATGTGCTTGTGTGTAATGGGTGATGTTGACTTTGGCCATCAGTATCGTGGTTTAGAGGTTGGCCGCGGTCCATGTGTGATGGTCACAGCAACACGACGCTGAGGTTCCAGTACCCGACGCCACAGTCAATGCGACATGGTTAAACAGCAGAGGGTTACACTTGTTTGCCAGCCAAGATGGTACACAAGCCGTTATTCACGATTGCTCTGAGGCCCCCCAAGCCACGCGGGACAATAACGCGGGGAGTCCCCTGTCGGGTACCTGGAGATCTGAGATCACCAAGACCCTGTGAGCTTCACCAAGTCCAAGAAATCGAGAAGCAATCGCTTTTCTGTTACTTTTATTCCTTCTTCTTCTTCTTCTTCTTCTTGCGCCTTCGAACCAAGTCCCTGCTCCGTCTCAGTCCCGATGTGCGCACACAGAGCCTGCCGCGTCGTAGCAGCCAGCCGTCCCGAGCCTACAACGCATCCTTTCTTGCGCAGACGAGAGCAGCTTCCCGATCGAAAACATGATACGGTTAATCTGGGCGCGATGATGCATACAAGGCGGGGAGACTGGGGAAATGAGAGTGACAGGAGTCAGCATGGCGTTTGTTGTTCAGGGTCAACAGCCTTTCCCTAGCATCATCATCAATACACGCTCGCGATCTCACCTTCTGTCTTATGCCCTTAGAAAGTTCATCACCAAGTTCAAGCAGCTACTAGTCAGTTACAATGGGAAGCGTTTCCAATGCTCCCGAGAATTCGTCGCGACCGGAGAACACACCTGCATCGTCCCAACCAATAAATCGACCGTCGAACAGTGAAGCTGGTAGTAGCTCTAGACAAAGCGAAAGCGACAGTTTGATTAACCGGCTCGCTGACACACTTGGATATCCCCATGGTAATGGTATGTTGAGCCTGGGCGTTCCCCTTTGACCGTGAAGATGAATGGGACGACGTTCAAGAGTCACTTACTCACTTTTTAACACTAGAACGACGCTCTCGCGAGAATTCCCTTAGGCCCAGGGCGCGGAGGGGGGCGTCTGCATCACCGACACCAGCCCAGTCTCACAGTAAGTACTGCGAGCATACTCCCACTACCACTGCATCTGCATCCCTTTCTCAGAACACGCTTGTCGCTCATCAAAACACAATATGCTGACGGTTTGGAACAACAGATCAAGATTGGCGGCTCGTTGGCGGCCGGCCTGCGACTGGTCGTCTCCTCACCCATGCTGCGCATAGGGAGATCGACCGTCGACGCGACTCGCAGCCCAACCCGACCTACATATCGGCGGAGCGTTTTCCCATTGAGGAACTGCTGGGATGGAGATGTACGATGGGGATAGCGTGGTTATCAATGTGAGATGGGCGGATGGTAGCCCTGATTCTTGGGAGCCTGAGGAGGTCATGCACCTCGATAGTGCGCAGATGCTCTTGAACTTCTGGAGGCGGCAGGGTGGTCGCCATAAGGCAACTGGCCTACGAGAACACCGTGTCCTCAGGGTACTCAAGTCGAAGGAGTCCAGGACCGACAAGGACAGTCGGTTATACCAATGCCAATGGATTGGGCTGCCAGCAAGTGATGATTACACCACTTGGCTGTCCCTGGACGAAGTCACCGATATTGCACTGGGTCAATGGTTGGAATTTGTTACGGGTCTTGATGATATCTTCGGTTGAGATGCTGGAAACTGTAGAATCATGTATTATTTACTCGTCGATGGATTTCCCGATCTCCTTGGTTTGCATTAGGGCTGTTGGTTATTTGATGCGTGGTCGGTTTGAAACGGTTGAACGGTGGAGCTGTTACTTAATGTTATGGGGGATGCTTCAAGGCGCATCGCTTCCTCGGTCGCACCACTTATTACACTTTCTTACCGTTTGCGAAAATTACAAAAATAGTCGCAAGCGAACAATCAATTGGCAAGTCATTGGTCTCCTCATCGTAAAACCCCGTATCTTCATGGATCTGTTGTCCATTGCCAGGGCGGATGTTGCAATTTCCGAGTGATCGACAACTACCGGGGCCCGCTAGGTCCCCTGCAAATGCTTCAAAATAAGTCAAGTCCCCTGTTTCGCTGTAGAAATCGATGGAGACGAATGTCCTGATGCCCAGTGTAATGACTCGTCAGCGCCTAACGGTCGAAGATTATGCTTATCAAACGCTTCACCACCTGGCGCGATACTCCCAAAACATGGCTTTTGCTTCACTCCATCTTAACGATGAGTTACACGTCGTTTTTGTTATCTTGCATCAACCATGTTCATGTGGCTGCCGCGTGGGCGACGTGCATCTTTTCCCACTTCCCTCCTGAGATGTCTCTGCATTCTCGCACGCCTCACCGACCTGCAGCCGCAACCGTTACGGCAATAAGCAAGATGATCACCGCGGACCTAGGAAGCAGGAAACCCGGGCCGTTCCTTGTCAGTTCTCACTGGCGTGAAACCTAGCACGAGCCGTTGGAAGGCTTCGAAGCCGTTTCGCTATCAACGGTCCCTTTTAGAAAAGCCTTCCTCCTTATTCGCAGGCCCCCGGCATTTGCGTCGCACTTTTCTGCGGAGATCATGGGCGATCAGTGCAAAAATTACCGCAGAAAAGGTATCCCTGCCTGCAGGAAAACGTACCCTTGACCCCCGCTCAATTCGGCTCTTGTGATGCAGACCAGAGTTTTACCGCGCCCGTACTTCGTCTTATAGGCTTGAACAAACAAGGTTGAAGCATTAAGCCATCCTTCAGAGTCCAAATGGAGCATTCTATCCCGTTGGAATACACCGTCGACGTTGCAACCCTTGACTGACTCGCAGCGATGCGAGAGTCAAAGGTCCCTCTGTCTGACCCACGCATGTGCCGCCTTGTCTTGAAGATAGCCAACAAATGTTTCACTGCAGAAGCTTACGCAGCATGTGAGGATGCTCTTTGGGGCTTGGTGTTTTGCTGTGCATATCTTTCGTATATAGAGCTTCCCCTCATCCCCTCTCTTCTCGCTGGATCGCACTGTTTCTAGCCGCTGTATCTGCCATCATGGGTCTCCTCTTGCTTCCAGCTGTGGTTCTAGCCGCACTTATCGTGTATTATGTTCTCTTCCCTAAGAAGAAGACTGGACTTGACCTCCCTCCTGGTCCCAAGCCTCTTCCCATTGTCGGTAACGTCTTTGATCTCCCGCCGGCTGGAACGGCTGAGTATAAGCACTGGGCCAAGTTCAAGGATCTGTATGGACCTATCAGCTCTATCAATGTCCTCGGAACTCCCCTCGTTGTCCTGAATGACCGAGAGGCTCTTCATGACTTACTGGAGAAGAGGTCGACAAAGACATCGTCTCGACCTTGGTCACCCTTTGCAAGTGAGCTGTGCGGTTACAGCGTATTCCTTCCCGTTATTCCCTATGGAAACAAGTTTCGATATTTCCGTAAGCTGGTGCACCAGCAGATGGGCACCAAGTTGATCTGCTCCGAATTTCGCGACACTCAGGACCTGGAGTCACTTCGGTTCCTTGTGAGGACGATTGAGAGACCCGAGGAGTTCCAGAAGCACATCAAGACGTAAGTTAGACCAATAACAGTGCAGAGAGACAGCCCCGGGGAAGCATCGGCTAACCACCTTCACAACAGTGAAGCCAGCGCTATCATCTTGCGGATCATTTACGGATACAACATCGAGCCCAAGAAAGTCGACCCTCTCGTCAACCTGATCGAGAAGATGATGATCAACTTCTCCGACGCCTTTGTCCCTCTGTCCTGGGCTGTCGACATCGTCCCCAGCCTCGCCCGCCTCCCAGATTGGTTCCCCGGAACTTCTTTCAAGAAGACTGCCAGAGAGTGGCGCAACACCACCGATCAAGCCTTGAACACCCCTTACAACTTTGTCATGGATCAGATGGCTAGCGGAACAAACCGACCGTCTTATGTTTCCCAACTCATGAGCAGCAAGTCATTCAAGAACGACAATGGTACTGGCGAGCCTACCAAGGAGGATATTGAAGCTGTCAAAGCTACTGCGACTATCATGTACGGTGGCGGTGCTGACACTACCGTTTCGACTATCAGCAGCTTCGTACTTGCTATGATTGCTTTCCCCGAGGTTCAGAAGAAGGCTCAGGCTGAGATCGATAGCGTCACTGGAGGCGAGAGACTGCCGACCTTTGAGGACCAGGACCGCATGCCTTACATCAACGCCCTGTGCAAGGAGGCTCTTCGATGGATGCCTGTCGTTCCTACCACTACAACCCATGTTACTGAGGAAGAGATTGAATACCGAGGATACCGCATTCCCAAGGGCACATACCTCATCCCCTCAACATGGTGGATTCTACACGACCCCGAAATCTACGCCAACCCTGATGCCTTCGACCCTGAGCGCTTCATCGCGCCTCGAGATGAGCCTGACCCCAGTGACTTCGCTTTCGGTTATGGTCGAAGAATCTGCCCTGGTCGATACCTGGCTGAGGATAGTATCTTCATGACTGTTGCTCGATTGTTGGCGGTGTTTGATATGCGCAAGGCTGTTGACGAGAATGGAAAGGAGATTGATGTCGTGATTGATGGTACACCCGGTCTGATCAGCCACCCTGTTGAGTATGCTTACAGCATTACACCAAGAAGCGCTAAGCATGTTGAGATGGTTCGAGCTGCTGAGAGGGTTCATCCTTGGGAGGAGAGCGACTCCAGTCTTTTGAAGAAGGATTCTCCTGTTTGAGTTTATGTAGCTCATAAATAAGAAGCATTTGAACTCAACAGAAAAAATGCTCCAGCAATTGTCGTCATGTGTCGGCTTGACATGATGTTCACAGTAGTAGTTGTGCCTCAGACTTCCCTGAAGGTTTCAACACTGTTATTCAGCAATATCAAGCTCGAGCTACCGTGACCCAGTGGCCCATACAAGAAGTCACACTGATGAAGGATCGATGAGAGCGGGCATAGCTGATCAGATATGCCGCTTGATCCTGAATCAGCCACATTACTGTGCATGATGTTGTGAGCAGGGGGACCTAGTCATCAGCATAAGTGTTGATATGCTACGTGAATGCTGAAAGGAAAGCCGCGAAAGAGTGCTATAAGTGCAGGTGAGCACCAGCCCAATCTTTAGCCCCAACAAGACAAGCTACACACTACAAGAACAACACAAACAGCACGCATCATATCACTTCAAACCCCACCAAACATTTCAGCCACTCACTAAACACTTTAATCATCCAATCATTCACCATGTGTATCAAGGTTATCCCATATGGCAAATGCACCAAGCCCGACTGCACCACGCGAGTTAAGTGGGAGAAAAGGGCGGAGCTCATTCCGTGCCAGCTGAGCCAGGAAGGGAAGCAATGCCAGACAACCGAGCGGTCTAAAGACATAGATATTGTCTGCGAGGACTGCCAACTGGAGGAGGTGGGTGGAGGCTATGAGTACGGGCCGACCCCTCTCCCCAACCCTTCGAAGTAATGACCTATCTTGGTCCGGAGAGGATATTGAACGGCGGAAGGAGGTAATAGCGCAAGATTTACCTAGACCGGAGAGCCTATAGAAGGGTAATAAAGCCCAGGTATCTGGAATCAGCTTTCTACAACCTCACTGCTTCAATCCAGGGGAAACCGTGCTGCTGTGCCCAATTATGTGAAGATGAGTTTGACTGTCGTGTGAGTTGTGATATATTCCAGAAGTCTGCTTGTACATTAAAATAACCATTAACTGCTAGCTCTCTAAGTAAAGTTCATGATATCACTGCCACCGAGAAGTATTGTCAGTCGATCATGGCTTGACAAAGCGATACTTGATGTATGGAATCCAACCCTTGGGCATATCAACCTTCTGGGTAGTGAAAGTACAGGGGCTGAAGACAGGCCAAGTGTGATCCTTTGAGAATCCAGCCTCTGTGAATGTCTTGGTTACTTCCTTTCTGCAAGGATACTTGAACTCAAGGTTGTACCAGCGATCATATGGAGCAGCTCCCCACTCGACCACCATCTTGTTACCTCGGAGAGGAAACTTGAGGAAATCATTGTCGAAAGCATCGATCGCATTAATGAGAGTAGTGAGGGAACCTTGAAGTTCTTTCTTGAGGTGACCCTGGATCTGGATGAAGCCATCACGAACCTTGCGTGAAGCCACAGTCTTGGAGAGCTCCGCGTTGTTCTTCCAGTTCTGAGTAAGCTGAGCGTTGATCTTCTTCAATGCATCGCGAGATCTTGACTCATGCTTGGTAAGGAGAATGAGGGGAGTAAGGTTCCTCTTGATGTCGTTGGCATACATGCTGATTTCAGATGTGACAGTACCGTAGCCATGCATGATGCCGCGAAGCGTGTCGAACCTTCCATCATCCAAAAGATCAGCAAGGTTGTTAGGGATAAGATACTGTGCATCAAGGTTGTAGGCGGCCTGAATGTTGCCCAGGAAGTTGTAATAGATGAACTTGCGCTTCTCGTCGGCAGAGCTAGCAGCGGCGATGATGTTGTTGAGATCCTTGACGGCTTTGAGAGCGGCAGACACTGTGATAGTTAGCGATGAAAGCTCACGCAGACGGGAATAGTGACCGACCATTGTTGAGGTATGTAGAAGCTGTCTTGCCGGAGCAGGCGTTCTTCTGACAAATACTCTTCTTGATCGAGTCGACCTTGGTTGAAACAGTCTTGACGCGGGTTTGGACAGTGGTTGCTGCATTCTTGATCGCCATAATTCGGTTCTTGTAGGGTGTAGCGAAGGTCTTTTCCCAGTCGGCGAGCATCTTTGACATCTGGCCGTTCTTGATCTCGGTGCCCTTGGGAATCCACTCAAGAAACCATTCCATGACGGAATCGAGCTTCTCTCCGCCGCATCCATCTGCACCGCATTTGCTGAGGCGCTCGACAAGATCGAAGTAGCTCTTTGTGTTGATCTGTAGCCTGGTCAGTTAACCGTTCAAGTTGAGGCGAGGGATGGGTGATAACATACCTCTGCTGCTTTCTGTACCACCCATCCATCCTTATTGGCAAGTTGGTTGGAAAGAACGGTGCTCTTGGTGTTCCCGTACTTGAAGCCTCGGTTGGCGAATTCCTATTTCCGGCTTTAGCATCAGACGAGACGATGATGAAGGAAGACCAACCTCTTCAGCGCTGTTCGCAGTAGCCAGCGCAATCCACTTGGCTCCCTTGAGCTTACCGTCTACCCATACAGCGCGCTCCGTCTTGACTTCTTTGATAGCTCGGGGCGCCTCTCTGCAGTATGCTGTGTAGCCGCTGACGAAGTCATCGTTGCCCATGGCATCTCCGATAAGGTCGCAAATGTTGCGGTTGTTGGTCAGGATTTGAACGCCACATGGGCTGGTGTCGAAGCATGTTGTGATGGGCTCTGAGCCGTATGGGATCTTGAAATATTCCTCGCAGCCGTAGGTCCCTTCAGTGGACTTGCAGATAGCGTCGAGATTTTGACCAGGTCCAGCAAGAACCCTGGGAAAAAGTGCCGAGGCAAGAAACGGGAGCGATTGATAGCGACTCATTATTGATTGTAATTAAGAAAGTCGATTTGATCTCAGAAACACAGACGAACGGTGATCGGAATTTTGGTGGGAAATAAACAGTTAAAATTGACGACCCCTGGCTCAGTAGCGCATGATGCATTTTCAGCTCCAAACACCAACTTTGATTAGTGGCATTCAGCCCTGGCGGTCTAACGCGCCGCCACAACTACTAATTCATTCCACCTTACGGAATTAGACACTTGTGATCAATGTGACAGGGTTGTTGATTTGTTGACAGTTTCTGGCTTAAGCGAAGCTACTTTTTAACCTTATTTATCAACGCCACGAGACCGGTCCAGACTGGCGGTTTCAACGCTATCGCTCTGGTGTCTCGGTTGTTCAGTATCCCTTACGTGCAAGGCTAGCCCAACACAGACATGAACGGTTTTTGGTTGAGGGATTCTGCCTTGTCAGATCAGGGATATTCCTGTTTTTGTGTCGGGATGGTGTCCACGCACTGGAAAGCAGACCGTCCAGACCAGCTGAACTCATGTTGGGTGCGAGAATGGTTGGCTCTTTGGTCCAGAAAGAGCTTTCTGCAAGGATGAGAAAATGATAAAAAAGACTCAGGTCTGAGGTATGGATACACTAAGCCTGGGGAGGGTATCGCAAGGGCCACAATAGAATCAGATAATCTGCATGATGACTTGATCCTCAGCCCTATGGACTAGATTGGCGCACTGCCTTTTCCCAAGAGCGTGACCCTATGGTCAAGGCACACTCTCGGCAATTTCAGCATCCGTTTGATATGGCTTAAAAGCTTGTGTGTCTTAGAGGTAGGCCCTGCAATACTTCTAGGCAGACAATCCTTCGGTGGGGTGCATCGACGGGCCCTGACCTGAGTTAAGGGCTATTTACTAGAGTCTGGCACTGCCTTAGTATTTCGAATAGCTGGTTTTTATTCTACAATCCTTCCCTGCTATAGTAAAGAGGAGGAATAGTGATATTAGTGCTGCGTTTATGAACATCTAGGGGCAATCTAGTATCATTATCTGGTAATTTACTAAAAGCCTTCTTTATCTCTCTTGAGTGAGGAGAGAAAAGCTATATTTTAGGTTGCCCTTTCTTTTAGTATTATATCTAGATCTTGCTCAATGTATTATTTACAGTTACGACCTATGGCCGTGAGCTTTTAATCGCTAGACTGAAGTTGGTGTTCATGTAAGGTGCCATTATAACACAGTTTTCAAGGGGCAGGCAGCTGCAAACAGATGGAAAGGGCAAACAAACTAGGGGATGCATTGTAGTCTCACCGCAAACCTGATAATTCTAAGAAAACAACTCACAGACAAACACGACTTTGACCCACTCACCCGCCCGGCTTGCGTCTTCGTTTAGCTGACATCTTCGTAACGCAGACTTTGCATCACCTGAGCCCCAAAACTCAACAAAATCACCTTAAATCCGTCGCCATCACCACTACCAAAACCACCAGAAAGAGAGACATGGAGGACGGGCCGGAAGACGGTCATGTCGCTCTAATAAAAGAGTTGGAAGCTGCCATGAGCAAAGAAGCAGCAAGAAAAGGCTAGCCTGTAACTGACCATCCGGATCCTGAAGCCCTCGTCGAGGCACTCCGAAAGGAAAGTACTAAACGCAACGGCACAACAGAGATGCCTAGCTTCTCCGTCACTCAGATCCCAGATCTCTACGAGCCATGCGTAATCCCCGAGGAGGACCTTGAACCAATGCCTATCTCTGACATGAGACTCAAGACTCATCACCGCGGCAAGAAGGTCTTGCTTCGGGTCAAGACCGCACCCGCTCGAGTCACGACCGTCGTGACCATCGTGGAAGATGAAGAAGGGACAGCAGTCCTACTAGCGCTTTATCAACAGCTCCAGGAAGACTTGTTGACTGTCAGACATCCTGCTCAAGACTCCGTAGCAATCCTCAAAGATCCCTTCTTTGAGCAAACAGCTGAAGGAACTTACTCCCTACAAGTCGACCACCCAAGCGACATCATCTGGCTAGAAGACCACGACGAGAGAATCCCCGAGAAGTGGAGAGTCCACAGAAAGATCAAGAGTAGCGCAGAATATCGTGCCGAGGGAGAAGGGCTCGCGAGCAAAGAGCACTGGTTGCCCGCACTACACTCGTCAGTTTCTCCATGGTCTTCATTCACGCAACCTTACTTCTGACACAATCAAAATAAACCTTGACTCTAAACACAGCAGAGTCACCAGACGAGAAGCAGCAAGCGCTTTTCGGCCGTTCCGACATTTATCTCAAACTCGATCGCCCTCGTCAGGCGTTGCTAGACGCTATCGAAGGAGATGGCCTTGCAACTTCGACCGAGAAGCCCTGGCTTCTTCAAGCTCGCGCGATCTACCGCCTTGGGAAGTTTGAAGAGTGCCAATAGAAGCTTCGGGCTCTTAAAAAAGCGTTTCCCAAGAGCGTGCCTGCTTGGAGCCTGCAACTACACATCGGTAAAAGTCTCAAGGAGCAGAATGACGGCGCGTATGCATTTGGCAACATGCTCATTGATGCTCAAGAGACACCTCCATTGATCAACTGCGCCACCTTCTCCTCTCTTGTTGAGACCCGCGTCGCCCCTGGCCGAGTTATGGGGCTCTTCCTTACCGAAGACCTATCTGCTGGAGACTTGATACTCTGCGGAAAGGCGTTCTCGTACTATTTCATGGATGATGAAAAGAGTCATGAGACCTATCCCATCTTGTTGAACATGTCCAGTAAGGAACTGACATCTGGTGGCTCTGTTCACTTGTGGCCACAAGTCACCCAAAAGCTGTTTCACAACGCGAGAATGCATCTATACGATCCAAGAACTATTCCACGGGGACCACAAGAAGCTTCATCACCGGAATACCTGCTAACGTGGTCGTAGCTTCATGGTAGAAAGAATCATTAACTACAACGAAGTAAACGCCCCGAGAACTAAAAGTAATGACCTCGAAACCAGGGTATTTCGCAAGACAGGAGGCTCCCTAGAGATCGACAACAACAACACTAAGTTCCTGACTTCAGGGATCTGGCTCCTCGCTTCCTGAATCAACCACAATTGTGTCAGCAACTGTCGGCGTTCTTTTATCGGCGACATGCAAATCATCCGAGCTACGCAGGATATGTCCGCTGGGACGAAGCTGCTTCTCTCCTATCGTACTCCCTGCGCCTTCGAATCCTACGCGCAAGTACAGAAACACCTCTCAACTTGGGGCTTCAAGTGTGCGTGCGACCTATGCAAGAGTAGAAGCAAGGAAGATAAAGCGGCCCTGGAAAAGCGGCGCAAGATCTGCCACGAGGCTTCCGATCTTCTAAAGACTGAAGTGCTTCAATTCAACTGTGCCAAAGCCAGAACAGTCCTGAAACAACTAGAGAAAACTTACAACGGAAAGTCCGCCGACAAAGTCGGACTGGAGCTTTCGGAACTTTGTTTTGGGATGAACGATCGGTACACGGATTCGGGAATGCACGCTGATTTTGTCAGGATGATCGTGAAGTCTCTTGAGTCACTGGGCTTCGTCATTGTCGCGTATGTCCCTGGCCCAACTATGTCATTTATCTGTTTCTCAATCTGGCTGAACTGTACTGGAAAGTATCTCGGCAGCTCTCCATGCATGTTTTCAACTACGCCAAGCTCTCGTACAAATTCGTTGTTGGTGAAGTAGTCTCGATGCCACAGTTGCTCTCGGACACCGTTGAGCACTTCAGGTCTATGTAAGAGGAATGAATTTTGTATTCACACTGGACTGAATGTTCAGATTTAAACACATCCTATAGGCACGCCAATACATTAGAGTTGGCAAACCAGAGGAACAGACAACCATTGCTTCGAAGCGGGAGAGACGGATATGGGAAAGGGAATTAATGTAAATTAGTTCCGTTTTTGCTACAGAATAAAACAAGAACTAAGATCCCTCCCCAAATATGTACTATCAACACACAAAGCTCCGTATATATCCCCAGCTATAATCCTTGACTGCTCTCAGAGGCTTCCAGACTCTTAGGCACTACCAACGTTGACATAACACAAGACCCATCCAAATTGAACGGGGTTGAATAGACTGATATGAGCAGGCGTCTGCTTCGTAAAAGCAGCGCTCCCAGGCTGGGTGCCAAGGCTGTCCTTGTACATCTGACAGGTCACCTTGTCGGGGTCGACCTTTTCGCCGTCGGGGAGAAGGAACTGAACGCCGCGGAGCTCAAGATCGGTGATTTGGTAGTCAATGTGCGTGAGCTTGCCGAAAGGAACGTCGACGAACTTGTGTGTGTTCTTGTCTCGGTTGAAGGCGTAGACGCTGGCTGTTGCGAAGGTTTCAGTCTTGGGGGCAGCTGTTGCGGTAGATGCGAGGGTCGCGACCGCGGTGATGAGGATGGTGGCGAAGTGCATGGTAGCGAGGAACTTGGTTATTTGAGATTGGAAGTTGATAGGAAATTGAGATACTGTATTGAAGTAGTGTAAAAGAGAGTGTTGGCTGAGTTGGATTGCAATTGAATATTGGGCATGGCGAGTTTCTTATATACACTTGGGTAACTCTGAGCGTCATCAGCCATCGTGTCCTCTTCACTATTTTTAGGTAGGTAAGCTTCCTACAGTTTAATACGGACCAAACCTTTCGTGTTGATTCTGCGGACCATTTGACACGGCGTAGGCAGTGTTCAAAGCTGCAACGAAGAATAGTCAGCACTTGTTTCCAATACAGTACCTCGAATCACTTTCCCGTATTCGATGTTATGTCTCCCTGGTCACAATCCACACTTTTGAGGCTGAGTGACTTCATGAACGTCGATCTTCTTCGCCAATGGTGTAATCAAAATGTCCTTGCGCCAATGGCTATGCGGCAGTCAGCAATGGTACCTCGTGTCCTGGTCGATCATATGTCAGATTTGAGCCGCTCGTCAGCCTAACCCATCCAAGCCATGTAGCTCACTGCTTACTGGAGAAATTGCCGAGAGTGCTTGGAGGAAATGAGATGGTGATGCACTTTCTGTATACGAGGTTGAGAGCATATTTATGTTATGGACAGACGTTGCCGGAAGAATAACACCACGCATCACCTAGCAGATGATCTGCCGCAGCTGTGGTGACCAATAAACCCAGGCACCTGCAACTACTCGATCAGCACACCAGAGTCAAATGAAAGGTTGGAATCGATACATCGTCTGCGGTAACGTTGCTTATTTTCTTCACGACCTGATCATCTTAGTCACCCTTGCTGGCCTGCTCTTACTTTCACTATGCTCTCCACAGATTGCTACCGAGTCGCCCAAAGCAGAGAATAACATAAGAAAGAATCTCCGTTTCCGTCAGCTCTCCCTATTTTGAAAGCAAGGTGCTTGGTGAAAGAAGAGAGAAGTCAATGCTTGGCCCCACTTCCACGTCTTTAAGATAAGTGACCGAAAAGAACCCAAGGAAGAATAGACAAAGATTTACTCAAACCAAATTCCTGAATTTGTATTGGATGAGTCGAGTGAAATTTGATCATGTTTACTCCATGCCTGGAAGTTATCGAGATAACAGTGAACTAACTGCGGGGGCCAATCGGCCATCTCTTAGAGATTCCTGTTTGGTACAAGCGTTGCCAAGACAATCCGATGGCCTCTTTGATTGGACGAGCTCCCGCAGTACACATCAAGACGCTCCACTTCTTGTGACTTTGGCTGGACAAGATGGACGAAGGAATGGCTATATAGATATGACATTCCCCCTCCTAAAGACTTCATATCTTTGTTCCTCGTCACAAGCGAAAATGGCGATCCTCTCTCTTGCCCACCTCGCTGGAGCAGCCGTGCTCATTTTCATCGGCGTTCTAATCGTCCGTCTGCGTTCACCTTTAGCTTCCCTCCCAGGACCTCGTCGCCTAGGTCTTCTAACACCATGGCAACTGAGATACCATGAGCTTCGTGGCAAAAGAACGCAATATGTCCATCGAATGCACCAGAAGTACGGTAATGCAGTCCGTGTAGCCCCAAATGAGGTTGTTTTCTCGTCACTCGACGCGATGAAGGAGATATATCTGTCCAAAGGCAGTGGCTTTGACAAGACAAGTTTCTACAACCTCTTCTCTCAGTTTGGGCTCAGGTCAGTTGATCCTTAATGTCACTATGGCACACCGAACTAACACAGAAAAGGACAATGTTCTCAACTTTGCAAAAAGGCCCAGTAAGTCTCAAACTCCTTCCGCAGCCATGAAAGCGCTAAACATCCCGTGCAGCACAGCCAGAGACGACGAGTAATCGCCGACCGTTACGCAAACACCAACGTCAACCGCGAAGCCTCTCTACACGGTATACAAGAGAGATCACAAAACTTCATCTCTCGTTGCAAAGATGCTCCAAAGCAGGAGCTTGACGTTTACGTATGGGAGTCTGATCCTTTCTGCGCTTCCTGGCTAACATCAAGAAGATGTTCCTCCACTGCTATGCGTTCGACTGCGTCACACATCATCTGTTCCATCCTCATGGCAGTGACTCGATTCTCCAGGCGTCAGATGAAGAAACACTCCATGAGGCGGTATTTGACAACAGCCTTGTTAGTAAGTATCATCGAAAACCTTAGAGGGTACAGCGCTAACATAAATGACAACAGGGAGGCTCTTGAACTATTACCACCCGACTCTTGGCAGCGTTGCAGGCAAGCTGGGCTTATTCGGAAAGTCGCGCGGTATTCCTCGAGCTACAGAACTTGTGCTCAATGGTGTGAAAAAGGGCGGCGTCGCTGACTTTACACTGGTGAGTCGCATGCAGGAAGAGAAGTTCGGCATGGGCACTTTTGACATCGCGTCTGAATGCATGGATCACATGCTTGCCGGGATTGAAACCACTGGGGATGCGCTGTGCTTTCTGATGTGGCAGATCTCTCAGCCAGGCTATACCTTCATCCAGGAGCGCCTACGAGATGAGTTTAGAGCTAACCCTGATGTTCCTTCTGATCAACTTGAGTACCTCGAAGCAGTCGTCAAAGAAGGTCTCAGAGTCTTTCCTTCGATCCCCATGAGTTTACCAAGGTGCGTTCCTGAAGGCGGCGCAACTGTTGATGGCCATTGGCTTCCTGGAGGTACTATCGTGAGCTGTCAGCCATACTCGATGCACCGAATGGACGAAGGGGTTTTCCCCCGTCCAGATAGCTTTGAGCCACAGAGATGGCTAGAGGAGAAAGGCTCAGCTGAGCGAAACCGACTGTTCTTTGCGTTCTCTAATGGAGGTCGTGCATGCATCGGAAGACAGTGAGTATACGAGCTCCCAGTTGAGGATACTGGCTAACTCATTGTCCAGTCTTGCTATAGTTGAGATGAAGACACTTTTGCGTGACATCTATTCGCGATATAGAACAGCCCCTGCGGATGGCATGACTTTTGATATGAGCATGGATGACCAGATTTTTACATCTCGACCGAAAGACCAGAAGTGCAATTTGAAGTTTATCGAATGGGTTGAGGTTGCAGGTTGTTGAAAGCCAGAAAAACTGCTGTCGAACTTTGACGCAATGCTTAAGGAGAAAGGCGGTATCTTAGACACAGTAAAATACACACTTTCTTCCGCCAATAGCAACGCTTAAGATTTACCTTACCTCTTGACATATGGTGCATGTGCCGATGTTACATTGACACAAATTCGAGCATTGGCGAAGTAGAATGCTCTAGAGAACCTGCAAGTAGAAAACGACATACAGCACAGTATCTTAATGAACACCAGTAGTTCTCCCATGGGAGATGGAACAAGCAGCTATTCAGTCAGGGGGAACTAATCTCGTTCTGGCGTTAGTGTAACCCTGCGGGGACTTCCACCAAGCCCAGCTCGCTGGAGCCACTCGCCAAACTATCACCAACTCATCTCAATCGGCCGCGACCACAGCGATGAGCGCTCCAGTTTCAGACACTCTCAAATCGTTACCAAAGAAAACCAGGTCCCGAGCAGGGTGCGTGCGATGTCGCCGCCGACGGCAAAAATGTGACGAGAGTAAGCCCTCCTGCGATAGATGCGTCGAGGCTGGGAGCATCTGCAAATATGAGGTTGCGCTGAGTTGGGGCGGAAGAGCATTCGCAAAATCCACTTTCGGAAAGTGTCTTCACGATATCAAAAGAACAGGTATGCTTAATAGACTGGAGACTCGGGTGAGCACTTACTTATGCTGGTTTAGACAACGCCTCGACAGGCAATGGCTTTGTCTACAGCACGACCCATGCCCAGTCACCTAGGCGCAGGGCATCGCGGAGGACCACAGCGACGCGGTCAAATGCCAGCCATGAAACAAGGCCACAGCGCTCGACAGAAAGTCATGTACCGGAAAACACTCCGGATACACTAGATCGACGTGTCACCACCACCAACGCCTCCTTGATCATGAAAAGCGATTGCATTCTGGAGGTTTCATCAAGAGTTCACCCACAAGATAAGCTGACCGGTCCCCTTCACCCCTTACGACCGCAACATCAGATATCCTTTCTTCCGCCCATGGCTAAATATCTCTTCCAATTCTACCTCTCCGAAACGATGAGACTTACAGTCCCAAGCAGCTATGCCAAAACAGAGATCTGCCGATTCCTCGTCCCGATGTCGCTCCAAGAGCCTAGCTTACTCTACGCCGTGATGGCGTTCGCCTCTGTTCATCTCGATGCCATCGGTATGCTGCCCGGAAATTCGCAGCGACTTATCGACAGTCTCCATTGGGCCAGCATCAACCATCTTCGAAGATTGTTGGAAGATGCTGACACCACGTCACAAACTGTGGCGCTGGCTACCACGAGAACACTATGCCAGGCTCAGATTTATGGTGGGACATCATTATGGCGCATTCATCTTGATGGTGCGCGTGCTATCCTCCAGGCGTCTCAAGCAGGCAAACAAGTGATGAGCAGGCCTCACATTCCTGTGAACACGGGGTTCCTGGATAGTTGGTTCCATAATGCGGAAGCACTAGCTTCCTTGAGCCCGGCCGGGCTGCTCGGTGGTCAGCTTCTTGTCCACGGCCAGACCGATTCTGGAGAGTTTCTCGACATTTATGGTGGCGTCATGTCTGATCTTCCTGCATTATTCAAAGAGGTCGGAGCCCTCTTGGGAAAGAAGCACGTACGCACCGCTGAGCTCGAACTTGAAACGGAGGATCTCGTTCATCAGATCCACGCAAGGCTTTCTCGTGACAAAGCCGAGAATATGATCATCGCATCAGATCTGCTCTCGTTTCTCTCAGCGAATGATATCCAAAACTACGCACTCAGCAACGCTGGGTTTCTCTATATGGCACTCTTACACCTATACTGTAGCATGGGGTCTTTGTCTCCTTTCGCTACCGAAGTCCGCTTCTGCGTTACTCAAATCATTCAGTGTGCTCATAAAATGTCTCGTGAGTCTGGACTCTCTCCGAGAGTACTGTTAGTCTCACCCTTGTTCACCGCCGGGCTTTATGCTATCGGGTCTGCGCGAGATGAGATCAGGCTCGAGCTGGTAGACATTGGAAGATGGATGAAGACTCCTCATCTGTTCAAGACACTAGAGCTATTGGAAAGAGTTTGGCTTCAACACCCCGATGACTCGACGCGCACTTGGGAGACGATTGAAGATATGAGCGTCGACTTTCTTCCTTACTAGCTCGAAACTACTTGAGGAAAGCCTTAAAGCTTCTTCACCCGTTAAGGAGATAATAGAGGCATACCAGCTACTGTGACGAATACAGACTAGCCCACCACATGGTTGTTACTAGACTCTCTCAGTTTCAACGACGTTGAGCTCAACGCTTAACTTTCCAACAGTCTCTCCGACACCTGGTCCCTGCACTTTGTAACCTCGGAACTTCCTGGCTGGCAGCTTCTCGTTGAACTACACAGAATGGTGAGTAATCTTGCCTTGTTGCTGGATCGACTTCGGGTTACTTACCATAGCGTCGATTTCTTCCAAGGCCCGTCCCTTAACTTCAGGCAGGTAGAAGTACACCCAAACAGCGCTAATGATGCACGAAGGGAACCAGATGTAGCCATATCTTGGTCCCCAGTTCAACGCAACGGGATTAATGAAGTAAGGAGCGGTGAACGTGATCAGCCAAGCGCCAAGGAATCCTGCTGCTGCAGCAAGGCCGAAGGTGTAGCTTCGAAGGCGTTGTGATGGGATTTCGCCAGCAACGAGCCATGAATATGGAGCAATCATGCCCTGAATGAGAAGGTCAACAACACAATCTTTGCATAGACATCGAAACACTTACATTGAAAGCCATCATGTAGAAGCATGAAAGCGCAACCAGTACCTTGCCGGTGATGATTGCGCCCGGGTTGTGATCATAAACGATTGCGATGATCAATTGGAAGAAGCCAGCGGTTATGAGGCCACAAAGGAGGAGTACTCTTCGTCTTCCATATCGTACAACGATACAAACATTGGCGATGATAGCAAGCATACCTGCCATACTGAGAACGTTGCTCATTGCAAACGGGTCTTGAACTTTAGCCATGGCGAAGAAGTAGGCCTTGTAAGCTGCGTAAAGGTCAGTTACGTATCCCTTGGGCGACATCAGGGATGGTTACCAATGATGAACATTGACCCAGTGGCAGCCTGGAGGCAAACAGCACATATGGAGATCATGGTTCGCCTTCTGTCGATTGGGTTATTGAACATATCCAGGATACCGACACCCTTGGACAATGCACGCTCGTTATCAATAGCTTGGCGGATATCTGCTATCTCCGCCTCGGTATCTGCGCCCTCTGGCCTGAGCCACTTGAGCGACTTGAGACCATCTTCGTAGCGTCCTTGAAGAACAAGCCATCTTGGTGACTCTGGAATGAAAGGCAAACCAGCGAATATGATAGCTGGAACTACGTATATCATTCCGAGAGGGATGAGATATGCAGAGCGATCAGGGCGTTTCGCTGTTGCCCAGTCGATTATGGTACCGATGAGTGTGCCCTATGAACCACGAGTCAGTATCGATATACTCTTCATACTGTCAGATAGGAGTACTGACAAAGGTTGTGCACAGATGAAACACGGTCAAGAACAAACCACGATACTTTGCTGGACTACTCTCTTGGATGTACAGTTGGGAGAAGGTCATGAAGTAGCCGTTGGCCAACCCGATAAGAAGCCGGCCAACATACAGCGGCCCAATATGTGTCGTGGTCATCATGATGATGTTCGATACTGCGCAGAGAACGCAAGCCATCCGAAGACACATTTTCCTTCCAAGTTTTGCCGCTACGAACCCTGCGAGACTGGAGCTTATGAAGGCGCCCATCGTCATCAGGGACGAAATAAGCTGCTGTCGAGTGGTGTCGATGTTCCACCCGATTGCGACTTCGGGGTCTCGGTAGCCATAGATCTGATCAAGAGCAGTAGTCAGCACAATGCTCGAGTGCTTGTTGGACGTCAGGGAATGCAGGTGCCTACCTTGAGAAAGCCAGGCATGGCTTGTAGTCCACCGATCAATCCAAAGTCAAGGCCATACTGGAAAGGAGACAATACGATGATTCCGCATGCTAAGAAACATCGCCAGTGGGCACGAACAGTATCCTGCGATGGGTCTGCCATAATCAAGGGCCAGATGGAGTGAGGACGATCAAATGAATCGAGCAGTCAACTGCTCTGGCTTTCTGCGGCTACCGTTTCCTTTCATACTGGAGCTCAACTGGAGGGACTTGGCCAATCACCTCACGGTTGTTCCTTCAGACAAAAACATTGAAACCTCTCATCACTAACTATATCGATTGGCGCTCAACCGAAGTGCGGGGTGCATAATAGGTTCCACCTAGAGTTGCAGATCAAGTCAGAGTTGCACCCGGTCGTCAGCCTGAAAGTGCGGAAAGAGTGTTGTCTCTTTGGGTAATCGGGGTGTTTCTTCCGGAGAGTTGCCCTATCGTACTGAGTTCGGCGGTATGCATCCGATGGGAAGAGTTGTCAAACTAAACCCAAAGCTACAAAGTTATGTACTAGAGCTACCCTTGCATCAACTTTATCCAACAAGATGTGAAGCCTAATGGAATTGCCAAGTACTTCCCCCGCAATCTGAGAGTCATGCTGAAGTTTTAGTCTCGTCTTGCATGAGTTTTCAGCTTAAGTTGAGAGCCATCGCGACTGGCTGCGCTGCTAATTCCCGAGCCAAATGCCGGGACCAGGGTAACATTTCCCCCCTCATCATTCAGATTGGCACTGATTGTCACAACATTGCCTGACAAAGAGATGACATGTCAGTCACGTTCTGAAGCTCATTCGCAGCCTGCAGGACGTGTGCTGCTTTGCATAGTTCTCTGCCAATAGGACCACGAACCTGGCTGTTAGCGTATAGATATCCCACGGAGGTCAAGCGCGTTGCATGATATCCGAATAGAGAGGCGATAGCAGTTTGTTCTCGCCATCGGGTGAAACATTTGACATTTACGGCCCTGTAATTCGAGCATCAGATTTGGCTGTTCCGTGTCTAGAATGGAAGCATGCTATAAATTGAGCGTAATCAGTAGCAAGTGAACCAAACTGATGACAGAATCAGAACCATTATCCAAGTACCGTAGAGCTTGTTAGCGAGTTTGTTACACTAGCATAATCAACCAACTCTTGGCTGCAGAAGGATCCTGGTTGCAGACCAAAAAGGGCGGGGAACAAGACGGGGACAGCTACCTCGGCTTCCCAGGGTGATGTTTTCCGCTAACCACATGGTCACATAAGTGACATGTTGCATTAAACCCCAGATGAAAAGTTTTGAAAGTGCCAGTACCACCTGTTCAGCCTTTTCAAATCATGGCGGCTCACAAATCCGGTATCAAGGTCATCATCGTTGGGGCCGGCTTTGGCGGTTTGACTGCCGCTATTGAATGCCATCGGCAGGGTCATGACGTTGAGATCTATGAGTCCTTTCCTGAGCTCAAAGTTCTTGGAGACATCATATCATTTGGTGGCAATGCCGGCAGGATCTTTAATCGCTGGTCTGACGGAGAGATTGTAGCCCGTCTACGCCCGTTATGCATCGACATACAAGAATATGGCTTCAGAATTCACAAATGGGACACAGGAGAGGTCGTATATCATCAAAAACGACCCCCTCCTAACCCTGAAGCCCCAGTGTTGAACGGTCATAGAGGCGAGCTGCATGAGATTATCTTCAATTATGCACGTGATGAGCTGGGCATTCCAATTCATCTCGGCCAACGAGTGTCTGAGTATTTTGAGGACAATACACAAGCTGGTATCATACTGAAGACTGGGGAAAAGGTATTTTACATATTTCTCAATGCAGACCTTTCGCTGACTTTTGTTCCAGATTACTGGCGACGTGGTGATAGGTGCTGATGGGGTGAGGTCAAAGGCAAGGGAGCTTGTTCTAGGATATGTCGACAAGCCCAAGAGCAGTGGATACGCTGTTTGGAGAGCATGGTGAGATCAGGATCTTGTATGGTGACGGGTAATCATATACTAACAGGCATTAGGTTCTCGAACAAAGACATGATACAAGACCCCCGCACAAAAGAGTTCTGCGAGAACGGCGATACCTTTAACGGCTGGATCGGACAAGATGTGCACTTCTTGTTCTCGACCTTGAAAGGGGGTAAGGACTGCTGCTGGGTACTGACCCATAAAGATGACCACGATATCGATGAGTCATGGTCGTTCCCTGGTAAGATAGAAGAAGTGTTAGAGCTCCTGAAGGATTGGGATCCTACATGCCGAGCGATTGTGGAAAAAACGCCGTCAGTAGTTGATTGGAAACTGGTCTATCGCGATCCGTTACCGACTTGGATCAGTAACAAAAGGCGAATCGTACTTCTTGGTGATGCTGCTCATCCTTTCTTACCGACGAGTGCTCAAGGCGCAACTCAAGCTATGGAAGATGGCGTTACTATTGCTGTCTGCTTGAAGCGCGCGGGGAAGAGTAACATCTCTGGTGCACTAAAGGCTCATCAGAGTATGAGGTAGGAGAGATCCAGCATGCCATTTGAACATTTCTTCCGCAAAACTAACACAGTGATAGATATGAGCGCGTAAAAGCGGTTCAAAAGACAGGAGAGTCAACCAGAGATCTTTGGCACAAAACGGATTGGGGTAAAGTCAAGGACAATCCTAGCAGCATCGGATTCCCGCGCGAGGATTGGATTCACCAATTTGATGCTGAACGGTATGCAGAGGAGAATTTCGAGAGTGCTCTCAAAACTCTATGGCATGAGGTCAAGGATAATGTCCTGGTCGACGAGGCCCCTACAATGGCGCAAGTAGCGGGCTAGGATTGCATCACTGTTTCTGCTATCCTGACTTTATTTCTTTTCCGCCACCAAATTTACAGCCAAAGTTTTATGACGTTGACCAAACGCGAGCCATTGTGTAGTCACTGTCTTCAGGGTAGGCTGTCGGTGCCTGTCCCAATTGTCAAACACGCGTCATAGACTTCGGCAGTTGTCCAATTACTCATGCTGAATCATCTGCCCCCAATCAATAAAATGATCGTGCCTTACTCATGAATCGCGCGATCGTCACAGAAATGTAGTTTCCCGTCGGTCTTGAAACTTCGGCAGAAATCCAAGAACCTTCTAGCGCCCTTCCATGAGATGGTGTTAACGTTATATCGAAGCCATACCTCGGTAAAGAGTTTCTATTCCAAGCACCGTCGCCGTGAACTAAACCAAAATTGTGGTCTGAAAGTGGAACATGACGGCATAGACTGGGTCTTTGGACCGAAGTTCGTGGCAATGATGGAACAATAACCATACAAGTCATGACATCACAAATATCCGATTTCTAATATTTGCAATTGTTTATAAACGTGCAAATGTCTCGGCATCTATACTGTAGTGAATAGAACATCAAGTTATAAAATAATATTATTTGAAAATGGCACCAAGACGATTCTCTACTGAACCTGCAGACGCAAGCCCTTTGGGCCAGCCTCTCAAATTCGAGTTCAGCGGTAAAACCGCCAAGAACCGATTTATGAAGGCTGCAATGACAGAACGACTCTCAACCTGGGATCCCAAAGTCCTTGAGAAGCGAGGCGTTCCTACACCAGAACTTATCAATGTCTACCGACGATGGGGCGAGGGAGATTTCGGTGTTATCCTGACTGGAAATGTTATGATTGAGTATGACCAGCTCGAGGCTGCTGGAAACCCGATCGTGCCCCGAGATGCACCTGCGTCCGGTGAGCGGTTTGAAGCGTTCAAGGAATTGGCAACTGTTAGCAAGAAGCATGGAAGCTTGATTGTTGCACAGGTCAGCCATCCTGGACGCCAGGTCGCCGATAACATTCAAAAGAACCCCATTTCTCCTAGTGATGTGCAACTGGAGGGTGAGGTGATGGGCATGCACTTTGCCAAGCCCAAGCCCATGGATGAGCAAGACTTCAAGAATGTTATTGAGGGCTTTTCTCATGCTGCCGAGTTCCTTTACAAGGCCGGCTATGACGGCATCCAATTGCATGGTGCACAGTAAGTAGACCAAGTCTCAGTGCTCTGGATATGATACTAACAGAGAGAAGTGGTTATCTTTTAGCCCAATTCCTTTCACCTACGACAAACAAGAGAACAGACAAGTACGGCGGTTCCATCGAGAACCGATCTCGCATCATCTTCGAGATTGCCGATGCCATCCGTGCCCGTGTCCCCGATAAGTCATTCAGCCTTTCCATCAAGGTCAATAGCGTCGAGTTCCAAGAAGGCGGTTTCTCCACCGACGACTGCAAGGTCCTTTGCAAGCAACTCGAACAGCATGGCTTTGATTTCGTCGAGCTTTCTGGAGGAACTTATCAGAGCCTTGCCTTCTCTCATCGGCGAGAGAGTTCGAAGAAGCGAGAGGCTTTCTTCCTCGAATTTGCCGAGAAGATTATCCCTGAGCTTACTAAGACCAAGGCTTACGTCACTGGTGGCTTAAGGACAGTCAAGGCTATGAATGAGGCTCTCAAGACGGTTCATGGTATCGGCTTGGCACGACCGGTTACTAATGAGTTCGACTTGCCTGCCAAGATCCTCAAGGGTGAGGCTAACAGCGCAATCGACACTTTGCTCGATGAGCAGAACTTTGGTATCACCAATGTTGCTGCTGGTACACAGTAAGTCTACACAAGAACTACAATCATTTATGGCCAGAAGACTAATTTCTGTTTAGAATCCGACTGGTTGGTAAGGACAAGCACCCTCTTGACTTGAGCCGAGAGGATCATAAGCAAATCTTTGAAGAATCTATGCAGAAGTGGGGTGAGGGTATGGCGCATAATGATGATCAGTCTAAGTACGGATACGTTGATATTGAAGGAGTCAAGTTGGAGCCATATGGCCAAGCTGATGCGGCGGCGTAATTGACAATAGATAATTAGATCGAGTATATAATAGATCGTAATCTGAGTTCGCAACAGACTTACTTAATTTCACAGTCACTACCATACTCCACTGTACAGGACCCCAAACACGATATTCAACTACAATCTCAGATGAGGCAACGAGAGGAGGGGCTAGATGCCTTGACCAATATGCATATCAGCTGATGTTAGCATAGCCCAAAGAAAGTCATGGGTGCGACTAAACAGGCTAAAAAGACGTCAAAATTATGACGTTGACTTCAGCACCACTACAGTTGAAAATGCAAAGGGAGCCTGAAAAAGCCCTCATGATAGTCTTATTTCACAAATCGGCTGTGCTGACCATCCAGAAACCCAAGGTATAATTTGTCCGAACCCCATTTTCACCATGATCTTCAACATCTACAGTTTGGTCCCGCCTTGTCTACAGCCCCAACTCAATCAACTGAATCAGCCATGGTTGCGACACCTTGGACCCTAGTTCGTTTCTTGGATGAGTGCGAGAATGCGGAGAAAGAAAATTCGAGCGATGAAGTTTTCATCTCGACTACTACGATCAATTTATTAACATCGAAAGAGTGCGTCAGCGACATCCTAAAGGATCGAAATTGTCCAAATCAGGATGTTTTGAAGAAACGGATCTATGATAGACGTTGCCCTGCGAAGATCATCTTCCTTATCTTAGCTCGAGCCGACATGCTAGATCGTATTGGCGAGTTCTTATCCAATGACTTTTCTGATCATCATCTTCCTATAGAGGTTCTATGGACGCGCGAAGGGTACAAACTCAAAAGTGCGAAAGATTCAGACTGGACAATTGCTCCCTTCGGAGCAGGAATCCACTATAGAGATGTCGACTATTTCACGCAGAAGCAATGGCCATTCTTGGCCCCTATCTTCGAGAGAGAGTTCGAATATGTGCTACAGCAAGGTATTCCTCTGCCGTTGGTCGAGAAAGGCAACGCGATTGTCTCTGGATTTAGCTCCGTTTCCAAGATCAAGATGCACCATGCCCATGTTCCAGAGCAGATAGAAGTAAGTCTGCCAAGCCCGGCTCTTCAGCATGTTTGATTTGACGTGATATAGCACTCGATGGCCATGAAGAAAATGGAGCTGGAGAGTGAGGACCAAATCAAGTATGTCAATAAAGAGATGACTAACGTGACGTCTCTTCGATTGCTGGATCACGACCATCTTGTCAAAGCGATTCTCGCCTGTACCAAAGGAAAGCAGGCTTTATTCTTCTTCCCATGGGCCAAAGGGGGAGACTTGTATAACTTCTTGAAAAGCAATTCTAATGAGGGCATGGCTGCTATCATATGGATGCTGGATCAAATGGTCGGACTCTGCAGCGCTTTAAGTCTGTTGGCGGACAAGGGATATCGACATGGTGACCTCAAACCTGCCAACATTCTATTGTTCCCTGAAAAGTCTGGTAGCTACCGCCTGAAGATAACAGACGTTGGACTCTCGAAGCTTCACATCCTGGCAACAAGCAGACGACTAAATGGGACGACTGCCAAGGCTACCACGAGGCGATACAGCCCCCCTGAATTTGACCTCTTGTTTGATGATGATGGGGAGCCAGTAGAAGACTCTGATGACATCAAGCTATCGCGCAAGTTCGACGTTTGGTCTCTCGGTTGCGTCTTCATCGAGTTTCTCATCTGGGCCAAACTGGGTCGGCAAAAGTACAAGGAATTTGACCGGTCTATGAAAAGGGACCGACGTTTCTGGGACTCTGGACGCGAAGACCTTGACGACAAAGTTAAGGAAAGGATACAGAACCTGGAAGATGCTGTAGAGGATACCCCAGGTGACAAGGTCGTCCAACAAGTTCTGGAATTGGCCCTGAAGCAAATGCTCCTTGTCGACAGCGATGATCGTAGCAGTGCGTCAGACATTCACAAGGAATTGGAAAGTATCAGAGATAGCTACAGTGAGTGTTTCCAATCAAAGGATGAACTTGATCTGCCGCTAGGCCTGACTACCGAGCAGGACGCCGAGTCCGACCGTCTTCAACAAGAACAGGACCTATCAGGCGCAAATGACGGCATGGATCAAAACGAACCTGAACCGTCTAGTACTCAAGACGAGGGCTTGAACACTACGGCTGTTCCTTCGGGTCATACAGCTGCTATGGTTGTAAGTTGAATAATCAGAACACCGGTGCTTTGAACTTGATGGCTGACAGCAAGGTAGTATGTGAGTTAAAACGTTAGGTCCTTTGTCAGAGAATAGAAGAGCTGATGAAGAACCTGATATCGCGGCATATAGAATGTATGTATCAGGCAATCCCGTACACTGAACTGTTGTCCTCTTGTATTAACAATTTTTGAGACTGTTAGTGCATCATGAAAACTTCATCTTGAACTTGTATACTTACAGGAACCTTTTAGCGGGTATGTTTTGCCATCCTTATCCTATAGTAATTGTTGTATACTGACAGGAACAGCAAAGCGCCAAGCTACTCAATCAATGGACAGTCAATCCCGACAATGAGTTTGCAAAGAAATTCTTCTCGGAACAGAGCAGCCCGAGCCCAGTGGACAGAAGTCGATTATGCGACTCATGTTCAATGCTTCGCATCTGGGAGCCCAATGCTACAATATCTGGTAGAATGAGGGACTTTCAAACTCTTGCTTCGACATGTGACATGTGCAATCTTCTATACGCCATCTTGCAAAGGCTTGGCCTTGAAGAGGATCAAGAATTGCACTGCATTCGGGACGGCTCTACATTCAAGCTGAAGGGGCGTGACGGCCCGCCAATCCTTTCCCTGTTCTCTGATCCTGGTACGTTCTCAGTATGTCTCATCGATGAGTTACTAAATATTATGTTCTCAGCTTACAATTCTAACGATCTTGGATCCGTCCAAGTGGGATATCCAACTTTGTCCCCTCCAGAAAGTTCTGAACGGTATCGTCTCTTTCAAAAGTGGCTCCATGTTTGTGATAATGAACACGGCCATGCACGAGACGCATCCTCTGGCGGCTGTGCTGTCCAGATGCCCACTAGACTGATTTACGTAGGCGAGTCGAGTGAACATTTGGAGGATATTAAAGATTCTGGCTTTCTACGTTATCTTGCTCTTAGCCACTGCTGGGGAGGCAGCACGAGCCTGTCTACCCTGACGAGCAACATCGATAAATTCCGCAGTGAGATACCGCACGAGCAACTGCCTCTTAATTTCCAGGAAGCCATCAAAGTCACGAGAGCACTCAAGATCTCATACTTGTGGATAGACTCATTGTGTATCATCCAGGACGACCCGGAAGACTGGCGACGAGAAGCTGCTCGAATGGGTCAGGTTTTCAGCAACGCCTACTGCACAATCGCAGCGGCAGCGGCAGCGGCGTCTAACGAGGGCTTTCTCACTCCAAAGCTCAACTCAGCACTTTCTGCGACCTTGAAAACTCCCGAGGGAGGTCTGCTTCACATTTCGGAGTTTATGGAAAATTGTAACAGAGATTTAGAGTCAGCACCCCTGAATACGCGAGGTTGGGTGATGCAGGAGCGAGCTTTATCTAGAAGAACACTGCACTTCACCAAGACACAAGTTTACTGGGAATGCGGAAATGGACTGCATTGTGAGCGGCTCTTCAAATTGTCGAAGTAAGTACTATTCATTGCTCATCGTAATTCATGTCCGGTCTAACTAGTATTCTTGTTAGTCCCCAATCAGCTCTGTTCGCAGACTCGGATTTTCCCAAGGCGATACTCAAGTACTACAAAGGTGGACGAATCACTCTATTTCAAAATCTTTACGAGAAGTATTCCAGGCTCAATTTCAGCTACACGTCAGACCGACCAGTGGCCATCCTGGGTCTGGAGAAACACCTTTCATCTGTCCTCCAAACTCGCGGCGGGTTTGGTGTCTTTGAGCAGTACCTGGCGAGAAGTCTGCTCTGGTCCCGACCTGAGAATATCTATCTGAACAGTATCACGTTTCAAGATGACTATCATGTTCCTTCTTGGTCATGGATGGCATACGAGGGTCCGATCACCTTTGCGAATATACCTTTTGACGAGGTCGAATGGAGTACAGACTGCTTGCTTCGATCTGGCGAGGAAACCGGTACAAACAGCAAGAGGACTGTGTTGAAAGCAGTTGCTAGAGATCTCAAATTGGATAAGCTGGATATGCGCCATAGAGTCAAACTTGATGAAGGGTCTGGGTTCGAACTATCCAACTTGCGGGGGGTTGTCCTTGGTAAAGACAAGAAGCGAGAATCTCGGGTCCAGGTATACTACGTTCTCCTTGTCACCTTAGCCGAAGACGAGCCAGAGCAAGCAAAGGTGTATGTTCGAGTTGGAGTGGCCTGGCTTCTTGAACATAACATCAAAATGGATGGTGAGGATGTTGTGATTTACTAGCTATCGCTTCCTTAATTTATGATTCAAGTTATTCTTTGAATCCCTTTCATTCCATTGCCAACTGCTATGATTCTATATATATGTGATGATGATAATGATGACTAGTGTAAGAGAACCTACGTCCCCAGACTGTTATGAATAATGGTATGTAGGTTTGGTACGCTCATTCGTGTAGGGAGCTTTTCTGAAGGTCGTGGGAAGACACTTTGCGCGGAACAATATGTTGTCACATCCCACGTCTAAAAGAGTCCCGGTCCCATCGTATCGTGTAAATATCTTGCTGCATTTCGACAGAGAACTTGTTTCGGGGGAGACTTCGTTCGAGGATAGCGAGAAGCTTTTGTGGGCTGACGTCCTTTGCATTGATGCGGATAGTATCGTATGATGAGCTGGTCACTGCATGCCCACTCGTTTGCTGTTGTATTTGCCCGGGCATTTTGAGAGCAGGACAAGAGATATTGATGAAGTGGGACGTCAACGGATAGATGAAAATATGCTTGAAATGGAAGTCGGAGAAGAAAGACGGAAGTGGCTGATTTAAAAAGACTCGATCACGGACGCGATATGACTCAGAAATGACAAATTGTAAAAAAGGCAGACAAGGCAACCTCAGAAGCGGGGGCTGTGCCTAGTGGCCTCTCTTGGTGGCCTCCGTCTGACACACCTTGGAAAGGCAGGCTCTGGATTGAGCAATCAAGGCAGCCACTCAATAGCTTCTGCCTGGAATTTTCAACCCTGGCTGCAGTTATCCTCAGATTAGGCTAGAGGAGGGTGCCAGAAGCATGCAATGGCGCTGGGCAGAGTGATTCGCGAAGTTGATAACGAAAAGGTGGCGGCACGAGCCGCTCCAGGCCAAGCATTCTAACCGCCGTGGCATCATCCTGGCCAATGTCCGTTATGGGGGCCAGAAGCCTTGTTCGAATTATCTATGCGACTATTGGCTGGCCATATGCAAAGCTCAAATGTCTCAACCAGGGGTCTCAGCCGCAGTTCAGGAAGGGCTTTATATTTCTCAAATGCGTACTGAAGTGAAATCAGGCTCGGCTGAATTGAGAGTGGAAAACTCAGCCTTCAGACATCATAAGCAATAAAATGCATTGTCTTGCATCCCCTAACCTGAGATATACCTTGACTATATCGGACTTGCATGATTGACGGTATGGTCAAACCTTCTAAACCCCGTTTAAGAGTGAGGGGGGCAAAGAGGACCACTTCATATGTGACATCACCAGAAAGCCTCAGTGCATCGCAAAGTCAACAGTTACCCAACTCATCAGCGACCTCTCATTATGAGCCTCCAAGCATCCCCAATTGGGGAGAAGCGCCATCTCGTTCCGAAATCGACTTGAAGCCTGGGACAGGGCAAGGGTCTATCCATATTTCAGTTTTATCTCAGAGAGAAAGCACATCAACGTTTCGGAGTATCTCTGATATGGGTCACCGTAAATGGCTTGAGTCATTAGTTTCTTATAGAATGTCTGCAAGTATTTTTGGGGATGTTCAGGATTCGGAGGCACCAATGGTTGACATCGATATCTCCTCTGTCTGGGAAGCCCTGATGAATGCCTGCAGGAAGCCCGCCATTGATCATACTGGTAAGCAAGAGTTTATACCTCTGGGACAGCTCCTTCGGATTCTAAGCCCAAGGAATGTTGAAAAGATACTAAATCAAAGTTTCACGGATGAAGCTTTGATAAGCCTTGTCAACGAGGTATATGGAGCTGATGGCGAACCACGAAGACTGAAGATCATGGCTACACTGATATTGGTGAATGGACTGAGCTTTCTACTAGACTTTGTCAATGCAAAGGTAGAAGATAGTCAGCTTCCAGTTACCGTCCAGCGACAGGGGCAGCAACCTATTTTATACGACCGTGAGAAGAATGAGATAGAACCTTCAAAGAAATGGACTTGGTCCTATCCTCAAGCCGAATACTTTACTATGAAGCAGATGCAATTATGCAGCCTGTTCTGCACTATCGACGAAGAAGGACAGTTCATGGATCATTTTCGCCTCCCTGCAGATTTCGTCCTACCATTCGTGGATTCTGAGCCCCCTGAGATTCGGTCTGGAGGATATGGTAAAGTCACAAAGGTCTTCATCGAGCCGTCGCACTTATGGTACCGGGGTAAGTACCCGAAACCAAAGTGCTTCGCTATCAAGGCTGTTCAGCACAGCTCAATAGACCACCCAAGTGAAGCAGACTCTCTCGCAAGGCGGTTGGTTATCAAGAAGCTCGCAGACAGAGAACACCTTCATCAGCTTCTTTTCTCCTTTCGTCGGGCCGACTATTACTATCTCGTTTTCGAATGGGCTGATGGCGATCTGACTGATCTATGGAAAACAATGCCAGGCTTATACCGCCCCGATATCTACGAAGACGCGTGTTGGTTCTTCCGCCAATGCGCCGGTATTGTGCGGAGCCTGGGTAGTCTTCACGAGCAGCGCTCGTCCTACACTGCTAGCACTATGGAGGAAATAGTTCATGTTGCACTGGCAGGAAAGTACGGACGGCACAGCGATATAAAGCCGCAAAATTTGCTTTGGTTTGGTGATTATCAAGGAGATAAGAAAGATCATCTAGTCATCGCCGATCTTGGTCTTACCCAGTTCAACACGTCACAGTCCAAGTCGCATGCGTCATGGGCTGGTATCAAAGGTTATACGCAAACCTACAAAGCACCTGAGAGTGAAGTAAGCCGTGAGGTTGGCGCCAGATACGATATTTGGTCCCTTGGCTGCGTGTTTCTGGAGCATGCGTCTGTGTTTCTGATGCGGGATGATAGCTCTGTCAAGGCCTTCTCAGACAGCAGGCTAGAGGAGGATCGTCGTCGGAACAGAAAAGGGAATTATCATAGCGACACTTTCTACAATGTGATCACAGAGGAGAATTCTACAGACGCGTACACACCGATTGGAAGCAGTGTCATCCGGGGGGAGGTCAAAGAGGCAGTTATGAAAGTAAGAATCATATCAGAATCAATCCTACATCATGAGCTAACAACTCATTGTCATAGATGATTCAAGGTCTAAAAGACCATAACTTGTGTGCTCCTTCGATGTGTGACTTCTTAGATCTCATCAGCGAAGGGATGCTAGTACCGAATCAGTCTGTTCGATATACTGCCGGTATGGTATTGAGAGCTCTTAAAGATATCCAGCTCCGTTGTGAACAGGATCGCCGGTACGCTTGCTCATCAAGACACTTGCCATTGGAGGATCAGTTGGAGTCAATTCCCGATAGCCACATTCCTTCAAGACAGTCTCAGATCTTGGCAGGTATCTCAGGAGGACAAGACGGAGCCAGGGCCAACTTTGACTCATCTCACATGGAGGCAAACGTTGATGCTGCGGGTGCCGACCTGGAAGCAATGAAAATGCTTCATGAGTTGCGTCACATGAGCAACGACATGACCCTATCCCCAGGTAATCTACAGCTCCAGATGCCCCAGATTCAATTTGATGGGTCTGTAGCAGGGCTTTTGCAAGAATCCAGCCCTATCAGCGATTTGATCCATAAACTTGAGTCATTCTCCATCAGAGAAAAGACTTGACAGGAGTTATGCATCCTGATGGTTATACCTTAGACTGTACAGCTTGAATAGACTTGATACCCATTCTTTTCACAGGTGTGGACCTAAAATATCATCAATCTTTTCGAATCGACTAGGGTTAAGATTTCCAGAGGCGCCGATTAGTGATGGTGGTGGTTTCCTTCAAAGAGGGGCATCATAACGGTGTTTTGTGATGCAGCTGAAATACATCACTAACCGGGTCCTGGAATATTGTAAGAGATTTACATAAGTTCTCCTTGGAGTTAGCTTTATGAACTGTCCCAGCTGACGAACCTCAAGGCACTGAATACAGCTAAGTCTACCAATAATGCAGGGGTATTTGCATCAGTAGCGCAATTACAAGCTGGCACAGACATGTCACGTTGCCCATATCGGTGCTTGACACCTAATCGGGACGCAAAAGGTATAAATATTCCAAGAAGCTGCCCGAAACATGCTGAAGTGTCAAAATAATTCTTATCTTTTACTTTTTTATCGCCTCCTCTTGATCATTCCAAACTCTCAGCATGAATCTGAATCTACACGACCCCGGGGAATGGATGAAAGACCTTCCAAGCGACATGAGTGTCACTCAAATCTCAATACCAGGAACTCATAATAGTCATGTTATTAAATCCAACATTGTGGTAGAACGAAACGCCAACATGAACTTTGCCTCCTATGCGTTATACAATCCTGGGATCGTTATAATGTATTCTGAAGTTTATACTGCAATAGCAACATGCCAAAGATTTTCGATGTGGGATCAACCTCTTATTTCATTCCTGACTAGAGAGTATAGGTCGCGGAAGAAGGGTACATATGGGGTAGTTGTTACTGACTTCTGCAATCAGAGTATCGCCTCACTCTTCTATGAGCAGAACTTTGGCCGTTAATTTCTATACTACTCCGCCTGTTCTGTTTCGAATTACTGGGGGATGTTCATTGAGCAAGATAGCGCCCCATAATGGTCAAATACATGGCACCATCAGTAGTATTATTTGCAGTTGAGACCTGTGGCTGAGAGCTTATAATCGCAACACAGAACTTAACTTCAATATCCATAGTCTAATACGATTCTATTGCCCTTTTATCTCTATAGCCCTTTCTATTCTATTATGTTCATCACTTGTGAACCTCATTCGTGCTTTCAGACCTCGCCACGCTTATCGCTGACGTCCTCGAGGTTCTCGGATTGGCTCACTTCACCCTTGACATCAGATCTGAACTGTTGCTCCTCCTGTTTTAGTTGCTCTTTGAGGATCTTGTCTGCCTTCCAGATTGGCTTGATCTTGAAGAGTCTGTAGACTTGCTCCAACGGAATTCCACTTGTCTCGGGAATGAGGAAGAAGGCGAAGATGAAGGCGAAGAAGGACAGAGTCGCAAAGAACATGTAGACACCGTATCCCATTGCAGCAAACATCTGTTCGGTGAATCGCGATACGAGGAAGTTGAACAACCAGTTGCTGGCGGTCGTGCAGGCTTGGGCAAGGGATCGGAAACTGGGATCGAAGAATTCCTTGACACTAATTAGACGATGGAAAATAGTTGGGAATGCAAGACTTACAGAGTTGATGACCCAGGGTGTACCATTCCATGTGGGGGTATAGACGGCGGTCCAGAGGTAAAAGAACACGATAGCGGCAATACCACTGCCAGTCAAATGATCTTGGGGGTTCTTGGTAGGGTCGACGACATAGATGTATGCGCCCAACACCCACATGCAGATGGAACCGGTGATACCACCAATAAGCAAAAGCTTTCTTCGACCAAGTTGATCAACAAGGAAGAGAAGCCAGACAAAGGTCATCACAGCCTTGACGACACCAAAGATGCCTGTCATTACGTTGACAGTATCATGCTGAACTCCAATGCTCTGTGAAAAGTTAGATTGGTACTAGTACAAAACGCGACCATGGTTGTAAACTTACGGAGAACACAGTTGGGGAGTAGTAGTTGATGGCGTTGATTCCAGAGCCGTTCTGCCAGAAAAACAGCATGCATCCCAGGAAGAGGCGCCACATCATGTTTGGTCGATCCTTGAGAGCCTGGAAAGGCTTCCAAAGTCCAATACCAACAGTCGACTTCTGGATCTCGTGAGCGTGATCAATGGCTGATACCTCTTCGGTGATGTAGAGATCGGTCGGTGGGAGCTGTCGAATCCAGCAAAGATTCTCCATAGCCTGTGTTCTGCGGTCTTTGAGGAACAGCCATCGAGGAGACTCGCGAAGCCAGAGTGTTCCAAGGAAGAGAAGGCCCGACGGGATGATCTGGACGGCAAAGGGAACAATCCATTGTTGGTGGCTTTCGGGCATGTGCTTCTGGACACCATACTATCCAAAGGTCAACAAGCGCGCAATATGGAACGGGATGAAGGCTTGACTCACGTTGATCCAGAATCCAACCAAACCACCAATCTGCCAGCCAAGCTCGTACAGACCGACCAGACGACCTCGAATAGCAGGAGGCGCCAGCTCAGAAATGTAGATGGGGATGATGTTGCTTGCAAAACCGGTTCCAAGACCTGATAGAACACGACCTGCGTATAGAATTCCCAAGCCAGTGCTAGAGTCGGCACCGCATTGGAGACCAGCTCCGAGCGTGAAGGTAGCGGAAGCGATAGCAAGACACCATTTGCGGCCAACCCAGTGACTGAGAACGTAAGTGAGAAGAGCACCAAAGAAGGCGCCAGCAATGAAAAGCGAGACAATGTTCTCACTGATCAAGTTTCGCTCCTCGACAGTCTTCGTGTCGATCCCAAATTCCTTCTTGAACGAATCAAGCGTGATAGTCGTTCCAATGAAGGCACTTGTATAACCGATCATGTTCGAGCCGCAAGACGCGACAACAGCAAGCACATAAATGCGCCAGTTGTACACCGAAGGCGGCGTCGGCCTATCTTCAGCAAGAGTGAGGATACCCATGGTTACAAGATCAGTATGTCCGTGAGTTATTCGAGCAGAGGAGCTGTCGAGATAAAGAACCAACTCCAGATCAAAGGCTTTATAGGAATCAGCGGGATCCGGGGCCCCGACTTTGAAGTGGTGAGTCTTTGTTCTTCCCCATCCTGACAAAGTTTTCTTCTCCATGCGCTACGTTACAAAGATGCCCACATTGCTCTGGGGCGCTGGAGTCTATGGAGCAAATGAGTCGGGCCGGACGAGCGTTTTCCCCGTATGGGGCAACGAGATGGGATTGTCGTCGGTGTGCTTCCGCTATCTGATCAATTCATTCACGTAATTTCGATTGAGCTTAATGAGCTTAAATGATTGGTAAAATCGGCAAATTGAGTCGTCGAAGAATCTGTTCCTGAGTCGCGTTGACGCCTCTTACGGACGGGCGGCTTAATGGCTCTTGGCTTCCAAGCCATTTGAGCCTCATATTGAGCCTCAACATCCACTATCATCGCCAAGGACAAGCCATTTACCGCTGTAGAACCAGTAAAGCCCTCTGGAAAAAGCCTAGAAAGGGACCTCGACCTCTCGTGACCCCCACTATCCCCGTCCAATACCCAGACCCCGGACCATCCGGAGATCAGCGCGGAGAAAAAATCTCCAGGCGTCTCTGAGCCTCCGGCAAAACCTTTACCCCACAAGGTATGAGTCTTTTCTTCGCCAGAGGGATAAAAGCTTCGATGGGCCACGTCAAAGCTCGAGGGTGACACCAAAATCGGGTACCGGCACGTCTAGCTGATCAATGAAAGTGTTATCAATGGCATCTGAGAGGACCCTTGACGTCAGTTGCGTTGGGGGAGTTATGCGTGACCCCAATTTCCCCGAATTCAGTGGTTGAACCTTGATCCGGGGCCTCCATGGGGGAATAAACATGGAGATTAGCTATGCATAGACTAACAAACCCAAGGAGAAGACTTTATCAGTAGACAAAGGATCCAAATGCCGAAGGAAACTTCTCAACGCGCATGATTGAGCACAATTGATTACCCACTAAAAAGAACCAATGAATCGACCGCCGTCATCGGAAGCATCTTCAAGTTGTTTGCTGTGAGACGCGTGTGCGCCAAACCAGAAAGACAAACAGGCAATACTTTCAGAAAACTGCTGCATATATGATTATTTAAGATGAATAGAGTTTGGGAATTACATCTTGACTTACAGACTTAGATATCTCCATCAATGTCTGGCTGTTTGTGCAGAACCAGGATTGTCAATGCAGAAAACAATTACCATATTCTGCTCTCCAAACAAAGCAGATAACACGCTCAGTGCTTCTGTACAGTTGCATCAAAGAGAGGAGAACTATCAGAAAATTAAGGCGACCTGCATAAAATAGCAAACCTCTTTGTCTTTCCAGCACTACGGCCTTATCGTCATGATTCGGACAACTACCCTAGAACGAGGAGGCGGAGCTTGAGGGCCTGGTGGATACGCGTAAAGTACGCGATTAGGCAGGTCCTGAATTGTTGGGACATCGTCAGCTCAACCAACAACTTTTGCAAACAACTCATGACTCTCCAACAATCTCAGTCGCCATGGCTGACAAACGTCCTTTCAGAGTTGTGATTGTTGGTGCGAGCGTTGCTGGGCTTAGCCTGGCAAATATGCTCCAGGCCAATGCCATCGACTTTCTGGTGCTGGAGGCTTATCCCACTGTAGCGCCTCAGGTCGGAGCTAGCATCGGGCTACTGCCTCATGGAAACCGCATTCTAGACCAGCTCGGCTTATACGAAAAAGTCATGGAGATTGCGCCTCCTATACAGATTTTCAACTTCCGAGACACAAATGGCCAAATTCTAGCCCGCCATCCAGGGATGGACGAGCGGCTTGTCGAGAGGTCAGTATGTTTACGTATCTTAAGCCTCCTTCGACTGACCCTACTGTTGAAGGCATGGATACCCTATGGTCTTCCTCGACAGACAGATGCTTCTTAAAGTGCTCTACGACAACATAAAGGACAAGTCAAAAATCTTGACAAACAAGCGAGTTGTCCGGACTGAGTTGGCCAATGGCGGGGTTCATGCAGTCACATCAGACGGAACGATTATTGCTGGTGATATCCTTGTTGGAGCGGACGGCGTGCACAGTACAGTACGCTCTGAGATGTGGAGGCTAGCTGGCAGGTTTTCACCAGGCCTCTTTGACCCAAACGAGCACGAGGGTGAGTCAAGATACGATCAAAACATATCAACACACTGGCTGACGGATACAGCACCTCCCTGTGAAAACAGCTGCATCTTCGGTATCTCTAATTTATGTCCTGGTATCAACCCAGGCGATCTACATTGCGTATTCAGGAACAGCTCTTCGTATCTCGTTACTGGAGGCCCCCAAGGGCGAGTCTACTGGTTTCGATTCCAAAAGCTCCCGGAAAAGGTTCACGGCTCAGCTATTCCACGTTATACCGAGAAGGATCTCCAAAAGTCGCTGTCCGAAGCTGCTGACGACAACATATTGCCTAATCTGAAGTTTTCAACACTTATTGAAAACAAAGTGAGTGCTGTCATGACTCCACTCGTGGAGTATGTCTACAAGCAGTGGCACTTTGACAGAATCATCACTCTGGGCGACTCAGCGCACAAGGCAGGTCCCAGAGAATACACGATATTCACCCATCTGACGCATATAACAGTTTCATCCAGTGGGCGGCCAAGGGGGCAATGCTGCCGTTGAGAGCGTGGCCTTACTGACAAACATCCTCGTGAAAGCACTCAAACGGAGCCCTTCAGGACGTCTAACCACCGTCCAAGTCGAGTCCATGTTTGCAGATGTCCAGTCTCGCCGAAAACCCAGGTTGGAACTCAACCATCATTATTCTCATAACCGTGCGAACACAGAAGCACTTGATACGCCTCTGAAAAAGCTTATGGCGATCCACCTGCTTCCGCTGGTAGATGAGCAAGTCGTAACTCTTGGCTACTGCTCTCAGCATCCCGGTGGAGAAATGCTGGATATGTTACCAGTGGAACACCATGAGAACTTAATACCATACAAACAGGAACTGCTTTGCGAGCCAATGTCAAGAGGCAGTATACAATGGGTATTGATGATGACCTATATGATTTTCGCAGTTGTTGCAGTCTCTGCAGGCAAATATGGTACTACTGCAACCGATGGATTTGCCTCGGATAACTCCCCCAACGATATTATTGGCGACCGATCAACTTTGTATGAATTTAGTCTCTCTTGGACGGCCATGGCTTGGATGTCGTATCTCAAGCCTCTAAAGCTCTACGCATTTGGCCATTTAATCCAGCCGGTCGGCATCATCATGATTGAAGGCTATAGAGGAAGAAACAAACTCACGCCTCTTGGACTGTAAGACATCTTTATTTGGGTAAGAAACGTGGATACTGATCGTGTTTAGGCCTGCCTTGTGGCTCATGCTCATTCAATACGCCGGAATCGAAGTCGCCATGCCGTTATACTACCTCATCTACACCTTGATATCTGATGTCGAATCATATTGGTGGCCTCTTAGGAGATTCGTTCCTCTACGACACGCCAGGCATATTTTCACCGCGTGCGTGATAGCAGAAGCAATTCATATCGGTCCTGTCCTGTCAGACACGTGTCTCCCCCAGTGGATGGAAGCCGCCAAGTCATTTTGGCCCTTGCTGGTTTCCGTATTAGTCACAATATTCGGATCCTTTGGCAGCTATCAAACTGCACTGGGTCCAAACAAAGCACTAAAAGCCGAACTCAAACTGTTGGGCAGTATATACTTGGCTGCTGGACTTTTCGGCGCTTTGTGGCATTTTTTTGCCATCACGCAAGCCGTTCGCAACGTTGACCCCAATACTTTACTCAACTTCGGCAGACCGGCTATATTCGAGGGACCACCCCATATAAAGGCAACACAACAGACTGGGCTATTTGTATACTTCCTAGCCTCGTATGTGTGGGCGGTCCAAGCTATCTGGGATTTGAATAGAGTCGGCCGAGCCAAGATACACGTGTTCGCTGCAACACTCTGGATCTTGCTGGCGTTTGTGAGTTTTGGACCCGGTGCTAGCGTTGCTGGTGTCTGGTACATACGAGAACATGCTATGTCACGGACGAGCTTCCAGCAAAAACAAAGGTTCAAAAAATCTCAGTTTCATGATGGCGACGCCGTCAAGACTGGGGCGTCAACTTCTGGTTGAGACCTACGCTATCTGATAAGATAAGACTAATCGATAAAATAATATCTTATCGCACGTGCCTGGTGTGCCGATAAGGTTGATATCGGTCTATGATCGGACTGTTCATCGTGATAAAACCTCAGCCGGTATCTCAGTTCGCAAAATATCAATGATGAGCTCAAGATAATAATAAACTCAATTTCTCTCAATCATAGAACATGGAAGAGTACGCGCGTCAGCCCAGTCCTCTGCCGGCGCGGCCTGGATCTCGCAAACGCGTCGCACCGATAATCTCCGTGCTAACCCTATGCCTCTTTGTCAACCTATCGATGAGCCTCTATCAACTCCCCTCAAATCGATTGATCGAGAGGCGTCTTTGCGTAGACTACTACCGCCAGAATGATCCGTCGCAAATCCAGCCCGGTGGCAGCGTTGACGAGAAGCTATGCAAGATTCGCGAGATAGAAAAAGACCTGGGTCGGATTCAGGGCGTAATGGAGACGCTCTGGGTTGCCGGAGGTAAGTATCCTTTACCCGATAGCATTTATCCTACTGATACGAGGAAGACTTTGTCATGACTATTCCCCTCAGCTTTCTGGCTGAGAAATGGGGACGCCGGACGATACTCAAACTAAACCTTCTGTCGCGTTCCTTTATGCTGCTATGGGCTATCATAGTTGGATCTTTCGATGCTCTGCTCTCAACCAAGGCTATCATGGCCGGCCCGGTGCTGTCAGTCCTTGGTGGAGATTGCGTCTTCAACTCTCTTACCTACAGCCTTGTCTCGAATTTAACAGACGACCATGTTCAACGAGCCATTTACTTCGGATACATGAGCTCAGTGTCTTATGTCGTGGCCTTACTTGGGCCTGCACTAGCTTCATCTACCATGACTCTATCGCTATGGCTACCGTTCTGGCTCGCCATAGCCCTGCTCTCATTGGCTGTCCCTACCATACAGATGCTACCTACGCAAGAAAATACGGACAAAGGAACCGATGGTGATGACGAGAGCCAACATGAGCCTCTCCTCTCATCCCCTCGTATTAAAGCTCAATCCCATCACGAGCCACTACTCCAGTCTGTGATTGGCCGTCTCCAGACGATCAAGACCATCATCGTCAGCCATCCAAAGAATTTTAGCTTGTTGTTGTTCAGCTTCATGCTCACATCCCTCGCGAGCTCAGATACAAAGCTTCTTGTGCAGTATATATCCGCACGCTACAAGTGGACATTTGCGTCCGCTGGATATCTATTATCTGGAAAAGCAATCGTCAACTTCACGTTACTCACCATCGTTATTCCCAAGCTTTTGCGATCTGCACGCCAGGCGCGACAAGAAGACGCAGCTGAGGTAGCGGATAAGTCAAATATCCGGAACGCTATGTACTGCCTTGTTGCATCTGTGTTTGGCGCCTTGGGCATCGCCATTGCGAGCGAGATTTGGATGTTAATCCCCTCCATGTTTGTCTACGCTCTTGGTTCTGCCCTTCCTATCTTCACTCTATCACTTCTCAAATCTCCTGTCATATCGCCGCCTCATAATTCCGACTCGTCCGATCCCGAACCTCACATCTTCTCTATTGTCATGCTGGTAAAGACTGTTGGTTCGCTTTTAGGGGCGCCTTTGATGGCAGCGCTCTGGGTCCGCGGTCTTGGGATTGGCGGCATGGCTCTCGGTATGCCGTTCTTCGTCAGCCAGGCATGTTATGCTGTGGCCATTTGGGTTTTCGTAAACATAGAGGTAGACCGTGATGTGTTGGCTGCTGCCGAGCGGAGGAGACGCAACCGGGACTAGAGCTCAGGGAATGCCAAAAGTCAATTCACTGCCAAACCTGGCACGCTTGCGATCTTCTAGCACTGTCGAATTGCTTTGACAACTCAACAAGAATGGCTGGGCAAGGCCGGCATGGCGCGTGCGAGAAACAGCTATGGTTGCAGTACACAACTTTCAACCACACGAATTGTTGCCTCAGGTTGTTTCTAGATGAAAGGGCTTATCAAGTTGCAAGGTTCAATATGTTTATGGAGATGATATTCGCGTCCCTGGGCTTCCTGAGACATGCAGTTATCCACCAATATCACCGCAGCCGCCCTCAACAATCATGACCCGCACCAGGATCTTGCCTGCAATACTACGTAGATCAGTCTAATGTCCGGAAATAGATGGAGACACAGAACAGAATGCTGTGGAATCCGCGTAAAGAAGTTGGCCGCCATACAATTGTGGTTCAGCGTGACGCTCAATTCTATCTGCCAGCAATACAGCTGGTATATCAACTAAAGCTGCTGCAGTTCAATGACCTTAAAATAGACTGCAAAGAAGCTTTCTGCCCAATTATAAGCATAACAACAACCTCGCCAAGTAAAGTTCGGCGAAGAACGCCAGAGGTAAGATCGCGCGGTTAAGCTTAACCCTAGTCAGGGGTTGCGTTTCAGCATCGGGGATTTCTTCAAAAACTGACCAGTGATCGACGCGTCGTCTCATTTGCCTGCAGGGATTCTTCACAAAACACTTGGCTATGATAGGCGGCAATATTCGTGTTTGAAACGAGCCGCATGGGCTGTATCAATTAAGAATTTTGCCATGTCAAACGGTGGGTTGTTTCAGTCGAAATGATCCACCTATCTTCAGAACGACAAGGAGAGTTCGGGAATGTGGGCAATCTGATGAGCGAAAACTTGGCTTCTGGCGCCATCTGGGGAGTATGTCACTGAGTTGACGAATGACTCCCAGGAAGTGACAAACCTATAAGTTTCCAAGACATCTCCTCCACCGAGTCCTCTTTTTGTTCTGTGTCTCATCATCACTTTCTTTGCATTTTATTTCACTCTTTCGACAAGCTGTGCTTGGTCATTCTTTATTTGTCTTAACCATTCCTAAAGTATTTACTGGTTTGATACCATTTTCTGTCGTTTCACTCATCTCTCATCACATACCAAGCATTCTTTCCTACCGATCATCAAAATGCAGTACCGTGTGATCATGGCGGCCACTCTGGCCATTGGTGCCTATGCCGCTCCCGCTCCCCTCATTACTGGCGCTCCATCTCTCTCTCGTCGTCAGGATAGCGAGGGCGGCTCCGGTGGTTCTGGTGGAAGCAGTGTTCTCGATGCCCCCATGACCATTGCTGCCGGCGAGTCATTCGATGGTGGCAATGCTATCTTCGACCGTGGTGTTTCTTGCACTGGTCAGGTCGAGGGCGGCGACTCCGATGCCGTCTTCATTCTCGAGAAGGGTGCCACTCTTTCTAACGTCCGCATTGGTAAGCTCAACCAGTCATTCTTATTCCCAGCCAGTCCTAACTGTTACAGGTCCCAACCAGATCGAGGGTGTTCACTGCAACGGTGGCTGCACTCTCAACAACGTTGTCTGGGACGCCGTCTGCGAGGATGCTTTCTCCATCAAGAAGCAGGAAGATGGTGAGACCACTACCATCAACGGTGGCGGCGCTACCGGTGCCGAGGACAAGGTCATCCAGCACAACGGTGGAGGTACCGTCATCATCAAGGACTTCGAGGTCTCTGACTTTGGCAAGCTCTACCGTAGCTGCGGTAACTGCAAGGAGATGCCCGCTCGCCACGTCGAGATCTCTGGCGGTTCTGCCAGCAACGGAAAGATCCTCGTCGGCATCAACCCTAACATGGGTGACACCGCCAAGATCTCCGGCATCCAGCTCACCAACGTTCCCAAGGAGTGCATCACTTTCGAGGGTGTCACTGACGGCAGTGAGCCCAAGGAGGTTGGCACTTGTGACTCTAATGCTGGCTCTGGTTCGGGCTCTGGTTCTGGAGACTCTACTGAGGCCCCTGCTACCCCTACCACTCCTGCCGATGGCTCTGAGACCCCTGCCGCAACTGAGGTTGCTGACCCTGTTGAGACCTCCGCTGATGGCTCTCAGGGTGACGACCAGTCTGGTGACGATCAGTCCGGCGACAACGATGATGGTGACAAGGATGAGTCTGATGATGACAAGAAGGACTCTGACTCTGACGATGAGAACAAGGATGAACAGTCCGACAACGAGAACCAGGACCAAGACTCTGAGTCTGAGAACCAGGAGAGCGCTGATAACCAGCTGGCCCAGCCTTCTCAGCCTAGCTTCAACTTTGGAAGCGGTGGCTTCGGTGGCTTCTAAGCGAGCCTTAGAATTGGGTTGGACACCGTACAATCTACTCAAATACACCGGATGTACTCGAAGGCATCATTCACAGTTAAAAACTTGTGTTCTTGTATCTATATAGTTAATATTTATGGGGTTAAGACAATTGTTGAGGCGCTATCATGGCTTTACTCTTCCACGTGACACTTCATTTCTCCGACATGATCCAAATCTTCCTTTCATTCTCTTGTTCTTGAATAGTGGACGGCCGTGGTTGAGGTAAGGTGCTCATGGTCACTCACGCTCGAGGCAGTTCCTGATTAAATTATCACAAACAATCCCATAGTTAAAAACATTTCCTTGGTGAAATAGATCCACCCACCAGTGACAGAGCCTAATCGGTATAGGCTAAGCTATTCCAAACACAGTAGTCGCCGGAAACAACACGCTGTCAAGCAAGAAGCGAGTAAGACCTAACCCCATTCGTTGGCGAAAACAGGGTGAGAATGCGCAGCTCGTATCAGATAACTATGCGAGACTTGCATGACTGTCAAAAATGTAACGGCTTCATGAATCGAGCGGCAATCCAGGCCTGAGGCTGAGCTTAAAACCGGAACAACTCTCTTCGAGTGATCGTGTCTTGTTGACTGCCAATAGGTCAACAACAGATCACTGCGCCGCTTCTGAAGGGCTTGTTTTGCAACCGTCCTTGATTGCTCTCTTTGGTGGCATGTCATTTCCTTGGCGCCAGGTCTTTGGTGACGTATTCTTCAACCCTCTTCATCCATTCCAGGGCATATTGAGCATGTTCACACCCTCTTGATCAACACGGTTCACAAATCGACGATGTTTCAATTGCCTTTATTTTTCATACATGGTTTGAAGCATTAGAATACTCAAATTTTGTGAGTCTTGGTAAACATCTGACATAAGCAAATCTGGGTCGTAATTTGGATATTCACGATGTTATTGGGTCAACATAGCCCCCGAAGGATTCAGTCCAAGCGGCGGGTAATGATTTCGCTCATTTCGCTAGCTCAACTGCGCCTTTTGCTTGGCTCGCGCTGCCTAGCGCGTTACAATTTTTGTCTGATGATAAAAACCTTCACGTCAGCCCAATTCCTAAAGTTGCAGTAACCTTATCAGTCTTCTCCACACTCGTTTCTTATTTCCGTCGTAACACAATGGGTGTATTCCAGAAGGGTGCTGGCCTTGTGCTATTTTTGGCACAGTTTGCACCTGTCCAGTCTATGAAGCTTGACAGCAAGGATGGCATCTTAGACGCGTCTAAGGGTCTTGCTGGGGATCTCATCAGTTTCTACAAGGGCAATGAGACTGGTCAAACCCCTGGTCTTCTGCCCGAAAGGACTATGGGAACAGATGGGTACTATTGGTACCAGTCGGGGGCGTTCATGGGTTCTTTTGTGGACTATTGGCAATTGACAGGCGACAAGACCTACAACAAGCTTATTACGGAGGGCATTCAGTGGCAGGTTGGCAAGGGAAAGGACTTCATGCCCGCCAACAACACTGCGAGCATGGGCAACGACGACCAGTCTATTTGGGCCTCTGCTGCACTGACAGCCGCCGAATATGGCTATCCTGAACCCTCTGAAGGCCAACCTGAATGGCTTGATCTTGCCGTTGCAGTCTGGGAAGAGCAACGCGCACGATGGGACACAGAAGTAGCGCAGAAGACCTGCAATGGCGGTCTTCGATGGCAAATCATGATGACCAATGCTGGTTTCGATTACAAGTCGAGTATGTTACCTCATCAAGTTCTGCCTTCAAGTCACTAACCTCTATAGCACTTGCCAATGTTCTTTTCTTCAATCTTGGCGCTCGTCTCGCTAGACTCACATCCAACGAGACATACGCCGACTATGCCTCAAAGACCTGGGACTGGCTCGAGACCAGTGAGTTAATCGACAAGGAGACTTGGGCAGTCTATGATGGTGCTCAAGCTACAAAGGCGACCAAGAACTGCTCAAATGTCAACCAGATCCAGTGGTCTGCCAATTCGGCAGGACTCACCATGGGTGCTGCATTCATGTACAACTTTGTAAGTATATAACTTGATGATAAATGGTTTTATACTGACTCATCTTTTCAGACTGAAGGATCAGATGAATGGAGGAAACGTACCGAGAACCTCGCATCAGCAACCTTGGGGACATTCTTCAAAAAGAATGGCGACTTCAATGAGATCGCGTGTGCGAATAGCAAAGGAAAATGCCCTCGCGACATCGTCATGTACAAAGGCTTCACGCACCGATGGCTTGCCGTGGCCACCCAGGTGGCTCCCTTTACAGCCAGTTCCATACTCCCTGTCCTTCGAAAATCGGCCGAGGGCCTGAAGGCAGAGGGAAATGGCGGTGATGCTTTGGAACAGAAGTTCTCCAACTTTGTTGTTGTTTCCAACTTGTTGATCGATGACTCTTCTGCCCCTGGACATCAGAATGAGACCGGCAAGACGGACAAGGCGGAGGACTCTCCCTCTTCGACATCTACGCCTGCTTCCAAGTCGTCGTCTGCTGAGGCTGAGGGCAACTCTGCCATCAAGCTCACAGGTTCAAGTAGCTTCCTGGCTTTATCCGTTCTTATAATGGCTTCCCAATGGATCTTGTAGATTCATAGCTGAGTAGGGTTGGAACTTGACCTGATTATTGCTTGAATGACATGAGTCAACGTGTATAGAGATTTATGAGATGAAAGAAACTATAGAATACCTTAACGGCATGTTCATATAATAATCGCTGACCCGATTTGGGCGACATACTTGTAATTCCAACTGAGAATGAGACAACATGACCAACTCGGAGCCAAATCTAGGTCCCGGTGGAGACCGACGATAGCTTCCAGGCTTTGGGCCGCATCGGAGGCTAAGTGGGCCTCTAGAAACTTTCCGAAGGTCCGGTGGAATAGAGACCGAAGTCTACCGAAGCTTGGGGTTGATGGTGGATCATTGCGCGTTGGACATCGTCCCAGCATCAAGTTTACAATCACGGCGACGCGTATTCAGTTTTGACAGGTTATCGATCATTATATACAATTGCTAGAACTATAAACGCCTAGTAATCAGATCCAGGTTATGTACAAATCGAGGAAAAGTCTTTACTCTGCTCGGTCAATCGCAGCTGCTTTCCTTGCTAAAATCCAATGATCCCTTGCCATAGTTCGCTCCAAGATTCATTCTTTCAGATCCCTCAATGCGATTCTGGTATATACAAATTTCTGCGAATATTTTTTCTCATTTCATGAAGAGGCTGGGTATCCGTGGTGTAGTAATGGTATGTCGGGGCATGGTGGAACGTTTCATATCGTCATTCGGTGGGATAAATCCCGACGCGATGGGTTAGGACAGTCATCTGGAAGCTGACAATGCCTTGTTTGTGGTGATGTGTGCGATGCTATGGCCACTACTCATCTATTGTCGGCCAGCAGGGATGGAGATGCCAGACCAGCGAGGAGCGGATGAAGGCTCAAAGACGTTGGTGCCCAGAGGAGGGTCACGGCTGGTAGTGGCAGCGGAGATGCTGGGTGTCTCAGTGACGATGGCGGAAGTTTCGGAAACGTTGACACGGTTGCCCCAGAACTTGTCCATGATGGGATCATGGACAGCCGAATCGCGAGTGTTGGAGAGGTTACGGCTGGGCTCGGTGGTGCTCAGTCGTCGAACCTGGGTAAGTCCACGGAGAGCACGAGGAGCAGTGCGAACACCACGGGAGAGAGTCTGGATGGAAGAGCTCATGATGAAAGTGTTGGAGATTAGAGCGAGTAGATGGATGTATTGATCAGATAACAGATGGTTTGGAGTACAGAATCTGGGGAATTCGGAGTCCTTTCAATCTACTTATATCCTTCTCGGGCTGGTCCCCGGGCTGAGGGTGCTTCGGCTCGGATGAAGGGAATGCGCCTGGAAAAGGCAATTCCCCGCAACAAAACTCCCCGCACTATCACCGGTTCACTCCGCATTTACCCCAAAGTGGCCTGACATTTAACCTGGAACCCGATGTCGGTAGTTGTTTGCCAAGGGCAATGGAAGAGTGACATGTCTGTCAGTACAATGAGGCTACAGACTTAGGTATAGAAACTTCGATGGCTTGCTTCTGGATATCTTGCATCGTGATTGTCTGCCCATGTCCACCCCAGGTTCTTGCGATGTCAGGCCATCCGATAATGCAACAGTACCACGCGCATATCTCCTTGACCACTGGCAGTGAGGCTGGTTGTTGGCTGTACCCTCGCTTTTGGTTTCATGACCGCCGGCGAACCCTCCCAGTCAGTAGATGGGTGGCTGTCGCTTCACGCGATAAAGAGGAGACTTTTTACTGGACCATCTAGGCAGCTGCGTACATATAGTGATATCCAGGTGCTATGTCCGCCGGTTAATCGAGTCGTTGTCGCTCAAGAAAAAGATGGAGGGTGTGATTCTGTGCCGCGCCGCTGAACTTATCCAGCCAATACCCTTGCACGGCGGGTTCGCTAGGCGGATGATTCGCTACTTATAGAAGATTATGCATCTCCCTATTTCTCCTATATGTTCCACGATTCTCTTGAATGAGTACTGAAGCCATTAATCTCAATCACCTAGAAGTTGCTCTTACAGTGATAATGTTTGAGGATCATCAAAGCACTGAAGCAGACAGCCGATAACGCGAAACGGTATGATCATACTATATTGGCTACGATGGATTGCAGAAGATAACACGAAGCTCTTCAGGCCCCCCAACCTAACATAAAGACAAAGAAAATCGAACTCTAGCATAAGGATTCTGTTGAGTAGTTGCTCGCAGATAAAGCAATTTTGGATTGCATCATTACCTTCCAGATCATGGAACCGATACCTTGCGCCTTGGAAACTATCGTTCACCCCGAAAAGCAGAAACGGAAAAGCGACACGAAATCATGAGAAATGCGCAAGTGGAATAGACAAGAGTGCCTCAGTTTCATGTCGATAAATGAAGGGTGACGCATATGATACTTTGAAAACGGGAGTTGCTGTTATCAAAGGAGAGAATTACATAGCCCACGGCTTTCGGTGGGCGTCGCGAAGGATCGTGTTGGATGTTGTGCATCGTTGTGTACGAAAATAGTCGTCTTCAAAAGCGTCTCGAGAGTGCCAAATATGCCCGCTCGCTTATCGTTGTCGAGGTTGGTTATGGCGCTGCTTCCTTTCGTTCATACCTAATCATTGCTATACTCCGTCGTTCCATCAGCTAAGAGGATCGTCTTCGGTAACCGACTGAATCCAGCATCTTCGTAACACACATGGCCTTTTATGACAAAGAGTTCCTGCCACGTCGACCACGGCGAGATTCATTGGTGGCTGTCTTGGTAAGGGCGTTATCCACCATGACATCGTCCTTCTTGATACTTCTTCGTGGAATCCAGAAAAGCTGAACTGCTCCGATAACAGCTACAACAACACAGCTGAACCACGCTGACACGGAACCTGACAGAGCATAGAAAACTCCAGCAAGAGGCGGCGCAACAGTACGTGCCAAACAGGCACCAGACATAGCCAAGCCATTGACTCGGCCAAGCACCTGAGGAGATGGTGTAGCATCCTTAATAAGAATAAGAGTAACGGGTGCCACTATCAGCCCGCAGAAACTCTGCATTAACAATGATGCGTAGATTCCCAAGGAGACAACTGGTTCGCCAAACGCAGAGAGGAATGGCATGAGCAAGTAGGAAGCAGGATACAAGATAATCATGCTCACAAAGGAATGCCATACTCCAACGCGGCTAACGAATACGGGGAAGATGACGGCCTGGATGAACAGACCCAGTACTCCGTTCACTGCAAGGTATACGCCGACATCGTGTACGGTGTAACCAAGACCACCAATCCAGTCAATAGTTCCGCGTTTCTCAGCAGGATCGTCGAGCAGATACGTGGCGAGAAGGCTGCTTGCAGCCATCTGGTGATACGAGAAGATAAGTAGTGCGACGATGAGCATCATGATCGTCTTGTTGAACGTTCGTTCACCGGACTTGGCCTGCTCGTCCTCCTGCTCCTCGTTAGGGGGTGTGAGAAGATCCTGAGGAAGGACAATGGAGTGCACAGTTCCGAAAGAAGAGCGGCGGAGGTCGATAAAGTCGTGTTCAACTGCCATTCCAAGACTGGACTCGGCAAAGCGAGGTCGTGATCGGCTGGTGGAGGGAGACATGTGTCGACGGCTGCGAGAAACGGAGGTGCGGACGGCAGAGCGTCGGAGAGGTGTGCGCTCATCGATAGATTCGAGATCGTCTATAGCAGGGACTTCTTGGTAATTGATAACGCCATTCTCGCCCTCGGATCCGGGCTTCACAAGTGTCTCCTCGAGAAGAAAGAGTCCTTGAATAACGGCGATGGCCACCACGGCCACTGACACAAGGTTAGGGAGCAGGTAAGGATATCGCCCAAACAGTCCATCCTCTGAAAAGATTGAAGGGTAAAACTTGGCGGGTTGAGCGAGGAAACCTCCCATCGCGGATCCGATGATGCCGCCAAGAGTCCAGACGAAAGGCTGCACGGCGTAAGCCTTGGCTGTGAGAAAGTTAGCATCTCCACGATAATCCTAGCTCAAAGAAAAACTTACGCTCATGCTCAGGCAATTTCACCATCTCAGCGACCATAGTCTGCATGACCGACACGTTTCCGTTCAGCGCGCCGCCGACAAACCTTGCCAGAAGAGCAACCCAATAGCTCTTAGCCAAACCAAAAATGAGACTCGACAATGCCACGCCAACGAGTCCAAACAGAACAACAGGCTTTCGACCGACGCGGTCCGAAAGAATACCCCATCCCATCGAGGTCAGCGCCTCAGCGACCGCATATGCCGAGACGAGCAGTCCCGCGTAAAGTGAAGCATCTTTCTCAGCAATACCCAAATCCTTGACCATCACAAATGTGTAGGCCAGAATGGAATTGAAGGCAATCGGCTCCGAAAAGCGACATATTGCTGCATGTCGTGGTTAGCGCTCGTGAGATTATCATGGGTGAGGGGCCGTTATGGCGGTGAGAGAGAGGCGCGCATACCGAGAATTAGAAGTTGCCTCGTGGGGAAAGCATTAGGATCTTTGTCTTCCCTTGCTCTCAAATTCATGATATTTACAACAAATCTTGAGTTTCTTTTCTTCTTCTCTTGGAAAGTAAATGATCTGAGAGAGCAAGGGCGCGAAGTTGCAAGACCTGAAAGTGAAAAGAGAGTCCAAGAGAGAGAGAAAAAACTCTTTTGGTGGGCCTCATGACTCTCAAGTAGCCTAACAGAAAATCCACGGCCGCTGAATGAACGAGTGCGCTTATGGTACTACGGCCCGCAAACCGACTCGGTGCAACGCTACTGTAACCCCCCACGCAAGTTTTGCAGCGTTGCCACCCCCCGGTCAATTCACGACATCCAATGCAATGTTTATCACTTGGCAAACGAGGGGGAAAGATCCTGGTTCACGGAGAATCTCTGCTAATACTGCGGATATTCTCAGCGCATCATCATTATCGCTCCATGCAAGACATGAGCTAATGGAATGGGCGTTGGCGGAGATTGAATGCCTCTGCGCATTCCCGCGTCGACCTCCTCCCCTGCTCATTACTCAAGATCTCGATAGCCAAGCACCAACACGAATCACTCACTGTAAGAATTTGCTTCTTTTTAAGCTTTGAGCTTGACTGGTGTCTTCTTGACCGCTCGCTTCACGGTCGGATGGCAATACAGTAGCCTGCCTACCTTACCAAAATGCGGATGATCAGTGGCAAGTATTTCCCGTGAACGTTTGTTTGCCACCAACGGGAGGCAAAGCCACTTTTCCTCGTCGTGATGTGATGTCAAACCACATGCTCCGGCTGTCAAAGTGTCAAAAAAACTCTAACAGCCATAGCGCAACCTGCAAAAAAACGACGACATGTCGCATACAATTTCATCACAATACCGATTCAATATTCACTGAGACCAATCAAGACTTTTGTCTCACAGCACCTAGATCTTCCGTCGCACACCGTTCTTCTGCCAAGTGACGACCCGCCCATCTTTCATGTGTGGCGAAACGGAAATCGTTCAACCAACTAACGTCTAGTGGGAGACGAGCCAATCGACACTGAGTTTTCGCAGCTATCATGCGGGCACAATGAGGCTGAAAACGGCAAAGACGATTTCATGCAACAGGATGATGTGGTATCGGTAGATGACAGATCGGATCCAGATCTCAACTGTTTCTCTTAGCTTCCCTATTGAGGTCTGAGCTTACTCTGATCTGCAGGCTTCTTTTCACTGCACGGACCCGTGATATCCGCAATATCGTAGCGAGAGATAAGCACGATTAGGCGCTGAATCCCAGGAATTGACGGCTATATGCAGAGTAATACATCCGGACCAATAAATCGTATTCTGTGAATTATCGGGAGGCTGAAAAGCTTATGCTGGTACAGCATTAGTGCATGAATATGATACTCTCGTGAGCTGGTAGCTTGGCCTGCTTGGTACTGTTCCCCGCTCACTCACCGGTTTCTTTAGTTCCTGGTGGCTGGGGACTGTCGCTTCAGCCTTGACAACGAAAGTCGGTAATTGAGCGATGCTTGTTCTACAACGTATGATCCAGCTTGTGTCCATGGTATAATCCTTGATGATGCGCGAATATGATACAAGCTCCCAAAGCCGTGTTACGGGTACTTGGGTACCATCCCAGTGCAAGAAAAGACACGAGCACGTGAATTTCTCAGAATGGTACGCTGCAACATAGCATACAAATGGACACCTGCTCATGGAAACCATGAATGGTGCACCAAGGACTGATGACAATGGGCTGTGATATTGTGTCCGCCGGTGTATCGTCTCCAATGTCACAATTCGGAACAAAGCTCCCTACCTACGACAATTTCTGTTTCTTGTCAAACACTGGTTAATCACCCCGGGATGTGGCTGACCCTTTGTGGTCATCAAAAAAATTGCTTTTGCTCCATGTGCGATAGATCATCTCGAAAACCGGACTGCTGATTCATTATATACTTCTGTATCACCGTCGCTAGCGAATACGGTGGGTAGCACGAACTTCGTATTGACTATACCCCTGCAATGTCTCAATATCTTATGCACGGGGAAACAAGCATCTGCAGTCGAAACGTGGTTTACAAGACTCATTGGGACAAGTCTTATCGTCATAGAAGGTGAAACAAGTACGGCACAATGTCTTGGGCGTTGTTGAGCCGTTCCGTTGGTTTCACTTGTAATTTCTTATTCACTAACTTGTCCCTGTATCATATTATGCGTGTTGTCTTGGTGATTCATCAAAGTAGCATCATCGAGATCTTCACAGTACTAATCCGTGCACTGGAATGAGCTTTACTTTACATGCTGTGTCACCATTATTCCAGAAACGGAGGATATTCGAGTCGGGGGTACACGGATTTAGGAGTAGAAAGTGTCTCACTTAATTCTTGAGCAGCATAGATATTAATGGCTAAATTTAGCGGATTTCAACAACAAAGGGGCGGCGATAGTTGGCCATGACCATCGTGAAAGATTAATGATACTGCATTGAATTTTACAGGTAAGGTCGTCCGTCAGGCTATGCAAATTTAGTTCTGGGACGTTCCTGGAGTTCACCATCTAAGATGATATCAACCTTCTCGTTGTAAAAGCAGACAAGTCGTGCAATCGCTGCGCTCTCAAGAGTTGGGTGGTTGTAATACCAGACCAGGTTCTCAAAGGTCTTTCCGTCGATGACAATATTATAGTATTCGGCCTCGCCCTTGTAAGGACACTTAGATCTGACAGGGCTTTTCGATAGGACAGTCTGATCAACAGCAGATAATGGAAGGTAGTAACGAGTCGGCAGACCTGTCTCGAGGAGATGCATGGATGATGTAGCTTTCGCAACTGTTCTGCCGTTGACTTTGACTTCAATGGGACGTGTGGAGTGCAGGATGTCAACGCGTTTGAAGGGATCTTTCGCGTGGACGAAGATGGGTTCATCCTCCTCAAACCATTGATCTAGCATCTGTCAGTGCGCTGATATTCTTAAGTCATACTCGAAAGCTTACCTATACTGCGAAATTCAATCCGCACCATATCAGAAAGTGCCCCAAGGGTCACATCTTGAAAGAAGCGCAAAACATTGTCCACTTTTGCCTCCTTGATACTATCATGGGCTGGGATCACGAGTTGAGCTATCGCAGCCCTCTCTTTGAGCTCCACCGAGATGTTCTTCTTATCAACCAGCTTCGCGTTCTTCACATCAACCACCGGCACATAGATAGTGGGGAAACTGTCATGTTCCCAAACATAGACTCCGTGAGTAGTATCCACAATAGTGGTATGGTTGTGAATGGCTCGTATGCGGCGAGATGTCTGCATTGTCTTGCGGGGACCATGTTCGATCAGGCTCTGAGCGAGCTCAACCAGGCCTGATGCACTACTCATATTGAGATATACCTGAATATGTTTATTTTTCGTGATTCTGCGTTTCTTAAATAAAGATATGGCAGTATCAAAGGATGTTGGGTGAAGACAAGTACCCCGCTCAATGACGCAGACAATATTCAGACGCTGGTCTTGATTTATAATCATCGCTGCAGGAAGACTAACTCGAGTATGAGAATATTAATGTCATTTTAAATAGCTCTGACCTTATCTCGGGTTTCTAAAGAAAAGAAAAAAAACTCCATGAGATGTAAATTGTTCCCACTTTGTTGCAAGCGTATTGCTAGCTTTGAATGCAGTGATACTAGAACTTCGGCTTAATATGATTTCGCGCTCTCTGGTATGTTGGTCACAAACCAACGGGCACAATTAAGTGTCGGTTTAAGATAATAAGACATCGTTTTCTTTTCTTTCGAAGTGATGTTTTGCCCATTCCGGTATCAGCCAAGGACAAGTTGGCTGGCCGTTGGTGGATGACCGACACAGACAAAATGCATTGACGGAATCCATAATCAATGCCACCAGTTGAGGTGGTTTTAAAAAGAAGTCCGTGAAGGCGATTGAGTTAACTCTGGCCTAATTCATCGAGGAGAGTCTGTTTGGGGAGGAGCTGGCTAGACTGCAGGCTGTAGCATTTGTGTCGATAGCGCATCGACGTGCGCTGCGACCTGTCCTGTAGTATGTCTTAGTTCTGTCAGATGAAGCAGAGGTAACAGAAGGGCGTTACAATCTCTGGGGTCATGTCTTATTTGAAGGAGACCGAGTTGAGCAAACGGTCTCGTCGTGTTCGACTTGTAGACGTCGAACGACAACAATGACTATTTCCCAAAGCACTACTAACCTCCATGAGTTCATATTTTCCATCTTTATGACTCGTAATTCAATGACCGTGGCATTTGCGACCTGGACCTAGGGTACAACGGAGTGCAGCGCCTCGAGTTCCATTACATACGTTGCAGCGAGCGCGCTTTTAATATCTCGGGAGGCACTGCAAACGACGGTAACGAAGAAGAACCGACCCATTCAACTACGGACCGCTACGCCGGCCCAGCTACTCCCGCGTCAAATCAGTTTTATCTTCCACAGAGCTCCGCAACATGATTCATTTGATCCTCTCGTGAAGATTCAACATCCTCCAGAAACCTTCGAAATGTTATGTCCAAAGCCAGGTTCACTTGTAATGGGATGTATCTATCGAAACTATACGTAACAGGCAGTACCTACCGCAACAAAACTAGAGCCACGGGCATTTTAAATCCTTCTACAAAGCTTGCCTGTGTCTAGACTATAATCCCAAGCATCACTTCCGACTCCCGATAAAACCCAAAGACTCTGAGTAGGGTCATACTTTTCCTTCACCGCCAACAGGCGGGAATAGAAAGCTCCATAGAAGTCCTTCTTGAAAGACGGAGTATAAGGATTTGCCTCGTTCATATACGCTCCAGTATCTGGCGCCCATTCCTGCCAGAGCTTTTCCTTTGAATCGTTCAGGTCACGTGCTCCTTTTGCCAGCGTTTCTGCCGGCGTAAGAGTAGTGTCGAGAGTCAGACCGTAGCTCATTGTATGCAGATAGGTCGATCGCCATGCTGGTAGAAGCGCGCCTTGCATGCTTCTTGGCGTGTTCGCAGGACCCGGCCCACCTTGCAAACCGATAACAACCATACCGGATCCTTCCGGGTCTGAGTTTGTAAGCATCCGCTTGAGGTAGCTAATTAACCTCTTCTGGCTGATTTTGGATGTCTCTCGGCGGCCAAGAAGTCGACTGGACGGCATTGAATAAGCTCCGGCCTGGTTTGAGCCTCCAGCATTCAAGGCTTCGAAGAACCCCTTATAGGTGGGATAGACAGTTGTGTTGGAAGCAACGATGGATAGGATGCTACTGTCGTTGCCAGTAAAAGCATGGATTCGATCGATTGCCATCTGAGCCAGCTTTTCGGTGGCTGTCTTTGACTTATTGAAGGCATAAAATCCCTGGCTGATGCTGATGCCGGCTTTGTGATTACCTTGTACTACCGCTGCACCGGCTAATCCAGCATCCATAAAATCAGGAAGTAGGCGCAATAACTCTGAGAAAGCGTTCCAGGTTGCTTCATATGCAGCTGAGGTGTTACCACGAGGAGAAATAGCGAAACCAGTTTCGATGACACTTGGCGCGGGATAAGCTTTCAGCACGTATTCAGTAACGATGCCATATTGTCCCGCGCCACCCCCTCGAATGGCCCAGAGCAGGTCCTGATTCTGAGTGGCATCGGCAGTGAGTATGTGACCCTGAGTCGTTACAACTCTCACTTGGTATATGTTGTCAGCGGCCAAACCGAAGGTGCTGGACAATGGGCCATGACCACCGCCTTGAATGTGCCCTCCCAAGCCAACTGTGGCATCATTACCGCTTACGATGACATGGCCGTGCCTGAGGGCGTAACCAACTGCATCACCGTAAGTGAGTCCGCTTGCAGCGATCAGCACGGTGTCTGTCTTGTTAGTCCCAGGCACTATCCAGTTCGGGTCGAACTTGACCCGTTGCATGTGACGAGTCCAGATGGACAGGGAGTGTGCACCACTGGATCTATAAGAACACTATTAGCAAGAGCCGAAAGCTTCGTGGCGGCAACGAAATACGAACCTTCCGCATAAGTCGTGGCCAGTTCCTTTAACAACGATGCGAATATTTCGTTCTGAAGCCCATTTGACAGCGAGAGCGATCTGTTCATCGCTCGTCGCATTTACAACATAACTTGGATAGCCACCGAGATGGCAACCAACCGTTTTGCTATATCCTTGAGCCCCAGGAGGTAGGCAGGAATTGTTGGCATATAAAGCGGACGAAATCGACTCGGGAAGGTTGGCATGGAACATCGACTGAGTCCAGTTGGCCTCAACGGCGTTGCATTTCAATGGTGAATCAAATGGATTCGTTTTGTAACAGGAGGATGCAGCCGGGCGTGTTTTGATGAGACTGCCACTGATAGAGTCATTCAATGCCGCCCACTCGGCGTCAATGGGCCAAGCTTTATCGAATGGTGAAAGTTTGCATTTCGGCGGCTCTGTTGGGGAAGCAAGAGCTGCTGAACATAAAAGAAGCTCAAGCAAACGCATGATTTTTTTTTTTTGGAGTCGATCTGATGCTGGAACAAGTGTATATGTATCTGCTGTTCTACGTCCATTTCTACCGTAGTCGGCTGTTTTATAGCATTCAGCTTGGTTAGGTAAGGGACACAAAATACTGGGACCTTCGGACATGACGGAAAGCGAGTTGCGGCTCTAGAGTTTTCGTATATCCCTTTTCTTTTTCGCATTCCAAGTCAAGGAACTTGCTTGTCTGTAATGACCAAGCCTAGGTATTTTTGGTGCACCAGACTACGTCATGTGGGTTTTGACAAGCCATGGCTTTTCCTTTCCAAGCGCCGTCGGCAAATTACCATGTTGTTGACTCGTGGAACCCCTAATCTTTAGATCGTTTTCGTGAGGGACACGTCATCGTTTTGCTTTGTTTTCACCCTGAACATTATTCAAAGTGAGTGGAGTCCGTGAACAGGCCGCCGGAGAAGTCGAGAGGGCGGCTTGACTTCAAGGGGTATTGTAGCCAATCGCTGGTTATTCGCACAGCTTGACCAAATTGCACTCCACCACTCGGGAACGGTTTCGAGAATGTGGGCCAGCTTGCAACTACTAGGTTACTGTATCAATCCGAAGGCTCTTTCTGGGACATCAGCTATAAGATGACAGAAACGGATCTTGCACTTGTACTACTTCATTCTTGCCTCAGACCCTTTGATCCCTTCTCCTTTCACAATCATGGGTTTAGTCCAGTTCGAGGATGGCAAGGTCCTCTATTACCCATATACACCTTCGACTGCAGCTGGCTATGGCTTCATGGCATGCTTTGCCATTGTAACATGCGTACATATCGTCCGTGTTGTACAGACCAAAAGGCGCTTTTTCATCCCTATGATCCTTGGTGGTATATGTATGTCTTGCCATGCTATCACCAACAACGCAACTCTTACTAACTGTCCACTTAGGCGAGATATTTGGATATTATGGCCGCGCTTGGGCCGGTCAGCTACCCAACTCACCCAGGCCCTTCATGTTGCAACTCATGCTCATTCTCGTCGCGCCAGTGTTTGTCTGCGCTACCATATACGTCACACTGGGACGATTAAAACATCGTATCCTCGGTCGACCTAATCGAAAATGCAGCATAACAGTGCTCTTTATTCTCACCGATAACGTGGCTTTCTGCTCGCAGATCGGTGGTGGTCTCGTCCAAGTTACCGGCAATCTCGACCTGATGAAGATTGGAGACCATGTTATTTTGGGCGGCCTCGTCTTCCAATTGGTAGTTTTGGCTATTTATCTGGGCCTGGTCCATAAGTTCTGGAGAAAAGCCAAGAGGCAGCATGATACGAATGGTCTTCGATGGCAGCCCTTCGTAGCAGCGCTGGCTGGAACAGTGGTAGCGGTTTGGATTCGAAACCTGGTTCGTGCAATCGAATTCATGCAAGGATTCCATGGTTTCATCAGCGAAAATGAGGCCATGCTATATATATTTGACGCGTTTTTGATGTTACTGGTTATGGTGACCTTTATTCCGTTTTACAATAGTAATAGTATAGTGCCACAGCACGTCAAGGGAGGATGGGATGCTATCGAGCTGGGTCCTTGATGATGCAACACAAAGGTAGATACCATTTTTCAAAGATCCTTCTTAGATTGTTCAGAGAAAACCCCAGTTGCCAAACCCGCTCATATTACCCTCACCGCTTCTGTTGGCCACTGAAGCAAGTCACAGTAGTCGTGTACTACATATTTCCTGCATACCTGGAGGATGTGATCAGCCCAGCCATGCAGAAACCAAGCCCTCTTCACAGTCTGAACCAAAGGTGCGTAATAGGCTAATAGCAATAGAGCTACAGGGTCTTTGGTCTGCAGGCAGTCAATAAAGGTGTCTTCCATCATGTAAACCCAGATAAGAACCATCTTGTAGTGCAGTGGGCACCTGATGCACCCATCCTCACTACCGAAAGTGGCTTCGTAGATGTTGGTGAGGGTTTCTAGAGATCGTACAAAGACGTCATTGCGCGGCAGTGCATCTGAAACAATAAGATCACGAAGTTTCCCAACCGAAACAGTCCAGTCAACCCGAGCGAAGCCCTCGCAGATGTAGGTTGGGCGGGGGTCATCAGGAGGCGCCTTACCGCTACCGAGCGCCTCAGTGAGCCCAGAGAACAAGACCTTTTCTTCAAAAAGCTGCCTTATAAGTCGTGTGCCACGGGCTAGTGAAAGAGAGCTATGAGGTGAGTTGCCGTTGGCTGAACACACAAATAGATCATCAGACCCTGTGGGACCTGCTGCAAACACACAGAAGCAAACTAGCGTTGTTGAAACATACAGACTGCCGCAATTTGAGGCGTCTATTTGCGACAAAGCTTCATTTGTCTGGATCAACCCGACAGAGAAGTGATCTTTAGCCAAGGCAATATAGCGTGACCTTTTCAGTGAATTGTTGGATGCTAGAAATGCTAGATGGTACGCCGCAAGAGAGAGGCAGAGATGGAGGAGATAGGGATACGACGCGGCAAGTAGTGTCGCATCTCGTGACCAGAACTGGACAATCGGGTGATTAGGATCATCAGAGCCGCCAAGATTTGGTCCAGTGAAGATGATGAATTGACGCAATAGCTCGGCTTGAGCCATGTTCAGTTCTGTTTCTGGGGACTGGGGTGACTCTCTGGGTTCAGACTGGAAGTGGGATCGGAGCGAGGAGTCCTGGGCCTGGGATGACCAGTTCTTACGCGGCCGGCCTCGTCCAGGTTTCACCGGGGCAATTGGTGCGGTTGCGAGTGAAGATGCTGGCACGACTGGATGAATGTCATATTGACATTCCAAATGAAACCTGGTGCAGTTGGTGCATCTCGGTTGAAGTTCATCACACTAATCACACGGTCGTAAGTACTTGATGAACGATACGCATGCATGGATAACTCTAACCTTAACTTTGCGCCGCTTGCAATTGGAGCAACCATTCTTAGACTTGTGATGGAACTTTTTTTTAGATCGTTGACTTGGCAGCATTGTGGAATTGATATGGAACGACCTGAAGCTATCCAGTCGGCAGAAAGCTGATTTTTCGCATAGACTGAGGTGGTTGTAGCTAACTTATAACCTCGCCACGGCCTTGAGCGTTTCCGGGACTGCTGGTGTTTTTTTTATCCACAATTTGAAACGAGTGGAGTGGCCGAGAGCCAATCGCTGATATTTCGTTCAGATAAACCCCACTGACCTGGTAGCATCCATTATGCACCTCTTGGGTACCGATAAACTTGGTCGAAAGTGGTAGGCATACTACCCCGGTGCGTGTATGGTTGACCTCAACTGGCAGTGGTTATAAATCCTGATTAGGCAAGTCTAGCCTATGAGAATCGCCAGTAAGTTCGGTGCCTAATTGAGGCCTCTTGACCGTGCGAACTTAGCGAACTCTCTACCTCGGGTCAAACAGTAGCGAAGGAGATACCGCAATTGAAGAGTTTGTGCAACATAGCCTGAGAATCGGTACTTTCAACCTGTAGATCGATAGAAATACAGTTCTTCCAGCTGCTCATGACCACGTGGCCTTCCGTTGGGGAATCTCGATCTCTCAAGTCTCATTTGAGCACTACAAAAGGGCCCTGGAGATTGCCGAAACCTGTCCTCGCATATCATGGAGATTTGAATGTCATGCAAGAAAACTGGAAACCGAGTGCTTGTAATATCCAGATGAGTCGGGGCGCGGGCATTGAACTTCGAATCCACAGCTTCAACACTTCTCGGTCAAGATACCTCGCTTGGTCAGGGGACACCCTGGAGTCGAAAGAAGAAACCTGTGTCCGTGTTAGAGCTCACGGGTTGACTTACCAACCGTCAACTGATTGGTCTGATTGGGTCACGGTCGAGGCGGGTCGCATACAACCCAAAGACTGGCAACGCGCGTTGTCCATTGCCTCGCGTCAGAACCTTGGCAAGGGTAAACCAAAAAGCTCATGATACCTTCGAAAGAACTTCGATCTAAACACGAAGTTAACTCACATCCAGAAGGCTCGCCTATATATAACTGCTCTTGGTCTCTACGGGGCTGAGATCAATGGCGAGCGGGTAGAAGATCATGTCCTAGCCCCGGGCTTCCAGTCTTTTAAGCATCTACATGTCTACGATACCTACGATGCTACAGAACCGGTTTCAAGAGGCCGAAACGCTATTGGTATCCTGGTTTCAGAGGGCTGGTACGCCGGGCGTCTCTTCGGTCATATCGAGAAGCGCGATTTCAGGAACCTCTGCGGATTTAGAATCGGTGCTATGTGTCTTTTGAAGGTCACTCTCAGCGATCGAACCAATGTTCATATCCCATCTGATAAGACGTGGTCCTCTAGCTTTGGCCCGCTGTCCGATTCACAGATTTACAACGGAGATCTACGACTCAGGAAAGAGTCCGTTATGACGGGTTGGTCAATGGCATCTTTTGACAATGGCGATTGGCTCAGCGTCGAAGAGCTTCCGCCATTGACCGCAACTCTCGTTCCGTCAGACGGTCCACCCGTTCGAAAGCTGAAAGAGCTTCAACCAAAGGAGACCTTCCAGACCGTGTCGGGCAAGGTTATAGTCGACTTTGGTCAGAACTTTGCTGGTTGCGCTAGGATCACTGTCAGTGGCCCCAGCGGTACCGATATCATTCTCAGAAATGCTGAGGTACTGGAAAACGGCGAGACAGAAACCAAGCCCCCACGCACCACTGACGTGCCGGCCCGCAAGTTTGAGAACCTCGATTTACATTTCACAGCTTCCGCTATGCTAAGACTAACAACTGGCCCGTGAAACATACTCCCCTAGAAGCCGAGGGCATCACGAGCATTGCAGTATGCAGTGATATGGAACGAACAGGATGGTTTGAATGCACTGATGAACTCTTGAATCAACTTCACACCAACGTCGTGTGATATATTCAAATCGATTTTATCCATATTTCTACTGACTGCCCGCAGCGTGATGAACGTATGGTTGGATTGGCGATGCCCACATTGTCGTGACAAAGGTTGGCCGAAGATTGAAATCGATGAAACAGTCTCTGGAGGCGCATGGCGCACCGATTAGCCTCTTCTAGTTCACGGAGATCAACCTAGACCTCATAATCCGTGTTCCAAACTACACTTCTTTGGCTGTGGCATTCTAGAACCTTGCCGGGAGTGGAAACATCAACCTGACAATACGAAATGGTGCATCAAAGACGGTCGCCTCATACTCTCAACAGCGACTATCACAAAGAACCTTCACCTAGCAGCCAACACCCTTACTCGTCGCACAATCGGTTCCAAAAGCACTGCAGCCTTTCATATCAGCGCATCAAGACTGAAAAAGGGTGGTGTCGCCGGTGCATCCATATTTCACACCAATAGTGCATATATCGCTATTCACAAACACGCTGACTCTTCGCGATTTGTCTATGTTGAGCTCCCCAGAGATTCCTGAACCAAGCGAGGAGGCATTTAAAGCTTGTAGAGGCACAGTAAACTTCACGGGCTCGACTAGGTAACGCGTAAACCTCACAGTTTTCATCAATGCTTCATAACTCTTACAATTGACATTTCGTGTCGGGAGTCCTTAGTCGTAGTACTTGGGTATCGCATATAATCGACATGTGTTGTCCCAGCCTTCATTTATGAGCAGCATCTGAGGCCTGGGTATTAAATGCAGCGCTACGACGATTCACAAGCCTAGGAGTTTATGCAGTGAGATTTTAGTCAGCTATAAAAAGAGGCTTTGCTTCAAGTGTAGATCCTCTATTGAGGCGGAGTCATGGGCAGGCAGACAAGCGGCATGACTCAGCTGACTGCAAACACCTTTGATATGTAGCATGTCACAACGTAAACGAATAAATATTTCTTGCTTCCATCCTACTCATTGTTTTAAAGCATCATCATTCAATTATTGCAAGTCTCAAATCCAAAGATCCAACCACCAAAAATCTTCACCATGACAACCGAAAAGAGATTCACTGGCTCTCGCATCAACGTCAAATCCATCGAAACCCCCTCCAGCGCAGAATGGCGCATCCGCTTATCTGGCCCAAATATGATAAACCTCATGAACGGCCATCGTCCACAAGACATGGACGATAAGTGGATGTGCATGACAACGGGGCCTGCTGAACAAGGATTAATTCGCGTACGCATGTGCAGAAGCTGGTCAGATAGAGAAATCATCGCGCTTATAGGACGTGTCGGAAGTGATGATGAAGCAATTATTGCCAAGGAAGGCGGAGAGATTTTGGCGATTATGTGGCCGACGCCGGAAGAGGACGAGTATGATCCTTTTGATGAGGAGAGAGCGAAGAAGTTTGCTATTGGGTTCTGTCGACATTTTATGAATTGTGAGCTTGAGAGTTGATGAGTATATGAGGGCGAATAATGGTTTCTGCCAATGTTCAGGTTATGACATGGTGTTCTCGCGTTAGATTTCTTTGGTCGGTATGTAGGATAGCTCATGAAAGAACGCCGATGCTCCAATTTACCAAGATCGTTGTCTTTTCCCAAGGCCGTCTATTGTCTTAATTGAATGGCGCGTCACTGCGCCTGAAGTCAGCTTGGCTGTCTGCGTCGTGGTCTCGGCGTGACTGACTAGGCGCTCCATCCTCTCACGCAAGATCATCGCGTAGGGTCGCCTCTCGGCGGTGAAGGCATTCTTGCGGATGCAGCTCTGACCTCCAGTCTCTCCGTCGCCCGGCGATGTGTTTCTGCGACCGGGCGGGCTGTTACAGTGTACGCTTGCCGATGGGGCTGCTGAAGTTGAAATGGTTGGCGATTATTGATAAGCGGTGCCGAATCCGCAGAACGGTTTGGGAAGAGGTCATCAATGGCTTCCATGAGATCCTCGTAAAGGCCTTTGACGAACGGCACGATCCCGCACATTTTTTGTAGGTCAAGGATTTATGAGAGTAAAGTGTCGTGACTGTTGACCTTTTTGTGACAACATTACGGTGAAAATAATCTGTGCAGAGATCACGTGCATCCGTGTCACAATGAGCAGGCTTCAATTCGGAATAACCTCAGCAACGACTCATGGACTGGATATCTTTTGAATGGGATCTTTTTTTGATATCCTTAGTTATTTGTATACGTGTAGTAAAAAACGACATGCGCTTTACATCTTGGGTTTCCTGCCCGACTTCTTGAAATGGCCTGCCTCGCCAGTACTTCCCTCTCTGCTATCCTGCTCTTGAGCATTCTGACTGTTGGTATTCTTCTCCTTCTCTGTCATGTTCTTATCTTCGAACGAGCTCGCATCGCGTTTTCCCGGTGCACCCTTCAGCGAAGCCATGGCTCCATCTGAGTGATCGGCGACTGGTGGATTGTTCTTGTCGTGGTTGGGATCGGAAGACACTGGTGTTTTGACTTTGCCTGAGTTCATGCGGATAGAGGTGTATGAGCTTAGCACGGGTTGGGATCGAAGCGCGGATGTGACGGTCGAGATGCGTCTGAAGGAGGAGAGAGATTGGCGTGCGATGGTCATGATTGCGAAAAGTCGAGACGAGTAGAAGATGTATTTGCGGAGGATCTGGGAATTTCTGTTAAAGCTTGAGTTGCTGATGCTGAGGGGTGTGCTGAAGAGTTGAAGAAGCAAAAGAATCGTGGCTTTTCATGGGTCTTTGCTGAAGCGAAAGTAATGACGACATTTCTGAAGCCGACATATCGTCAATCATGGCCATGGTTGATGTCATTGATACATCAGTTGACTTGACCTCGAGGTTCCACAAAATCCCAACGCGAACTCCATTTCCTGTGATTACTCCAGATTTTCGACTTGTCCTATGTTTTGCCTCTCAAACACCAATGGGACTTCACCTCTTAACGCTCTCCAATGATTAGTTGCCCTCATCAGCTCGGGACATCCTTCGACAGCCCATCCCCATCTTTCCAGAAACCGAGGCGTCACCTCCCAGCTCTCCATACGATGCGGCTCTCCCCAGATAATCATGCCACGCCGATCTGAAGCATAGTCGCAATGTTTGCCTCTTGACACAAGTCGCCGTCCTCTTGGCCCAGTGCCCTCTCCATATTTGCTGAACATGATGTCTTCCAGTAGATCTCCCATTATGTCAGTGACAAGTAGTCGATGATTGAAATGATCATGGTGATTGATAAGATTGTCTCTCATCTTCGGAAACGGAATGAAATCGATCCAGGTTGCATGTACCCTTGTTGATTGCAGGGCTGTAGGACGAAGATGAGGCGGTACATCTAGGCCTGTCTCGACACAAATAGCATCGCGCTTTAAGCCAACCATGACATCCAGTTTCTCAGTCCGACCCTCTACAAGTACAAGATGATCCGTCACCTGTGAGAGGGTTACTTTGTTCTGAAAAAGCCCTCGGAAAGCATTGTAGTTTATGAGATACAGAAGATGGTCCGAGAGAGGAGACGCCCCGCCCGTCAATGCCCGTAGACGTTGATGCATGTCGAGCTGCTGGCTGTATAATTCAACATCTGCGGTGCTCAATGTGCCCTTGTATATAGTGGTAAGAAACAATCTCGGGTCTTGCTTAGTGATGGAGGATTCATCATTGTCGGCTCCGGCCTCCAGACCGAATTCATCCACCCTCCAGAGCTTGACTCCGAATGTCGGCCTTTGCTGCTTGACGCGAGTTTTTGTTGTGTCACCATTGTTCATGCGATTTCCTGCGTGCAAAAGTCAGAGATGGTCAAGCTAGCCTCCAAAATAGGAAGTATTGTAATCAGAGCTGTCCGTCAAATTACTTACGGCGAGCTCGTTGGTTGATCCTGTTTTGCAGCTTACGCCGCTGCTTTCTCTCAGCATCTTCCATCATCGATGGAATTCGTGACAGGCCTTGCTAAGCTCCAGCAGTAGTGATGAATCAAAAGGCCAGCGGGCTATAGCGAAAGTAGTAAAAATGTAAGCTTTGATCAAAAACATGGTCGAATTGGGGTTTGTGACGGATAAACTCTCCATGTGATCTGACGAGCCGAAATATGTCACGCTAATACGAATCGAGATAAAAAGTCATCCTCGCATGGTATGATCTGCAAAATCCGATCGCGAATATTCCTCGAGCCCTTGCTACACGTTTCCTTTTATTCCGATGATGCGCCACTGACAAGCGTTATGACTCCGTCCAAGCGACCAGCAGCATGCATGGCGTACCTGGAGGAATCCTTCGGTGATTTATTCTCTTTTGGGTTACAATGTCATCAGGACTTGAAGAGCGACATAGCATGGTGGTCTAGGTAACAGTTTTTGGGCTGCATCCTGAGCTGCGATAAATCTACTATAAATTCAGGAGAAGCTGCAATATTATACCAAAATCTCTTCAGTTCAATCCAACATTTAATTTCACTCCAATAACCCTGCTTCTCAAATTCAGTTTACACAACTTTAACATGTCTCGTTACGCCTCTCTCTACACCAGCCCCCAAGGTCCAGGTGACAGCCGACCAACTGCTCTACAGGTAGTGCAGGATGAGCAGATGCAGAACGAACTCATTGGAAAGACAGCAGTCATCACTGGCGTGTCATCCGGTATCGGCATAGAAACCGCACGGGCGCTTGCTGCTACAGGCATTAAGCTCTTCCTTACTGCCCGAAACCTTGATAAAGCCAAGGAAGCTCTCGCTGATTTCTGGAACCCGGATCAGATGGAGCTTGTACAACTTGAGCTGAGCTCTATGGATAGTGTTCGAGCTGCCGCAAAGACAATCCTTTCTAAGACCGACGAGCTCAGTATCTTCATCGCCAACGCTGGTGTCATGGCCGTCCCAGAGCTCACGACGACTGCCGATGGCTTTGAAGAGCAGTTTGCTACGAACCACTTATCTCACTTCCTCTTATTTGAGCTCCTCAAACCTAGTCTTCTCAAAGCGTCAACTGAGAAATTCCAGTCTCGGGTCGTTGTCGTCTCAGCTACTGCTCATCGCATGCAAGGCATACCCGCTTCGAACGACTACAATTATGAGACCAGTGGTGCCTCAGCTTATACACCCTGGGAAGCATACGCCCGATCCAAGACCGCCAATACCTACATGGCCAATGAGATTGAACGTCGATATGGCTACAGGGGCATCCATGCGACTAGTGTTGCCCCAGGACTGGTTGCCTCCAATATTGGTCGTCATATTCCCCAGGAAGTGATGGCAGGGGTTATTGGTGACAAAATGCATGAGGTTCAGAGCCTCGAGCAAGCGGCTGCAAGTACTCTGGTCGCTGCCGTGGGCAGAGAATGGGAAGGAAGAGGAGGTGTTTACATCACCAACTGTAGTGCTGCCGAACGGGGCGAAGATGACGGTGTTTCGACTTCGTACACGTATGTTTCTCACACTTACAACCCCAAGGATGAGCAGAGACTGTGGAATGACTCTCTAAAGATGGTGGAGAAGTGGAACAACTATAGCACAGAAGACATTTGACGATGAAAAGGTCGGATGGGTTTGCGGATCAGCTGTATACAGATCACCAACCAGCTCTACAATTTTCTTGGCTTCAATTTATATTTGGTTCGCAACTTCACATCATATCATACGGACACGGATACAGGAGAGATCATCACATCCAGGAATTCTTACGATTCGTCAGGTGTTCTTAGCTCCAAGTCAGTCCCGTTATGTTCCAGCATTGCAATTGCTGTATCATGCAATAGGTTTCATAAATGTGATGTTGAAAATTGGAAAAGAATTTTCATGGGATAGCCTCATATCCAGCGCTTTTGGGCAAAAACAAAGGAAACATCATCGGCCTCCATATTCCTCTCTGTCATGTGAAGACCCAATGCATCAAACATCGGTCAAAGATATGAAGGGAGTCAGTCAGTAAAAGGGTTCCAAAAATTCCCATACCAGGCGCACCCAGTATGGAGTTGGTCGCTTTAATGAAAGAATAAGAAATTTTCAATAAGCATAATTCCTCTCTCAGCTTATTGCTTCACAGAGCAGGAAAAGACCCATGCACTAGGATGTATAAGGAAGAAGGAAAAGAAATTGGAAGGGTGGGAGGGAGAGCGAGACTTTATACTCGTTTCTGTCAGGCCAAAACGTCAAGGTTCAGGTATTTAATCAAGTAAAAGAAAGGATATGAGCGTAGTGGAACATTCTAAGGAGTCAGAAGCCATTCCTCTAGAGTTTAAATATTGATATTTGTTGGCTGCCTAAAGCTTATTCATCCAGCCTTCAGTTCGTCCTATAGTATCCACTAGCACATGATGCTGCATGGAAGCTTTAATGACTACTGGAAAGTTACGTGGTGGTAAAGTTGTGGATTCGTGTGAGGCAGCGCAGTGGCAGCCTCGAAAGAAAGCTACTTACGACAATGCTTTCAAGTGTAGGCGAAGATTTTGGAATGAATGGTTTTCTTAAAACTCAGCCTGAGGCTGATCTTGATGTATTAATATCGCATTACGCGAAAGTCCTTTCGACCCATGAGCGTTCCCTCTCAAGAAACTCTTTGAATGTTGTCAAAAGGATTCCCCAGCCCTTAACTTCTCCAATATCGACCTTATCTCCCAAGCCTCTCGACATCAACTGTACAGCAACAAAGATATCCTCATTCTTTTTCGCCTCGATCTCCTCATCAGTCAGATAAACAGCTTTTAAAGGTTTTCCGCTTGCTTCGCCCAGTTGTTGCATAATCTCATCTGGCGAGAGTTTCTCACTTGCAATTTCAATGGTCTGCCTATTGAAGCGGTTCGGCTCGCGGAAAGCTGCCACGGCAAACTTTGCAAGGTCCTCGACATCCATGACTGGTAGCTGTTCCTCGGGCGTGTAGGCAGTTGACCACGTATTGCTGCCTACAAGGCCGGAGCACATGATGTTGACTTTAGGCGCCAGGAAGTTACACATGAAAAAACCCCCTCGGAGAATTGTCCACTCCTCGAAACCGGCGTCCTTGACGAGATTTTCGACTTCTTTCTTCCATCCATGGGCGCGTCCAACAGGGTGTTGTGGGTCATGGTATTGGTCTTTTTCCATATCTTTGATGGCCATACCGCTAGAGTAGATCATATGTTTGACGCCAGCTGCCTTCGCTATGTCGATGATGCGTTTCGCTGCCGGTACCTCCGAGGTGAATGCTGTGATATTTGGTACCAGATTCATGAAGACGTGTGTGCATCCGTTGATGACCTTTCTGAGAACTGCTTCGTTGTCCCAGTCGCCATGGGTAACTTCAGCACCTTGGTCTTGTAGTCTCTTGGCGGTGGGAGAGTCCATGTTACGAGCTGTAGCGCGTACGATCCAACCAAGCTCAAGGAGTCGTCTTGCCACAGCGGATCCTTGGGAGCCGGTAGCACCGGTGACAAAAACGACGTTATGTGACATTGTGTAAGTCCTGAAAATGACCTCCTGGGTTGGTGTTACTATGAAGGTATTTTAGTCGTTTGAATGACCTGCTTTCAAGTTCAATCGGTTTGGCTATACGGGTTTATAAAATACGTATGGTTCGTTGCCATCCTATGTCAAAGTGCGGAGTTGCGGACTTTCGATGTCCTACTCCTACAACAGTCCTCGACCCCCAACACGTTCTATTCGTCCTAGGACCATGGTATCCATTATAGTCTGGACCTTGAAGGATTCAGATTTATCCGCTTTAGATAATCATGTACGCACGAACCAATAGCATGACGGGACGGCTGCAGTGTTCTTCCGTGTCTGATTAATGCGAAGAGCAACTCCGCGAAGGTTTTGCTCTGATTTGTCACCAAAACGGCAGGTCCCGTGAGACATAGTCACTAAGCCAGGCAGAGTCAGATATGATATCGTTTTCAGAGGTGCTTCTATCCATAAAATTCAGATAACATAAGTTCTATCTACATGTGCCTGGCTTTCTTCAGTCCGGGATAAATCTGGGGTTGTTTGTTACTTTTCTTGTCATTCATGAACTCTTCCGCAAACAGGTCTCATGATGTCACCAAGTATTCACACTACTCTCTAGGCTTTTGTCCACATATGACGTATCTGTATTCGTGTTGGTTCTCTTTCATTGTGGTCAAGGTTCATAACTCACATGGGCCAATATGCGTGGATGGAAGGGTTCTTGAGATCTTTTCTGACATCAGTCAGGAAAACATCCAACTGAGGTTTCGACCAGCCCAGGACCCTAGTGAAGAGAGCACTACTAATCCCGTCGAGGCCACTAGAAATATTCTCGAGGGTCCAAGAACCTAAATCTCGTCAGTTGTATTCTGTAAATGGCACCAGCAGGTATTTATTTACCCAGCTCTTTGTACTTTGGATCCCTAGGCCAACGGTTTTGTGGCCATTTAAAAACCCGCTGTGTGACGTTCCTGAAGCCAGCAGCTTCCATTTGTGTCTTATAGGTCATTGTTTCACCAAAAGGTCGACCCATCTTTTCTGTAGCTTCAAGCAAGAGTTTCGACCACTTATATAGAGCCGTTTCAGGAGCCATTGTGCCATCATCGGACGTTGGGGGAAGGATGTCCACGACCTCCATCCAGCCACCTGGATTCAGATGCGTGAAACTTTGTCCGAAGAACCGTGGCCAGTTGGCGAGCGAGACCGTCATAAACCTGGTATAGATATAATCAAATTGCTCTGAGAATGTCCAGTCTTCTTCCACGTCATCAATCTGGAACTGGACATTAGGCGGCACGAATAAAGGCTGGATTGGGCTCAAGTCAATGCCGATGACAGTGGTTTCAGGATAATCATCAGCAAAGTCAATTGCCCAGCACCCTGTACCTGTGCCGGTGTCTAATACCCGTCTCACAGGTATCTCGCCCTCTCGAAAGATGGGCGCGAGGAATAACTGGTTGTCAAAAGTGAGGAGACAAAGCGCATGCTGAAGATCCAGGCGGTCTTGTTCCGAGTTATCGTTTGGGCCGACGTAGATGCCATCTTTGTAGGCATGATATGATCTGCCATTTTCAATTCTGTATTTGTAAATGCTGGAGGCGATCGAAGCTGTGGAGCTCCCAGTATCATTTTCGCCCAGGGCTGAATCATTGTCGGCGATGTTCCCCTCATCTGCTTCGAGTTGACCAGCGGGCTCTAGTGGCGCCGTCTGTTCATGGGGTGATGATTCCTTTGGAGAAAGGGATTTTGACGTTGGAGGTGACCCTGCCATGCTTGCAAACTGTATGTATTAACTTGAGCAAAGTTCAGCTGGGGTTTGTACAGGGAAGCGTGTCTTTTCAAGTGGAGGTGAGATATTTTGACAGCTGGCATATGTGAAAAGGGAGGGTTAGCGTCAGGTCATGAGGGGAAACCCGGTTAAGAAGCCATATGCATAACCCTGCAGTAGTGTACAGTCACGAACTTTGAACCCATGGACCAGGTGTTCGTAGTTCCCCGAGACATCCAATGCATCAAGTAGACTCCGGTAACTTGTTCTTGACTGCTAAAACAGCGACTTATTTCATCATTGAACTCATTCGCCATCAGCATTGACGTGCTATAAACATTTTCCGATAACCAATGCTGTTTATTTGTTGTTGGTTTGGTCTGATTCAGCTCTTTTCTGCCGAGCTGCATGACCGGTATCTCCCTCAAAGCGATTGGTGAAGCCCCAAACTATTGGCTCTTAGTCTTGTGAGGCGCGTTATCGGCTGCGGCGATTGGATGTATCTTCAGCCACATATTTTTATTTTCATAGTGAAGCAATCGGGGGCAGGTTTTGGTTTTGGTTTTGGTTTCCTTTCTATGCCGGTTGGCTTCTGCATTTTAGGCTCGGGTCCTGGTCCGATATGCTGCAATGGACATGAAAATGCGGACGTAAAGGATGAGATGAAGTGTCGTCAAATATGATGCCAGACACTAGGCATCTGCTTTCTAGTTTCCCACTGTTGTACGGTCATCAAACGTTGCGCCCATGAGATCGTTTCAAATTCTCACAGGCGTGTTGGCCTTCATCGTCGCCAACAACGTTAGCGCTGGGCCGTGCCAACCTTCTTCCTCATCCATTGGCATAAAGGCCATTGTCGACACCACCATGGCTAAGACATGAGTTACTGCGGTCAGCGAGACTCTCACTAAGTTCCTCACTAGCCTTCGCTCGACCGAGAATGCTACCGCCGATTGTACCACTGAGACACTCACTGTTTCGACTGAGACTTCAGCTGCTGTTCCTGAGCGCACCACCAACGCCGACTGCGACGGAGCAACTCCCTTCCATGACGTAGGAACATGCGTTACTACTAATCCCAACCTGCCCTAATGCACCAACGCCCAGTTGTCAGACTCTGAATAGAGGAGTAGACCCATACTCAGGCACATATGTTACGTCCATTGCCAATTCAATCTTGTATCACTACTTACTCTCTACTAATGAGTCAATACAAAAGAAACCTAGGGTAATATGCAAAACGTTGTTGCATTCAATGTGTGGCGATCTGCAAGTTGTGACTTGTTGCCGGATCTCAATGGCATTCGGCTAAGGACTTCAGCCAGTGAATATATATTGAAAGTACAAAAACACCTCGTCGGCCCAAGATTTTAATGGTGTCTTAGATACTACGTCCAATATCTCCATGTCAACGTCTCTATTCACAGAAGATTTGAAGCTCTGAGAGAAGATCAAAAACACTTCTTATCACAGGCATCTAATACGCTTCGCTATGAACAACATAACTAGGGAGAAACAGCAGATAGCGCTTGAATAAGAAATACCTAACCTGTGTGCTTTTGTGTTGATCTATCAAGCTCATGAAGGAATTGCTCTACTAAGAGGCATTAACTATACTCCATCTAGAGTTGCAACATTTCTTGCCCTCAAATATAGGGCTTACATCACGGAGTCCTTATTAACCATTCACGGACTTCTCTACTACCTATTGATAAATGGCTATACAGTACCGTAGAATATCACGACTCCACGGACAGCAACCGGTACAGTTAAGGTGGTTTTAGCAAGATTCTTACGGGAGACAATTATGAATATAAAAGTCCTCCACAAACATCTCCATCAGCTTACACCAAACCCT